GCACGTTAAAAAAAGGATACGGCCATGCGTACACCTTCGACGGGGATCTCCACAACCTTGTATCTCCCGTAAAGCATGCTGAATGTCCTGGCCCACCGTTTGGCGGTGCGGGAGACTATGATCTGTCCCCTGATGGAAAGACTGTTGCGTTCATGAGCAAAGCTCCGGAGCTTCCAAAGGCCAACCTCACCACCAGCTACATCTTCATTGTCCCCCACGATGGCTCTTCCGTTGCTTTTCCCATAAATGGACCTAAGAGCGGCGCCGCTGTTAATGGCATTGTCGGTGCTTCATCCAGCCCTGCATTCTCTCCCGATAGCAAGAAGATCGCATATCTACAAATGGAGGAACGCAGCTATGAGGCTGACCGCAGAACCGTCTACGTTTCCACCTTGGATGGAAGCAAGATTATCAGCCTTGCTAGCAACTGGGATAGATCTCCTGATGCTCTTAAATGGGCTCCTGATGGAGAGAGCTTATATCTGTCTGTCGAGGATCGCGCTCGGGGCAGACTATTCACTCTTCCTGCTGATGCAAGCGCAAATTACGTACCCAAAAATTTCACAGACCATGGTATTATTAGCGCCTTTCATTTCCTCAAGGACTCGCCGTCCGTTCTCACCACTACAACTACAATCTGGTCAAACGCCATCTACACCATTGCCTCTCCTGACGAGAAACCCAAAATTTTATTCTCTGCAAACGAACATGATGCGGAATTGGCAGGCTTAGGCCCCGAAGATATCGAGGAGTTCTACTTCGATGGGAACTGGACTAAGGTTTGTATATCTGTATCTATACTTGTTAAAACTTTGCTGATGCGTAAAAGATTCATTCCTGGATTGTGAAACCTGAAGGCTTCTCTGCAGATAAGAAATATCCCCTCGCTTTTCTTATCCATGGTGGGCCTCAAGGGTCGTGGGGAGATTCATGGAGTACGAGATGGAACCCCAAGGTTATCGCCGATCAAGGCTATGTTGTAGTGGCTGTCAATCCCACAGGCAGCACAGGATTCGGAGACGAGCTTTGTGACAGAATTCAGAATGACTGGGGTAGGATTGGACCCCACATTATAGCAACTCTTGCCCTTTAACAGAACATTTCCCGCTGACAATTCATTATCTTTACAGGCGGAGCCCCATACGAAGACCTTGTAAAGGCTTGGGAATATGTTCATGAGAATTTCGATTATATCGACACCGATCATGGCGTTGCCCTCGGAGCAAGCTATGGAGGATTCATGATTAACTGGATCCAAGGCAAGCCACTCGGTCGCAAGTTCAAAGCTCTCGTTTCCCATGATGGCACCTTCGTTGCGGCAGCCAAGATCTCCACCGAAGAACTATGGTTCATGGAACATGAGGTACGTTCTAATCAATACCTAAAACTCCACATTATTCCTATCAGCTGCCTCGTCCTACCGTATATCTTATCCCCTTCTAACACACAAATACCAGTTTAACGGCACTTTCTGGGGCGCACGGGACAACTACGAACGCTTCGATCCGTCCGCTCCTGAAAATATCCTACAATTTTCCACCCCAATGCTCATCATACACAGCGATCTCGACTACCGTCTCCCTGTGGCAGAAGGCATTTCTCTCTTCAACATCCTCCAGGAAAGGGGAGTCCCTAGTCGCTTCCTCAACTTCCCAGATGAGAGCCATTGGGTGCTCAAGCAAGAGAACAGCCTGGTGTGGCATCAACAAGTTCTTGGCTGGATTAATAAGTACTCTGGTATTGAAGCGAGTAACCCCGAAGCTGTCAAGTTGGGCGACACAGTTGTACCAGTGGTGGATATTGATGCTGGGCCTAATAATTAATTTGCCGATGTGCATACATTTCAATCATATGCCACAGGTGTGCGCGTTGCGTTCCGGGATATCCTTCTACACCAATACCGAATAATACATGCCCTCTATTCCGGATTTTCTGTCGGTCTTATTTTAATTGTACATACATCCCTCCCTCTTATCCCTAGCTATATATCCGGTTATGCCCCGCCTAATTCTTTTTTCATAATGTTTCTTCTGGCTCCACGTTACCTCGAAAGCGGTATTGTGTTATTTCATAACAATCTTATTCATCAGGAGTCCATTACATGGAGGCAATTGTTTCCCTAATTAGCTAAATACTCTACGAGGGTAATCAGGTGTCGGCATACGATATATATTCAGGTCAAGAAAGGCGTAGAATTGCAATCAGAAAAGGGTATGAAGTCGAAAGGTTGGGTATTATCGAATCAAACAATGTAAGGAAATAATAGATAGCGGCCAACGTGATTATTGCATATACAACTATTTCCGCCAGCCTCAGTTTAAAGACCGAGTTGCAAATAGGCAACATGTCAAGTAGGTAAAGAGAAGAGGATTTGACCTATCTTTTCATGCGCCCAGCACTAGCCAGAGTAATGTTACATTGCTGTTTATCCGGAGTAGAATGAGGAAAAGCCGTCAAGGAAAAAAAAAAAAAAAATCAAAACCAATTAAGGAAGTGTGGCACGGATAAATTCAATAACTCGGGCCGGGACGTGGGCTCCCAGTCGTCTTCTTGTTAACAAGACCTGCAAAGAAGCTCGCAAGGGCTTGGTTTTGCATCTTGTCATCGCCGGTCCCGCTTCCGGGGGATGTGGTGGGTGTTTGTGGTAAGGGATCTTTGCGGACTGGAGTTCGATTCGCTTCCCGTTCCTGTTATGGGAGGTGGAAGAGTTAGTCAAACTGGTTTGGTATCGATGTGAGGAATGAAAATAAAACGGAATTGTTTGTAGGATATTTTACCTTCAGCTTTCTCAACATATCATCCGCGTCCACTTGAATGCCTCCCATGTTAAACTGTACGGGTCCGATATGCTCACTCACACGAGATGGCTCGTCCATAGGGATGCTATTGTCCTGATCCTTAAGCGAGCCTCCCTTGCGCAACTGCTTGTCTCGCTGCTCGTCTTCAGCTTTGAGCTGTTCAAGAACCTGGAGTTGGTCGGATAAAAATGATTGCATATCCCGCGTTTCCACTTCGATCGCCCTGTCCCCTCCGGGCTGCGTACTTCGGGCAATGGATAAGTTCAGCTTGGGATCTCGGATGGTTTGTTCATAGATGAGAGTGGCGCTGCTACCGTCTTCCATATCCACTTCCCCAGAATTGTTCTTGGCGTTTTCTTCATCTCGATTATCACCATCATTCTCAGATACTCCGCGAAATTGTTTAGGTTTGTCTTGAATCTCAATGGACCAGCCTGTCCCAACTCCTTCTATATCAAATCCTTCTCTAATTATTCGGATTTTCCCCCATGAATCCCAGTTTGAAGGGATTAATATCTTATCTCTATCTATGACGTTGTGTTTCAGAGATTGTCTCTTGAGTAACGAATGGATTCCAAGGGAGGAGTGGATTAAACTCTGTAACGAGTTGGCAAGGAATGGTGTTGTATATATGAGCGAGGCCCCATCTATAAAACCGTAGGATGGTCAGCTTGTTCATGCGGCAGAGCTCGGGAAAACTCATACGTTTCAGCAGAATCGTTCTCATGAACTGTAGAATAAAGTCAAACTCCTCCTCATGCCAGCCATGCTCTTTCTCCAACTTTTCAATTTTATCCGCCTAGCAAATCACGGTAGTGTCAGTACCAGCCTCTACACCGGAGTGAGTGGGAAAGAAATAGTATAAAATTTTACATACGCCTTGACAAACGACACACATAGGAATCCCTAAGCCTTCATCCCATTCTCCTGGGCCTAGGGGAATTGTAACTGGTCCACCAGAGGTTGTCATTCCCCCGCCTGCTGAAGATGCTGGATCGCCGCCTCTTTTATGGTCTCGCCATTCAGTCATAACTTCTTCCATTACTACTTTAGTTTCATCATCAAGAGAGATCAGGACAGAACGTAGAAGACGAATCCATTCTCGTAGCTGTCGAACCCACGTCCAAGGATTTTCCCAGTCCAGTAATATCACTATCAGCGTCTCCGGTACGGTTTTCGGGGTGAGGAGCGGCTTGAGAAGTGGTGCGAAGGACGACGACGGTTCGGAGAGTAGATAGATTGAAACTCGGGCAAGAATATCTATGGAGAGATGTTAGCTAATATTATGCTAAACTGCACAGATATACCTGGTATTTCGTACCCTCCTGGTCAGCATCCAACACATCCTGATAAGTATACCCGAGCGCGAACTGATTCGCAATGGGAGGCGCTCTTCCTTTTCGTCGCTCAGAGTGCACCCGTGGATCTGACTCGTCTGATGATAACGTCTCAAGAAACTCTCTCTGGCTATCAGGCGTACCGCCTATAACATTCAACCCGGGTCAGAAAGGAACGAAGTAGGTTTCATGCTCGTGGACGGCTTTCGCGATCCAACGACCCAAAGTGCCGACATAACGCATAAATATCCTGAAACAATTCAAAGGGCAGGGAAACACGAACCCAAAACTAGTAGATTCTTTTCCGGTAATCGTTTCCCGCTTGCTACTCCATCCAGCATAGAGGACCATATGTTCTTCTTTGCGCCATCTTTACTCGATGGCCTACTCCCCTGGCTTAGAATCGATGACCTTTGTCCAATTCCAACCATGCTGACGGTACCATGCCCACACTTCCTAGTCACGAAGAAATAGTGAGGATAAGTATTCGCGGATGTTTGAACAAATACGAAACCGAATGGATTCCGGTTTCAACATTCAAGGAGAAGAACAAGCTGGATGGCGGTGGTGGAACGAAAAGCGGAGATATGAAATAGCTAGACTGGTTGATTTTCCATTTGCGTAAGTATTGAATTACAGTTTCTCAAATGGCTGACAGGCACAGAAACTGTTCTGATCGCAGGTTTGTCTTCAAGGTCGGTTGAGCTGACAGTTCAAACAGTTCTAGGTACCCCTGGTTTGATGTCACGCGTTTTTTCGCTCGCCGCCCTTTTTCCAAAGCCAACTCCGCAAGTCAAAAAATCCCACCTTGCACCTACCACGCTACTAAATGCACCATTTGCACAAATATTGGATTATTATTTATTACAAACCTAGAGGCACAGTCTCGAGAAATAGAAGACTAGCTAGTGCTGTTATTTAACACGCTGGTTAATTGGATCCCTCCCCATTCCAAACGGACTAGGAATGAACGCCATCCGCCAGGTTCAAGCGCTGAACAAGCGAGAGCTTGAAAATGTCGTGTAAGTCCTTTGGGTGGCCCTGTATATTTCTTATTCTGTCGAAGTATTCGAACTCCCGCAGCTGATGAATCTCCGTTTTCCCCGTTTAACTATTAGACCTCCAGAAGCTTCATGGCATGCCGACTACCGCGACACAGCGTACATCTACATTGGGTCCCTCCCTTCCGACCTTAGCGAAGGGGATATATTAACTATTTTCTCCCAGTATGGGGAACCGGTTCATCTTAACTTAGTGCGCGACAAAGAGACGGGCAAGAGCAAAGGGTTCGCTTTTTTGAAGTATGAGGACCAGCGAAGCACGGATTTGGCAGTGGATAACTTGGGCGGGGCGACAATTTTGGGCAGAATGATAAGAGTGGATCATGCGAGGTATAAAAGGAAGGAGGAAGAGGGACTGGAAGATAATGTTGCTGCGTTGACCGTTGGTGAAACGGGTGAGAGGTCAAAAGTGAACAGTGAAGAAGCGGCCCAGAAACGAGCTACGAAACATGGCGATAGTGATACTGATACGGAAGATCGAAAGATTCAACAAAGACCTTTATTGAAGGAGGAGAAGGAGTTACAGAAACTTATAGAAGAACATGATGACGAAGATCCCATGAAAGAATATCTCATACAGGAGAAACGGGAGGAGGTAGCTAAGGCTTTGGAGCGTCTAAACAAACGAAAGGAGCGCCGAAGTGATAACACCGAGAAAGAAGATAAACATGGTCATCGCCACCGTCACCACCGCTATCATAATCGAAGACATCGAGGCGATCGATCATACTCCCCGGAAAGAGAAAAACAATTTTCACGGCACGAGCGATCAAAGTCACCATCCCAATTGAGAGAGCGAAGACACCATCGAGGTAGAAGAGATCGCGGTTGAGATGCCGGCTTCTAGAGCTGCAGACGACCTTCTTCTGTGATAATAAGTTACGGAAATACTGTCACTTCGTTACCCGAAAATGGAGGAAACGGATAAATATCCAATTTTGGGCCCAAGGGTTACAGCATTCTCGATTCAACTCGAAAAGATGTCCGGTACTGAGATATATTTCCTGCCGGAGCTCGAAGACCGTTTACGATGCCGCCTCGCCTACATTTCGTTGGAGCGGTATATGCCCGTATTCATTTCCGCGATCCATGATGTGGGGAAATGCGTGTTGTTATCATCCAGTTCACCAACATATGGTAAAATTTCACCCGAATCGTCATGTGAAACCAAGTGTCCCGTGGATTCCTCGCGAAAGATAAAAGAGTTAAAAAAAAGAGGTGTCTTTCTGAATAGTCTGTTCGGTGCTCCGCCTTTCAACCGCCTCCAAGATATCTTTTCCAGCCTTCTCTGACGCAATATCGCTTTCCATCGTGGTCCTGTCCGATGACGAATCTTTCCCACCTACCCTCTTTCCCGGCACTTATCACCAGAAGAGTCGTGTCACTAATCCATCCAATAACCCCTTTCGATGGTCGTCCGAGCGAGGAGCCCAGGGGAGGGAGGTATGCAGAACCAAGAGGACCCTCATCGCCAATCTCAAAATGAGCGCTTGCAAAAGAATAAATGTCGGAAAATACCCGAGGGAGCAGAGGGACCTTCCCAAGGATACCCCATTTCTGGTTTGCGCCTTCTACGGGAGGCGTGGCGTTGCGAGCATGCGGGAGGTCAAAAATGTGCAAGGTAGATTTATCTGACGTGAGGGCGAGAAGCGTGTTTGAGGGGGATATGGCCAGCGAAAATATTTCCGCATGATCTACACCTCTCCGGAGCTCAGCCATCTTTGCGCAATTTGTTGTAGCAAATATTCGAACCAGCGTTCCCTGCATGTTAAAATCAAATTTAGCTGCCCTTGTTCAAAATCTTTTACTCACCTTAAACCGTAACACTTATAACTTTGGAGGAAAATTCATGTTTTTAACTTACCGTCTCTCCCGCCGTTGCCAAAACCTCGCCATTGGGGCTAAGGTCAATAGCTCTTAATGGAGAGCTATGAGCCGGAATGATACTGACATTCCCCGTCTCGAGCTCGACAAGCTGGACCTGTCCTGGGGATCTTCCGGGGAAAGCTAGCAATTTGGTCTCCAGACAGACCAAGCCATGGGGGTTGTCTGCGGTCTCGAAGACAGACAATTTCTGCGGGGGGATCGAAAAGGCAAAGATATGTATGCTATTATGTAGCACAACGACGATACGGGACTTGGATAATCGGACGCGCAAGACAGAAGTGCGGAACTCGAGCGTGATGACTGCTCGTTGCTTTGCGTCATCCCAGATAATCAACTTTGCAAATAAGAAAGGAGGAATGAATTAATATATTAGGGTGAAATTATGTTTGTTATTATATATAATCTTATGTTGACTCATTTTTTTGGCAGAGTCCAAAATCGAAAAGCAACAAAAATTCAAGTAGGAAAAATTACTCACTTTGTTCTGGGGGAATTTGGGCTTGCGGCCTCCACCCACCAGAGCTAGATAATTAGATTGACCCAACATCTCGACCACCCCGATGCCTGCATTGAAATCTACTATATTGAGGAGGGGCAGTTAAGTATTAAGGGCCCAAGCAGATCCAAATAATCAATGCAGGGGAAATCGTGGGAGAACAATAAAAAGTACCAGCGGGGGATTAATGTATAGATAAAGTATATCCAATGTATTTTGATTTTTATAGGAAAATATCTCACCTCTTGAAACTTTGAGTTCACATGGGTCTGAGTTAAAAACTGTTTAAAGATGGAGATGTAGAGTACATAGTTAGCGTACAAGGATCTCTGATGTGTATGTCGTAGCTCAGGAAAGATCGCCGCAAAGAAGGGCCATACCGCAGAAGCCGGTATCAAGTCCGACAGAGAATGAAGAGCTGTCAGCGTTAAAGGCGGCTGAATGTGACACTGGGCCCGTCGAGGTATCTATAACCTGTCTGGTATTCATCGTGTGAACTTTGCACGTCGTAGGCAGCAAATTATGCCAATAAGGTAAACATCGGCGTGGTTGGGGTCATGGTAGATGCGCAAAGGCATACAACAGAAAAACAGAACGCAGGAAGAAAAGTGAAAGGATTAAGTAGGGCTAGGTCCACCGTATGTAATCGAGGTGGACAGAAGATTCGTGAAGATATTTTATTTTAAATAAGAATATCATCTCTAGATGTATCGTATATAGCTCTACCTTCGATGTTCTCGTCCCGGGAAAGCTCCGAATCTGGCTCATATCACGTGGATACTGATCATGGAATGGAGTGCCAACGATCCAAGGGGATTACATTATTCCGGTATCCAAAATACGCCAACCTAAACGCGGGACGTCTTGTACCAGGTACCAGAAGTGGTGATGTTTCACGGCCCACCGGTTTTGTCCTGCCATCCCCATATGCCAGAGTTCCTTATTGGAATTTATCGAAAGGAGCGAGCCCATAGGTAATTTGTCCTGGTATAGGTTGATCATTCTTCAACGTTGTCTTGGCTTCTTTGCGTGTAGACCTATGAAATTTGTATGCGGAAATCTGGCGTGTTATCGTGCAAGCTCTGGATGAAAAGGGGGAAACACCAAAATTACGGAACCTTTCCCGCCGACGTGGTAGGGCAATACAGCGTTAATACAGTCCACTCCAACAAGCAGGAACAGAGCCCCTTAACTGGATTTATTACCACTAGTGTACTTGCAATACCCAGTTACACACTCCATTTGGTGGTGCTTGGCGGTAAGCAGCGTTCTGGGGTGGTAAGCACACCCCCAGCTGCGTCTCAGGCCCAAAATCAAGCACGCCCCCTACTGCTTCGAGTAACCATCTCGACTTCAACCCTTTTTTCCTGTGACATCTGTGTCCCAGTCCTCCTGCTTTGTCTCTCTCCCATTCTTCTCCTCTCTGTCTCTGTGTTTCTGCTGCGTGTCAATTCTCCCATTCTTCCTTTTTCTCCTGGCCCTCTTGCCTCGCTGGAGATCCGCTCCGCTCGCCTCTCCCAAGCAATCTCCGTTACACCGTCCCCTTCCAACTCACCAGCAATCTAATCCACCATGTCTTCTGCTGTCAACGCTGTATGTCTCTCTATTCCTTTCATTCCCTCTATCCAAGAATTGTTTATACGCAGTCACATACGTTTGTCCGGCGTATTATTTACCCCATTCCTATTCCCCAATTGTCGTGACCATGCTGCGATCTGACAGGCGTTATGACCAGATTAAGATCCGTCGGAAGAAGAATGTCAAGAAAGGAATTCAATTCTGTCTGATGGTCTGTGGTGCCAGCGGAACAGGTATGTTGAACTCGTTTCATCTAGACGTGGATTACTGATTTCCTTCTTTTAACAAAAAAAATCTAACTGTCCGATGTATTTGCTACAGGCCGGACTACCTTTGTCAACACACTTTGCGGAAAGAAAGTTCTTCAGGGGAAAGATGCTGATGACGCCCAAAATGCCCATCTCGAGGAAGGCGTCCGTATCAAGCCCATCACCGTTGGTAAGTGCCAATGAAATCTGATTGATTAATGCCAATTGGACTGCGCCCAACACTAACTGGTTTACAAGAACTCGAACTGGATGAGGAAGGCACCCGCATTTCGCTAACCATCGTTGATACCCCGGGATTTGGCGACCAAATTGACAACGAGCAAAGGTGCGGCCAAATTCATATCCAGTTTGGATCGGAGCATTCTTGGGGTAATATTAGCTAATCAAATATGCACGCAATGTAGTTTCTCAGAAATCGTCGGATATCTCGAGCGCCAATATGATGACATCTTGGCTGAAGAATCCAGGATCAAGCGTAACCCTCGGTTCCGTGACAATCGTGTACATGCTCTGTTGTACTTTATCACTCCCACCGGCCACGGCCTGCGAGAACTTGACATTGAATTGATGAAGCGCCTTTCACCACGCGTCAACGTCATCCCCGTTATTGGCAAGGCTGACTCGCTAACACCTGCGGAGCTTGCGGAATCGAAAAAGCTTGTTATGGAGGATATTGAGCACTATCGTATCCCTGTGTACAACTTCCCCTATGACATCGAAGAGGATGACGAAGATACCGTTGAGGAAAACGCTGAACTTCGAGGTCTAATGCCCTTTGCCATTGTTGGTTCAGAGGATGTTCTAGAGATTGGTGGCCGCAAAGTTCGTGCGAGACAATACCCGTGGGGTGTGGTCGAAGTTGATAATCCTCGTCACTCAGATTTCTTGGCAATTCGCAGCGCGCTTTTGCACAGCCATCTTGCAGACTTGAAAGAAATTACACACGACTTCCTCTACGAGAACTACCGTACCGAGAAACTCAGCAAGAGCGTGGAGGGTGGCGCTGGAACGTACGTTTATATTTTTGCACATTCTCGTTTAATCCTTTCCAATGGTTTGCTAACGGACTCCAAACAGTAACCAAGATTCGTCCATGAACCCTGAAGACCTTGCCTCTCAATCTGTCCGCCTGAAGGAGGAGCAACTTCGCCGGGAGGAAGAGAAACTCCGAGAGATCGAGATCAAGGTGCAACGTGAGATCGAGCTTAAACGACAGGAACTTCTTGCTCGTGAGAGTCAATTGAAGGAGATCGAGGCACGGATGCAACGCGAGCACCACAACCACATGCACCAGGATGAACTGAATGGCGAGGTCAACGCATAATCGGACTGGATTGGATTACAAGTCAACGGCATCCGAAGACCCAATCAAGACGACGTAACCTAAGTGACTGGCGGTTTGATATCGCCGATAATATGACATCACCTAATATAGCGATGGCAACTGTAGATGAGCGCGACCAGAACGTCTCTAATGGGGGAAAGGGAGAGAAAATAAGGTTTGAGATTTGGAAAAGACTGTCCGTGAAATGCTTTTCTCTGGGGATTATCGTTCTTTAGCTTGGTTGGGGGCTTTCTTATTCATTACACACTTCGCCCTTTAATTCACACTGCTCTTTCGTTTCTGTTGGCCCTGACCACCAACATTTTACACCCATATATCCCTCTCTGGCAAACCCACTGAAAAAAAGTGGTTTTGAGGAAAAGTTGATCCACTTTCGCCTACTAGAATCACATCATCTATTCTTCTCCTAATTTCTCTCCCCTGGGTATTTTTGCCGAAGCTTGTACCTTCCTTCCAATTCCTTTTCCTACTCATCCTTTAATTCGTACCTTACCCTATTACTGTCTTTTTACAGAGAGATTTTTTCCCTTTTTTCCGCTTGCCCTTTGTCTTCGCCCGGCCTACTATTTATTCCCCGTTTTATCTCGCTCTGAAAACAGTTACTGAATGACTATTCCCATATTACCTTCTCTTATATTTGCGTATTTTTTCTTTTATCACGTTCCTATTTTCGTTCGACTTTATTTTTTGCTCTTTTTCTTCTCTTTTCTCTATTCCATTGTGTTTTATTTGATGTTATTGTCTCTGCCAATTTCGCAGGAAGAGTGAAAAGGGGGAAATGTGGTGATGGGGAAGGGCGAAATAGCTGAGTTAGCACATTTTTAATCTTCGAATTGTATTGTCGGTTTTGTTTCTTTTCTATATTTTATATACTTTGCTGCCTTTCCTACCTTTGTCCAACTCCTTACATTACTCCAAGCGTTTCTCATTGAGTTCTTTTTTCCACTTGTCCTCTTGCTCCCTGCTGTGTGATATACAACTCTCATACATGATTTCTCGCCATGGTCAGGCAGGGATCTTTTGACCACCTCTCTCTCCTTTGTCTCCTTACATTCCCTTTTTTTTTGTCCTGGTATTTAGTAGGTTCACTCAATATCGTCCCCAGTTCTTTCGAGAAACCTGTCGATTGCTATCCTTTCGCCCAGTTCCTTCTTTTAAATAAAGATACAGCGATACCCCAGCAACTCGCAAAATACCCTACCGGATAGCTCGACCTACCCGCTGTTGCTGCACCATCAATCCTCTTCAGCCTTCATCCTAACTCCCTCTTTGTCTAACCAGCCAAATCACAGGCAACCAAATCAGCAGCCATTAGCCTAACCGCTTCCCTCTCTCCTTTGTTCGGATGCACAGTACTCCCACCCAAGCGCTTCCTGGGTGTCTCAGGGACGAGTAGAAGCAAAACTGAATGATCTCTGCTATGTGTTTCGTTACGCCGTCCTCTCCCATGTGGAACACAAGTCCATGCAAACGCTAGAAATATGCATGGTAAATCTGTTACATACTGGTCAACAAACCTGTAGTCGATTTGGGTTCAGTTTTATAGCTGAGAAATTGTATTTCCATTTCACCATCTAGCGTATGCAAAACCTTTGGTTCCGCACTTGCATATATATAGAAATTGTTCCAATCGACATGATGCAATGTGCATTATAAGGTACTAGTCCTTGTCTACGAAAAAATTCGGCATAGCTGGGTTGGTAATCTCGCTTTCCTACAGTCGCAGTAACTTCGGCACTACACAAATACTAGTAACTCAAAATCGCCCTTGATAAAGGCCCTGTCTATCCAGCCTCTGCAAAAGACAAACCTGCTCTTAACGGGGTGTATGATGACATAATCGACTAAGTCGACCCCGGAGACGACTATCTATCAATTCTCCCTCTTTGGTCTTGAATTGCGCTGAACGCAAGTTGTGAATGGCCGTTATGGCATCTTCTGTGCAGGAATATCCGCGGCCAGATTTTGCTCGCTCAGACCTTAACTGGAAATCACTCAATGGACCCTGGAGTTTTCTCTATGATGACGATGACAGCGGCATACTGGATGGATGGCACCTGCGAGGCCTCCCCGAACAAATCGCTGTGACTGCTGGACAGAACAGTGGCGCCGGGAAAACTTTACAAAAATTGGAGATCACAGTGCCCTATGTCTTCCAAACTCCTGCATCCGGTATCGGGGAGCGCGAACCGCATGAAGTTATCTGGTACGAACGATTGGTTGATGACATTCGCACGCCAGCGGAGCTGAAGAAACATTTCCGCCTGCTGCTCCGATTCGGCGCGGTCGATTATGAAGCTACGATCTGGCTTGATGGCCAGTATGTTGGTGAGCATAGGGGTGGACATGTGCCTTTTGATCTGGACCTGAGCGAGTTCATCAAAGCTCAGCAGCAGTCCGCAAGGTTGACTATTCGTGTTCGGGACTCTCCATACGATTTGACTCAGCCTCGAGGCAAGCAGTACTGGGCTGGAAAGCCCCAGGGGATTTGGTACACGCCGTCTAGCGGCATCTGGCAGTCTGTGTGGCTAGAGAGTGTGCCTCGCGCGAGAATCGCGGATAGTAGTGGTGGCACTGTCCTTCGGTCGAATGACATCTATGGCGGATTGCTTCATGCTACGATTTCTTTGGTCGGCCGGCGAGCTTGGCGTAAATACCATGTCAAGCTTCAGATTTCCATTGGCGGAGTGACAGTAGACAAGACTTCCCAAATCTCCATTCCCCAACATTCCAACGTCGTGGATTGTGCTGTTCGTGCAAAACTGAGCCGTGAGCAGCTTGGGAAACTCCCCTCGGGTCTCCTGGAGGGCGCACCTCTCGAGGATCATACTGCTTGGCTTGATGGGGTTGCTCTATGGTCTCCCGATCATCCCCTTCTCTACGATGTTGTGTTGTCTCTTTTCGATGGTGGTGGAACACTTTTGGACGAAGTTCAGACGAAAATAGGTATGCGCGAGTTAAATTGGACCACTGGTGATCATACCTTCAGACTCAATGGCCACCCAATCTTCCAAGCACTTGTGTTGGATCAGGGATATTGGCCAGAAACTGGGATGACGCCGCCATCCGCGGAGGCGCTTAAGCATGACATTGAATTAGCCCAGAGCATGGGCTTCAACGGCTGCCGCAAGCACCAAAAGGTGGAGGACCCTCGCTTCTTGTACTTTGCGGATCAGCTCGGATTTCTTGTCTGGGGTGAGATGGCAAACGGGTACGAGTTTAGCAATGCATATGTGGATCGATTCAACGAAGAATGGATGGCAGCGGTTAAACGCGATATAAACCACCCTAGCATTGTCACTTGGACTCCGATCAATGAATCCTGGGGCTACCCTGAGCTTAAGGATAACGTTCAACAACAGAACCACATCCGTAGCCTTTACTACATGACCAAGTGTGTCGAAATCCCATGGTCAATCCTGCAAACCTTCTCCGTTCGTTGTTTTACTGGACAAAATTTGCTAACAGCGCCCATAGATGCTTGGATCCGACCCGAAGCGTCAATGACAACTGCGGCTGGGAGCATGTCTGCGATGACTTAACCACATTCCATGATTACAGTGATGGCCCCGCGCTAACGACAATCTGTAAGACTGTGGAGGGTATTCTTGATAAGAAAGGGGGTCGCCATACGTTCGTGGGCGGAAGTAGACACCGAAAGGGGGCGCCAATTATGTGCACCGAATTCGGCGGCGTAAATATTGCACCAAGCGATCCAAATGTAAAAGGCGATGGTGATTGGGGTTACACTACTGCAAGTGATCCAGCAGATCTTCTTGCTAGGCTGGAAAAGCTCTTGATGGGTGTCGTTGGCGGTGGTCATTGCTGTGGATTTGTATATACCCAAATGTAAGTTTTCCGCCTCAGGGTTGTAAACTGTGTGCGAGTTGGTTATTGGAGTACTTGCCATTTATTTATATTCAGTGCAATTTAAGCTGACTGGCTCATTAATAAACGAAATGAACTTTTTTTTTAAAAGTGTCGACGTGGAACAGGAAGTGAACGGACTGTACACATTTGACCGAAAGGCCAAACTCAAGCCGGAGCTTGTTGAAGACATCAACAGGCGTGCGAAGAAGTTGTATCTGGAATCAGTCGACCCCAAAGGGCTAAGTAGGCACCTGAGAACTTTCAAGCATATGGTACAGGGCAAAGTGTAACAAACTAAATGATTTTCCTTGTCTTGTTGACAACTTTTCACCACACGGTACCCTTCGCAATCCATCGTTTCTCATTTTACAAGCGGCTGGGTCTGGTTGAGGAATGGACTCTAAAGAATAGTAAAAGTCTTTTTTTTTTAAACTAAGCCTTCGTAAAATATATTCATATACTTGGGTTCTGCAGATTGGATAGCAAATTTTATTTATATAACTCGAGTTAGTTAATTAACCCCTCTGATTTTCAAAAATACGGGGCAAAATCATGGAATTGTGGTTGAAGGATGGGGAATGGAACAAGTTCTTAATTGTCTATCTGTAGATACATCTTGGCCACTAACCTCATAACACGATTCAAGACTGTGTGGATAGTAGATTAAAGGATTAATAAAAATATGAGCCAATATCTTCAGGTACGAGTAGATAATATATATACATGCCTGTAGTTACAAAACAAAGCCTCATTAACCTTGTACGGATATGTCCACGGATATATAGTTATATATTTTACATAAATACCCAGCTAGTTTCCAGAAGGGATAAATAATATAATAATTCGTTGTTGCTAGCATGTATCTACAGATCTGCTGAACCCTCAGGATATTGAATGAATGAAGACGACCACTCAAGGAATAATATGATGTTTCAGCAGACGCAGCAAGCTTGAAAAATTGAATGGATAGATCATAAATCATAGATAATAAATAAAAAAGGGGGGGAGACGAGAGAGAAAACAAGTAATTCCCAAAAAGTGAGAGAACAAAAGGAAGTCAAATCAATAAAAAAAGGAGCAATAACTAATATGAATATAAAAGGTTTCAAACTCGTACTCATCAAAAATAAACGAACCAAATCAATAAATTGAAAGATAAAATTTCTGCTTTATGAAATCTCGACGGAGCCAAAAACAGAAAATCTCTTGGAAATTACATGAATGTGTTCATATAACACACGTGAATAGTACACACGCACACATACACACACACATGCAATAGATATAAAAAACGAGCGTGCAGAAAACGAGGAGCAGCAGTGAAAGCCAAACAGAAAAAGGGGGAATGAAATGTTTGGTTAACTTCATGAGGCAGATACTCTTCGATAAGCTAATATAGATTTCTTCGGTGGGGAGAGCGGATGCGCTTAGCAGAATTTAAATTGGATAATAAAGGGTGGAAAGGATATAGTAAAATCATAAGAGTGCTGGATGAAAAGGAAATAAAGAAGAAAAAACAAAAGCATGACAAGTGAGGATAGAAAAGAATCAGGGAAATTAAACCAGCCTTGGTGAAACTAAGCAGGTTGAAGAAGAAGATATTTGGGACGGGGAGCAAGGGGGAAGTAAAGCAAAAAAATGACGCGGGGGTATTCTCGTCAAGTGTGTGTACGTGTGCGTATGTGTGGAAATGGGGGAAGGGGAAAGAAGAAAGAGAAACGAAGAATGTAAACAAACGGAAGGGACTTCTATAAAAATATAAAAAAAATTTAACTGAGAAAGGATAAAGGAATAAATAAGCGCAAGATCGTTCGCAGAAAATAACTGTGACCAAAGTTCGAAAAATTGTTCGCCAAAGCTCATCTGGGGAAGGTGAAACAGGGACAGTAGGCAGGAAAATTATCAACAAAAAAAATACCTTTTTTCTTTGTTTTGCTTCGTTACAGTGGCTGTTTTTTTTCTTCATACCTTCCAGGTTCCTCCCCGCTTCATGCCAGCTTACGCGGGTTTGTTCCAGAAGTCCAAGCTAGCCACCACATCTTCGCCTGCTTCGTCTTCGTACGCATAAATAATCTAGAAAAGTTGGCATTAGGTAAACAACGTCCTCGGCGAAATGAAAGCGGGGAAACAAGAGAAAGAAAAAGAGTATAGTTCTAGATAGAGAAAAGAGAGAAAGGAGATAAATTTATTTGTCAATAACTTACCTCCCTAGTAGACGAATGCAACATCCGAATATTCCGTCCCGTCATGACGTGGATTAGTTCGCTGCTTTCAATGTGCCTGATTTCTATAAAGCTCGATTCGAAAGCGAGAATGTACGGATACGATAACGCGAATGCGACAGGATTTCCTTCCCACGCTATTCTCCAGTCTGGCTGAGCCCTCCAGCCGTTGCGGTTGACGAAGAAGGAGAAGTCGCTATAGTTAAGGAGGAACTCGCCGTTCATCCGTTCAATATGGATGGGCTTTACGTTCTCTTTTCTAGCAACGAAATCGAGGGAGGTATCGGCCTGGTCCAGCAGCGATTGTCTTTCAGTGGTTTCGAGACTGACAACCTCGAAGCCGCGAGAACAGCCTACGCAGAGTGTTGCTCGTAAGAAATGGACGGAAGAAGATTCCGCAGGAATGTAAAATTCCTAGAAACAGAAATAAATTAGCAAGGAAAAGTGGTAAGAATGGAAGCGACAACTTAGTGAATTAACGCTAACCTTGAAAGGCTTGAAAGCATCTTGGCCACCCTGGAACATCTTGCTCAATGGCTTCTTCTTCCCCTTCGCAAGATTCTCCACAGGTTCATACACCTTGATTGTCGTTGACAAGGCAGATGTCTTTACTGAGCAGACTAGATGTCGCCCGAGCCCAATTCCGGACTTGAAGAAATTGGTATGTCCTTGAATTTTCTTCGGTCGACGAACCAACGGATTCTGGTTCTCACTGGCATCCAGCGCCTCCATCGAATAGGAACTAAGCGTCCTGTTGGCTAGCACCAAGAGCAACTGATACTCTTCAAGGGCATCGATTTGAGTGACACCGCTTGCGTCAAGGACACGCCGTGGTTTCGCCGACTTGTCCTTTGGCCATCGCTCCGATATGTATATGCCACTATCCGTGCCGTAGACCAGTTTTCGCCCTCCATCTGCACCAAATTCATGAATTAGCTGCGACTTCCAAAATTACAAACACCCCACCCCTCTTCACACACATACACACACACACAAAAAAAAAAAAAAAACAGAGAATGAAACACTTACCAATAGGCACCAAACAGTTGACTCGGTTAGAAGAAGTGAAAAACTTCTCACAAAGGATGGTCTTGGAGTAAAAGTTGCTATTCCTTTCCCTGAGTTTTCGTTGCTGTTCTCCGACAAGCTCGATGAATTTCCTCCGCTGTGTCGAGGAAGTTGCATAGAGAGTTTGGTCGTAGCCTCCCTTACCGAGATGTCGGAATGTAATGGGAAAGCCATCCTTAGATGAAGTGGGGGTATTGTTGGCAGCCCTGGTAGCGGCAATGAGGTTTCCAGATGGTCGTTTGGCAAGGCCCAGTTTCGGGATCACCTCCTCCATTTGAGTGATAACGAGAAGTTCAAGAGGGATAGGCTTCCTGTACACCCTGTATTCTTCTCGCTTATTGACAGCCTTGATCCTAACCAGCAGAACTGCATGGTCAAATAGATATGCAGTGACCTCGGCAGAGTCTGTTGGGCCCTTTTTGAAACCCATCTTAGTCAACATTACTCGATTTTCCTCCGTGAGCTTCAAGTCAACATAATCTCCAGGCGAAAATTTCAAGGCCATGTTCAGCTGCACCAAATTGAAATGGTTCTCGGCTTTTCCACTTTCTGTGTTGACCCGTGACAAGAAATCTCGAATAAGAGCAATAGCTTTGGGGATATCCTTTTTGTCGGGATTGTCATCCGCCGTGTTCTTGACGACTTGTTCCAAAAGTAGTGGGTACCTCGCCAATCGAGTCGTTGGCTTGGTGAGGTAGCCATTCAGCTCGAGCTTCCTTGATTCCTTGAGGCGTTCAGTCTCGTCAACGAACTTGGAAAATGCAGGGTTCGATGCTCGTTCCTTCTCAAACTCGTATTTTCCGTACAATTGATTAGCACCATATTTAATGAAGGGATCGAAACGTGGTACGAATTGAAGGAAAATGTCCCCGACTGTCTTCACCACACTGGACTCCTTCTGCCTGGCATTCAGAGCTTCGCACAGTTTAGAGTTGACGGCTAAGACCTCCAAACAGTTTGAAAAAACGGTTCGAATGAATTTCTCCCGGCGGTGTTCCGGAACCGGGGAAAGATTAGTATTGTTGGCAGATCTCAGGGGCCTCATCCAGAAATCTCTCAAATACTCCAAGTCCTTAACGAAATCGCGTTCAGTATACATGATCTCGAATATAATTTCCTGGCGCTTCTTCTCCCGATCATCAATGCTGTCAGCAACTTCTTTAGGAACCATGTTGATCCATAGTTTCTGGTCATCGTTGTCATCATTGTCATGTAAGCTTCCCTTTGACGCGGAGGACCTTAATCCTGGTTGAGGTTTAAGGTTCAATCGTGCTTGCTGCTCAAGTCGTCTTGGGCAGGCAATAGAATAACAAAGTTTATCCCTGGTACAAGTTGGAGAGTAGCACTCAGTAAGTAGGGTGAAGACACCGTTGACCTCGGAAACCGGATCCTCTTCGCCCATTGTTTCTTTAAACTGGTATAACTCTCCTGGAGCGTCTCTCAATCGATGGTCATAGGTGACATCGTGGAAGAATTTCTGGGCATCCAACGCACGCCCAAGCAGCAAGGCCAAGTTACGATCAGACGTTTTAATAATGTAAGATATCAAATCCACCGCTTCAGCCCCGGTAAAAGCGTTAGTATATGCTAGATCATTTTTAAGTCGTTCTCCAACAGATATCCTTTCTCTAAACACTGTAGCCACGCGGGAAAGTAAAGCAGGATAGACGAGAGGAGATCTACGACTATGATGTGGGGTGGGATGCGGTTGGCTCGCTGGTTTAGGAATGACGGCATTACCCGGTTGTACACTAGTCGTTCGTTCCGGGGTGACGGTGGATGCCATGGAAAATGTTCGAGAGTTGATCGATGTATCGCTCGGACGTCTTGATCTAGACTGCGGATCTGGCCCGGGAACCATCGAGGTGGGGATAGGTTGTTCGAAGATAGGTTGACCCGAGAGTGACGATTCAGTCCGCTCCTTCTCCATGCCTGACTCTCGACGCCTAGTTGGGACAATCCGTCCAGAATTGATCGTCCGGGCATGATCATAGTTCGAAGTATACGAACTCATGGACATGGAGCGTTCATTGTCACGCCGTTCCGGAACGACTCGGCCTTGTGGAGTCATAGAGCCTGCGTGGTGGTATGGTTGCTGTCGAAAGGCGTTTGCTGATGTATGGTTGAAGTTACTCGGGGGAGGAGGTTGATGATACATGGGAGGGCCACCCATTCTAGCCATGGAACGAGACCTGTACTGATCTGAGTTAAGTGCTGGGGGAGGAAGAGGCCTGCCGGGGACTTTATTTGGATAAGGTGGTTGCATTGGACCAGGCCTTGAATCCAGACGCTGGGGCTGAGGATACTGGGGACGGCCCGGGTAAGGGCGCGGAAGGTTTTGAGGAGGTGGTTGAGAATGATGATAGGGTCCATTTGGCTGCCGTTGCGGAGGAGGGTGATGGTTGTTATATCCATTTGGGGGGGGATACCCATATCCGTCGGAGGACTGACGAATCGGTGACGCCGCCGGCGGAGGAGCAGCTCGGGGATGCATATATGCTTCGCCCACCGTATGGGAAGACGTGGTGCGGGCGCGGTCCTGAGCGAAGGGAGGAGTTTGAGAAGTCATCGTCTGTGCACGGCCCGTGGGGTTCGCCCCGAAAATCTCCGAGTAGGCAGCATCTCGCTGAAAAGACGATGCGTGCCCATACTGGGGTGGCGGTCGGTAATTGCGACCTTGCTGAGCACCTAAATCTGCCATGGCCGAAGGAGTACTAGGGCTCTAGGTGATGGACGCAAACACGATAATGCCAGGGAGAAACAGGGAAGTGAAGGAGCAATTTGGGAGAAGGGGATATTAGATTTGGAAATTGCGTTTGGCAAGGAGGAGTTTTTTCCAGACGGTATGCCCGGGCTCGACAGAGATCGAAAAGGTAATTTTCTAGGGATTATTTGGCGGGTGACGGGGTTCGGGGGGTTGGAGGGGAGGGAGAGGAGGAAAGGTGGGACGCAACAACCGAAGCGAAGAACGAGAGGGTCATAGCCCACACACCCTCATGGCTGACGGAACAACGAAGTTGAAAGAGCGACGTAGCTCACAGAGCAATTACTGGAGATCCAACGCGGCAACAAGAGAGGGCTGAGGGGGAGGGGAAGGAAGGGGGAAAGATACGCGAAGTCGCCGGTCTCGAGGGAGTTGAGGAGGATGAGAGGTGGATGATGGAGTGTCGTTGATGGGCAGATGGTTAGGTACAAGTTACTGCATGCAGTTAGGCCCGCCAAGACCAAGCCACCCGCCGTAGACTCGATTAGGGTGAAAGATTACGGTACAGGGCCCTGTGGTGTGATGGCTCCTCCCAGGCCATGTGGTATTACGCAGCGTTACAGCCATAGTGGGTTCTCTTATCCGCCGTATTCATCCTCGCCTCCCAAGGTTTCTCTCCGGAGCCAATAGCTGGATATAATTATATCATAGCACTCTACCACAACCACAAGCATATCGTTGTCAACATATACCAGACTTGCGATACGAAGAATCCCGTGTTTCCCCTTTTCCCCATCTCGGAGAGCAGGGAGAGCTCTGCAGATAAGAGCCCATTCACTGCCCTAGCCTTCAAGCTCCCAAGGGTGTCATTCTCCTGTTCAAGATGGCGGACAGTGAACTAGCGCCCAAGTTCGCTCCCTTCATAGGAATGGTAAGCATACGTACTAGTATCCTTGATTTTATATCTTCTGTTCGGACTAACACGTTCTCTCCGTGCGTAGGCAGGTATCTGTGCAGCCGTGAGTTACTCCCACTCGCCTTTTCGACCTTTGCCTCGAAAACAGCTAACCCATAGTAACTTTATCAGATGGTTTTTGGATGTACGTTGTTCCGACCACAACTTACTATATGCTCTGTTTAAGACCCCGCAAACACGAGCAACAGCTCAAAGCTGATAAACCCATGCAGCAATAGGAGCAGCATATGGAACCGCCAAATCCGGCATTGGCATTGCCGGTGTTGGAACCTTTCGGTCAGATCTGATTATGAAGGCAGGTCTTGAAATAAATACACACACATCAAGATTTGGGTCGGGCATTCTACGTTCATTTTTAATACTGACAACTGAGGTGTGGGGCAGTCATTAATCCCCGTAGTAATGGCGGGTATCATTGCGGTCTACGGCTTAGTTGTTGCAGTGCTCATTGCGGGAGGTTTGGGTCCTCCGCCCCAGAAGACGTATAGCTTATACACGTACGTCATATATCCTTACAATAATATATATGTGTGTGTGCACTTCATACTAACCCATTGACCTCAATAGCGGTTTCATGCACCTTGCAGCGGGATTATCAGTCGGCTTATCAGGACTTGCGGCTGGCTACACGATTGGCGTTGTCGGCGACGTGGTTAGTTATGAGAATCCCGGGGCAATCGTCATTCTCTTCAAGAGTATGGTTGTTTAACTAATTACATTTTCCCGTCTCTCAGGGTGTGCGATCATACATGCAGCAGTCACGCGTTTTCGTAGGAATGGTATTAATATTGATTTTTGGTGAAGTGTTGGGGCTATACGGGTATGAATAGCTTGCTCCATACGTAATCCCTTCTTTCCGTTGGAGCATGCGTGATAATTAACTATTTTGATGCAAACAGCTTGATCGTCGCACTGATTTTGAACTCAAAGAGCTAGAGGGATGGAGAATGTATTTTACGCGGCTGTTTCTATGCTTGATTGATTTTTCAGGGATTGAATATGTTTGAATATGTTTTGTTTTGCAATTAAAATTACCTACTGATTGTTACTATGATCGCTACTGTTTGGCTGTTTTTTTTGTGTTGCCTTGTTCGCGCTGCGCTATACGCAAGCATTTGTGGAATCTAAGATATGCACGGCCGACTTTTATTTGTCTCGTCTACCTTGATAGAGGAGGAACGTATTTGTGTTCAAGGTGGATGAGTTATTGAACCCCGGTCATATGCAGGTATTTTGTATTTTACTCCTAGCATATTTCGCCATGACCAGATCCAAACAATCTAACTGCAGAGACCGCAATTATCGACAACAGTGATAACTGAACATAACAACATATATATATATATATATATTCAATCCATCCCTATCTCTGGTTCTCCGCTAAAGTGGCTGCGGCTGCCAAACCCTGTGGGTGTTCCTGTAATCCGTAGTAAGCATTTGCATTCTTGGCACCGACTGTTCTCGCCGCCCGCTGCTACGTCACATATGGTAGCCCTGTACCACACTCCGCCGATGCAGAACCGGACACGTTCAACAGAACCATTCCATCCCAAGCTCCGCTGACAACCCTTCATACCTCACTCCAGCACCCTGATTTGTATATCTCATACTTGTCATCTTACATCTTTCGCCTCACCCCTCTCCTCCCTCTCCCATTCGCCTTCCCCTATCGCAGCCCTTAAGTCAATGGCGGCCCTACCTCCTGTCAGGTCGTTACCCCACTCAATCCAGCCTCTATCGCCAATTTGAGTTGCGTGCACTACCGTTTTCCTTCCACCCGCTCCCCTGCGCTGTCATCTCGTCGAAAAGAAGAAACAAATCAAGTTATACCCGGCCAAGGTCATGACCCCTCTCTCATCCTGAGATGGCCGCGGAAATTCTTCATGAGCTGCAGCTGCAGCACACCACACCGCAAAAAGCGCTCCAGAACCAAGACATCGATATCGACGTAACATCAACTGAAAAGCCCCCGCAACAAAACAACAGTCTCGACCATCCGAAGAAGAAATTCGCACTAGAACGTTGTAACCCCGGTCCTCCAGCCTCGCGCCCGCGAACCCCGCAGGATATCGTTGAGAACCGGGCGGAGGGTAAGCTAGACATATCATCTAGCGAACTGAGCATTGGTGACTTCGAGCTGCTACAAACACTGGGTACAGGTAAGCAAGGGGTGCAGGAGGATTGCAATATCATGAGCAATTTGTACTTGCTTGTTGGGTTGCTTTGGTGTGTCTCTTGTACCTGGATGCTAATTACATACATACATATGGAATAGGCACATTTGCTCGAGTATGGCTGGTTCGCCTCTTGAAACACACAGGTAAAATTAAGAACGGAGCCTATGCGCTCAAGGTTCTTCATAAAGCGGATGGTATGTGTGTTTCTAATTTTGAACGTTGTATGGATGAAGTTATTCGTTCTTACGCTCTCTTCGCAATTCAGTTATAAAACTGAAACAGGTTGAGCATGTCCGGAATGAAATCGAAACCCTAAATGCGGTTGCTGGGCACCCTTTCATCACTACCCTGGTCGCCACATTTACAGACGATCTGAGCTTATATATGTTGGTAGGTTTTGTTTTGTTTTTTTTTTTTTTTTTTTTTAAATCAACCTTCTCCTACGTTATAATTTATTGCAGTGAGCCAACAAAATGTTACCAGCTCGAATATTGCCCAGGAGGAGAGATTTTCACATTCTTGAGACGCGCACGGAGGTTTGACGTGTCGACTGCCCAATTTTATGCTGCGGAAATCGTCTTAATTCTTGAATTTCTCCACGACGTCCATGGCATCGCATACCGCGACCTCAAGCCCGAGAACATCCTCCTTGATGCAGATGGCCACCTCAAACTCGTTGATTTCGGATTTGCGAAAGAGATTTGGAGCAGGGAAACCTACACACTCTGTGGTACGCCAGAGTACCTAGCACCAGAAGTCATCCATAACTCCGGCCACGGCCTAGCTGTTGATTGGTGGGCTCTGGGCGTCCTGATATACGAGTTCATAGTCGGACAACCTCCATTCTGGGACCCAAATCCTATGCGCATATACAAACAGATTGTTGATGGAGTCCTACGATTTCCTGCCAACATGCCCCCAGCCGCGCAGGATATTGTATCTCGGCTGTGCAAAACGAACCCATCCGAGCGCCTGGGTCACATAAAAGGGGGATCCGCCAGAGTGAAGCAACATTCCTTCTTCAAGGGAGTCAATTGGGATGATATTTACCACCGACGAATGAAGGGACCCATAGTCCCCCGTGTGGATTCCCCGACCGATGCAGGGAATTTCGAAATTTACCCGGACCCCCCACACCCGTCGGAGCTTGCTCCATACACGAAGGATATGAGAGACGCGTATGAGCATATATTCAAGACTTTCTAATTGATATATAACTGGGCAGGTGAGCCTTTTACCGCCGCTACAGCTTCATACGGTGAGTCCAATGGATTCTGAAAGAAAAAAAGGCCGTGGTAGCTATGGATCGCCAGGCAGTAGGGAATCCGTATTATCCACTATGGCTCCTTCCACCCCCAACCCCCCATTATCCGGCGTTATCGATGAGATTCAGCACCATATACTCATTTTTCACGCTGCTTGTATCAGCAGTACCTCACCGTTTCTCCTTTTTCCGTACTTTGTCTATCATCGATTTTGGGAGTCACACATCAGGGATAGATATATCTAACTATAGCCCCCTCTCATTGCTTCTTCCCCGCTCCCCCTCGCCTCCCAGCTTCATAGCTGTCAACACGCCTCATAACGCTGCGCGAGACAAACCGCAATTTTGTATCGCTCGTTCTCATCCAGATCATATCCTGGTTGGTTTACATTGCTGGAATCTAACATCTTCCCGCTCCACTGACCACGCCAACAACAATATACATACATACATATATATATTTTTATATGTCTACTTATCTATCTACCGCGTATCTATCTATCTGTCTAAGCCCCTTTGTTGTTAATATCCACCGGTCGTTTGGGATCTACTAAATCTCCTGTTTTAACACACTTATATAGTATTGGAGTGGTTTTTATTTTTATTTATTTATTATTTATTTTTTTGAGTTTTGAATAAACTCTTTCCTTTAAACCACGTTAAATAATAATTCAATGATACAAACAATCGAACCTCTTTCTCAGACTAATCAATTATCTTACTTTTCTTTTTGCTGTTTCTTTCTCTTTCCCAATCTACGATATACAGAAGAGAGAGAAAAAAAATAAAAATAAAAACTCTTCAAAGTCATATAATTAGTTTGATATTTAATTTATTAATTAATTATTTTTAAAGTATTTTTTTATCATTCGGAGCAAAGCGAAGTCTCCAAGAATCAAACAAAGCTCTTGGGAGGGAGAGGGGAGGACAAAAGTGGCTTAATTTTGTGGTTCAAATGTGGCTTGAATATCAATGATTTTATTGGCTGTAAAGCAGATTTTGGCATCTCTGATTGGCTTATACTCTCCATTTTTATTTACCCAATTCTTACCGCTCTGATCGATTGCTAATGGAGTGGAGAATGCTAGCTAGATAGCTAGCTATCTTCTTGTCTACTCTCTATCTACCAACCAAGCTGGCTGCTCAATATTCAATCAATCTCTATGGGAATAAACATCGCCATCTAGATACCCATCTCTCTATCAATGCCAGCTTACTAGCTGATTATCTGCCTCCTACCTGCCTATCTATCTACTGACCTGCTTGAATGAATGATATTCGCTGACGATATATATTGATGATATCTTATTGCATGAGACGATCAGTGTAATATACATACATATATATATATGAACTCAATAGAGCCCAGGCTCACATTCACTTCTGATTCCAGCTGTCTTGACTACTTCTCTAAGTTACAGTTCATTCATTCAAAAGAGTGTTTGTCGCTATATGATTGTTCCAGTTACCTGAGAGATAGATATCTTGAGCTCACAAGTTTTCAAATTTCGCAGTCAATGGCTAAGCAAGCCACATTTGTGGAGGCGGCCATGCCATCAACATCTGACAGTCATTGTGAATGAGGGAAAAAAAATCGGAGATTTGATCTGTATGGTTAGTGGTTAAGGAGAAAACTGTGAGAGATGAAATGCGGGTACATTGCTCTGCAATACATCCTGCGCCATCGGCGAGTTTCTAGAGTTGGGGCTCACATCATCAGAATTCTGCCGGTGTATCCCGGTTTACGGGGTGTGGAGAGAGAGAGGTGGTTGGCTCGGGCTCCCTTATTTTTTTCCATCTTTTGTTAAAATATATATATATATATATATATATTGGTTCTTCAGCGAAGTAAATTCAATTGAAGATTTTTTTTTTTTTTGGGGGGGGGGGGGGTTTCCTTTTTTGATTTTATCGACGAATATATCGATGGTTTCTTTTAATGGATTGTTTTCCGTTCGGTACCAACCTGTGTTGGACACCTTATATTTTTCCCTCTCGACTAAAGAAAGATGTCTGATGGCGATGGTTTGTCGTCAATATGCGGATTTATATATCGCGTGCGATATTCTCCCCGGGTGCGGTTTGAGCGTGATGCGCTCGAGTATTTTGATGATTTGGCGGAGTTACGGGCGGCGATGTCGGATAGCGGAGCGATTATAACTGGAGGGTTTGCATTGCGATGTATATGCGATGGAAGACTGGGATGTGGCGGGTGGATGTTGATACTTTCGTGAAACGTGATGGTGTGATTCGGATGCGCGAGTATTTGGCTTCAAGGGAAGGTTATTCCCACGGGCGACAGTGGGAAAGTATTTGATGCAGGTGATGAGGGTGCACGAGCTTTTGGAAAGTGAAGCGCGGGCGATGTCGAAGTATGAGGGTCGGGGATTCAATTGTGTTGGATGGAATGACATGGATAGGTCAGAAAAGGAATTCAGCAAGATGCGTCGGGTTTGGTGACCGGATGTGTTGGAATGTTCCATGGGGTGTTCGACGGATGCCAAAGCGGCGAGAGATTGATGACGATGACGTTGAACGGAGTCGGTTCGCGATGGGAGAATACCGGATAGTGTTGTTGCAAAGATGAGTGATGCAGTGTGTGAGATAGATCTGTGATGATGTGCAAACTCCAAGTTCGGTTAATTCGAAAGAAGGCGCCCAGCTCTGTTGAGAGAGAGGTTATAAAGCTGATGTGTTTTTTAGATTGATCATTTACACAATGTAGATTTTTTGTATCAGTCAAGTCAGCAAAAATATCAGGCTAATTTCTGATGGCGGGTGTGGAAACCGTCTGGAGATGATAGTGGGTGATACTGTAAGATACGAACAGCCAAAAAGTGGAGACGGAAGGATATATACATCACTTTTAGGCTCACAATGGGCCCGTGGTTTGGGTCACTGATGTCAGTAGACAGTAGATTTGATCTGTAGTGGTCAATGAAAAATGGGAGAGATTGAATACGGGTATATTGATCCTGCAATAACATCTTGCGCCATCCGCGAGCTTCCAGAGTTGGGAACTTATGAAGTTACGAAGCCAGATGGACACTCTCCATGAATTCGATTGCAGATACGAGTTCCCACTGGACAGACGGCCATGGTTGCCAAATAAACCAAAAAAGATCCTCATCTGTCGAAAATCACGTGGTGTCAAGGCGAAAATGACTAATGTGCTAGGCCAACTAGGCAAAAGAGCTTGATCATTAGCGTCATGGTGGTATAGAGGGAATGAACCAATCAAAACCCCTACCATTTTATGCGGGGCGCTGAGTGGTTCGTAACTAACTAACTATAGTTGGCTATAGCTAGTTAACTAGATAGTGTGGGATGGTTAATCTTCTCATTGTGCGATCGCTAGCTAACTATATAGGGGTAATCACGTGCGGTGGAGGGCCACCTGGGCAACTAGTGCCCAACACCCCCCCACGCGCCAACATGTGTGATGTGTTCCTACAAATATTCCATGCTAGCTATCTTAACCTAGATCATTTCAAAAACATGCTACATACAGAAATTTAATCATTCTCACTATTGTCAATGAAAAGTTCTAGTAATTTAATGAAACATCTAAATACCACTATACTCAGAGGTTTGATTAATTCATCTGCTATCATATTCTCAGTGGGAATATGATTAATTGAAATAACATCTTCATTCAGTTGTGTGTGAGAATAGTGGAAGTGAGTATTGATATACTTGCTGCACATCATGATTATGACAACAGTAGCTAAATCAATTGAATCTTTATTATCTACTCTGATAAGTAAAAGGTTCTTTGCTGTAACAAATTCTAGTTTCATTATTATATTATACAATCATATTACTTCATATACTGCTTTATTGAGTGTCATATATTCTATTTTATTTGAACTTAAAAAAATATAAAATTGTTTGAACAAACATCATGAAATTGATGCATCTATTAATTTAAATATAAAATTTAAAATAGATTTATATTCACTATTCAATAATTCTGTTCAATCTGAATCTGTATAATCTATTGACAGATATAATACATTGAGAAATTCATTGATCTTGTTCTTGAAATCTTTGTATAAGATGCTCAGATCACTCATTTCTTTTAGATATTATATAATACAGAGAAGAGCTTTTTATATTTTAGATATAGACACAGTATTCTTCTGTGCTAGTAGAGATACTGCTTGTGTAATATCTGAGTATAATTTGACTGTCAGATACTGCAAGTACTCTACTCTGTATTAATATTATTCTTTGATGAATCCTTCTTTTTATTCTGATACAGAGATATTATCTATCTTCATTCTCTTAAGTATTAGTGTAGAAACAGAGACAGCATCATCTAGACAGAAATCTTACACTAAATGATTGATATAATATCTCAATATTAATTTTATAACATCATTGAGACAATGTTCAACCTTTATATCCAAGTATTTCAAAGATTTTTTTAAATCTTTTATTTCTAATTTATTGATGAGAATATCAACTAGTCAATCAGCATCTGCCAAATCTTCTACTATAATATAAAGATTATTTATATAGATTGTTATATAAAGATGATTGTGAAATGTATGATGCTATAGAGCAGAGTTGTAGAGACTAGATTTGAAGTCATTCTCACAGAATAATACTGTAAGAAAATTATATCAAATCTTAGCAGTAGAGTTCAATCTGTATAAAGAGTCTACAATAGTGTAAATCATTGTATGTGAAATCTTCATTTTAAATCTGATAGATTATTATATATAAATTATTTTATCAAGTTGACTGTGCAGATAGATCATAACTATATTGATCTGATACAAGATTCAATCTTACTTTGCTGCTACTATAAATATCATGCAATTAATAGTATTATTGATAATGAATGTGTATGTTTCTTCATATATACTCTTCTTTAATCAATTGTCATATACTACTCATCAAGATTTTCATAATATATCATCAGAATTTATATTGAGATTCTGAAGATGATTTTTTTTGATATAAACTCAGCAATTGAGAACCACTGACTCATTAGAAGAGATATCAGAATGTAGAATCATTGTTCAAGTATTTTTTTATTTCAAATTTGCAATTTTGTGTTTCATCAATTTTTATCAATATTCATCAACTCTTTCAGATCTACTAATGACATTTTTATATTTTTTTGAAATAAAATCAGTGAGAGAAGAAGAGATGTAGATGATGAATGCTTTTGCTGATCTTATCTATTTGATATTAATTAATTCAGAAATAACAGTATTATTAATAAGATAAATCACTGAACTTGCAGCTTCAGATGTTATATAATTAGTATTATTCTATAAAATTGTAGATTTCTTTGCAGAGAAAATAACATCACTGATGACAATTATTTTATCAGTTATAGAACTTCAGAAATGATAGATTGAATTATTATAAAATTTTATAAGTTTAAATATTTCTGCTCTGATGAACAGCTTATTAATAGATTTTTGAGATTTATAAAGATGTATATAAATATCAATATCTAGCTCTCTAAAATAATAAAGTTGAGATGAAGTGTTAATTAATACTGAGAATGAAATGATATAAAGATATTATATAGATATTTCTTCAGTATTGATAGATCAGTATTTCTTATTATATAGAGTGATAGATGTTGATGTGTTGTTGATAATTGCAATCATTATTTTGAGAACATCTGCTCAGAACTTCTTTGATATATTTATATCTATAAACACTGCTCTAGTATACATTATTATTGTGCAGATTTCTCTCTCAGAAACATCATCTTAATAAAGAGATTGAAATATAGTAGATTTTCAGATAGTGCCATTTTTAATTATCATTGTTGTTATTTTGTTTGATCAAAAAATATCATCAATATCAGTTCTAACTAGTGCTGATGATATAAAGCTGAGATTTTTCATGAATTAAACTCAGTGAGTATAGATTTCAACAGCTTGATTCTTGATATGTAAAAAATAGATTCATCTATAATAAATGATGTTATCAGTGATAAGTATATAATATTTGATCTTTTGATGAGATTCTATAGAGTAATTGAATATATCATCCAGCATACAATCATCATCAGTGAGATTGATATAAATATATTGCATTGCTTGTAATACTTGTGGTATGAGAGTTTATAAAAACTTGTATATCATATCTGCTTTGACACAGCTATCACAGAAGAAGCCTGTTTTAGATTTTTTGATATAAATATCAGATAATAAGTTCTTTGCTAGTGTGATGATTGCATCAGTATGAATATACTCTAGAGTGATATATCATTTCATGAGTATTCTTATCAGAGGATTGTGATTGCTAGATTGATTGCTAGATTTCCCCACAATTATTGACATTGTGTTTCTGTAATTGTAAGATTTGACCATAAAATAAATGATCTGAAATGAATGATAAATATCTATTTGAGATTCTTATTCTATTATCTTATAAACTGATTCTTTGAATGTGTGAATAGTGATGAAGTTGATACTGTTTGAGACTCTTATTGTAAAATAAGAAGAGATGATATCAGATAGTTGATATCTAAAACCTTGATTTTCTAGCTTTGTGAAGAATAGAAGATTGACAGTGAGGTTGAGAATTCAGTAAATATAATTCACTGAGATATCCCCCTCTTCTAATTCTAAAAGAATATTATCTATTTCCTCAATCTGTTCTATATCATCATTCACAGTGATTATCTCTAAATCTTTTTTGAACAACTTTGCATGTATCAATGAATATCTTTCATCTGTTATATTAAAGCTTATGCAGATGTTGAGATATCAAGATTTGAATATTATAGTGAACAATGCAGATAAAGCAAATACTGTATTGATACTAGATTATAAAACAAGAAGATCTGACACTCTGATATCAGTAGATTTGTTGTTATTTTTATTCTTCTTCTTATTCTTTCTTCTTCTTTTAACACCTTCTGAATTGTCAGTGCTCTTATCATTCTTATTCTTCTTCCTTCATTACTCAGATGCTTTATTGAGATTTAAGTGATAGCAATTAGCCTTTATATATTCTGAAACCTTGCAATATCTGCATCTTGCAGTTGTGGTAGAAGTTGTGTTGTCATTGTTGTTATTGATAGCTATATTGATCTTTGAAGCTTTAGAGTGTTCAGAACCCTCTGACTTGCTTATATAATAAATGATCTATCTTGTGAGATTATTGATATCTATATTAATGATAGAGCTCTGACTCATTCTATAGAATATATCAAGACACAATTTGATGTAAATTCTCTGATAATTTTGAAAGCTGATTATAAAAAAATTATACAGATAGTTCTCACTGTAATCCTCTGTTAATTCTCATATATAAATGAATAGATAGTAATATCAATATATATATATCAAATAATTGCTGTTCTTGACATGCAGATGAATAAATTCTCTGAGAATGCTAATTCTCTCTTTCTCTAGAGATATTATATATACTGCACTTATCTTACTTTATAGAGCTGCTGTGTTGTCAGATTGTATGAATCTCATAATCAAATAAACATAATCTATCAGAGATTACAACATTTAATGAAAGAGCAGTTTTGAATATATCACTCAATATTATTAATTGAGTGATGATAAATCTTTAGATAATTTCTGTTGATATTTATTAAGAATATCTGCATCTCTGATCATCTCTGTATCTAATAAAATTATCATCTTTCATATCTGATAGTTGATGTCATTAAATATGATGATAGATTTTATATTCAATGAGATCTGTGCTTTTTTCTGATATTCATAAGTCAGAAGATTTGAATCTTCTACTGATGTAGAATTTGAAGTAGATGAAGAAGATGAAGATGATGAAGATGATGATATATATACTGTTATCAGTTGCTTACAGAGTGTAATGAGATCTGTTGCTGCCATTGTCATCATACTGTTAGAGTTTGATATAGAAATCAGTATAGAACTGAGTATATCATCTTCAAATTCCTTATATTCTGACATCTTGTCAGTATTGTGTGCTGAGTCAGAGATTGTTATATCTTTCTCTATTATTGTGTATTCAGTTTGATCATCCTCTATTTCTGAGACAGATTCTTGCTCAGTAACAGAGAGAATAAACTGAGAAATTCTTGATTGCAAATATAGTATCTTCTTACATTCTGATATAAAGATCACAGATAATTGAGAATCACTTATAATCAATCTGATTTAGAAAGATTCTGAATAAAAATAAATAAATAAGTTTTTGATTCTTTTAAGATAGTAATGAAATCTCTGCAGCAGTCTCAACAGTAATTCTGTCAATTACATCACTTTTATAGACAAAGAGCTCTCTTTTCAGAGAAATAATATCTAACTCATTCAATATAACATCAGTTGCAGTGTATTCTAATCAAAATACATCATTTTTCTTAAAAATCTGCTATTTGAGCCATAATCTGTGGGATGGTTAATCTTCTCATTGTGCAATTGCTAGCTAACTATATAGGGGTAATCATGTGCGGTGGAGGGCCATCTGGGCAACTAGTGCCCAACAGATAGCAGCAATATCAAGTTGATTACCAACAAATTTAGAGGTTTTTTTTTTTTTTTTTTTTTCATTTAAAATTTATTCATTCATTTATTTCATTTTATTTCTTATTATTAACTATTTTATTCCCCCCCCCCGCTTTTCCAATCCATTTCACATCGTTTTGAGTATTGTTTTGCCTCGTCATCACAAATATCATACAATAAAAAAAATAGGTAGCGTACAGCACGGCATGTAGATTTCTTTCCTTTCCTTTTCTTCTCCATTCCCTCTCCTCTGCTTTTCTTTTAAAAACAAAAAAAAAAAAAAAAAGTCAGCTCGTTTGGTCATTCTGTTTCGCGTTGTCCATTTTTTGTGCGCCGGATGATATCCAGCGCGCTCTGGGTGATGATGTCGGCCGCGTTCTGATGGAGCTCTTTGTCCTCGTCTTCTTCTGCTTCTCCTTTCCAGGAACCTGTTCATTTTGTTTTCTCCACACGTTAGAAGCGTTGGGTTGGGGTTGGGGTGGGGGTGGGGTTAGGATGGGTTGGAAGAGCTAAATATAATATATATACATATATATATATATACTATATCTTACAACCCACCTTCAAATTGATGCAAGACAAAGGCCATCGGATCGCCGGCATCCTGGGCGCCCATCTGGCCGACGCCGGGGCTGAAGCTCGTGATGGGCAGGACGACGACGTCGCCCACCTTGCGCTGCACGGTGATGCCGGCAAAGTCCTTGGCGGTCAGGTTCCTGCCGTGTGGCGGGCGTGCGGCCTCGAAGTACTCGGGGTCGTTGAGATAGCGGAAGACGCAGTCGGTCCAGACGGCGGGGCCGGTGAACTCGACGATGGACTTGTCCATGATGCCCGGACGCAGGATGCCGGCGCGCTTCATGCGTAGGGTGTCCTCAGTGATGGTGGCGACGATGTCGCGTAGTACCGGGTGACCCCGCTTGGCCTGGATGGTCCACTGGCAGAACTGCAGCTGACGCGAGTACCACAGGTACCAGTCCTCGCGGTCGTGGGCGTCGGCCTCGATGCCCACGATCAGGCCGATGGCGGAGCGGTCGACGTGGGGGGGGAGCCACTCGATGGTAGGCTTCAGGGCGTAGGTGTCGATGTCGGTGTAGATGCCGCCACGGGCGAGGAGGATGAGGTAGCGGAAGAAGTCAGCCCTGAGGACGGGTAAGGGGAGGGAGCGGTAGGCGTCGAGGATTTCAGGGAAGGGGGCGTAGAGGTATCTCAGCAGGGGGTCGGCGTCGTCGTCGGTGATGACCTCGTGGACGAAGGACGGGTGCAGCTCCGTCCAGCTGGCCTCCATGGGGCGGAACTTGTCGCCGAACTTACCGGAGGCGGGGGTGTATTTCCAGGTCTGCCAGATGTACGCGGGGAATTTGGCGTGGACGTCATAGGGGAATTGGTAGCGGAGGCGTTCGCGGAGGGGCTTGCGGGCAAGATCCTCGGGGGACAGCGAGGCTGGTGCGGATGTGGGAGGGAGCGATTCGTTGTGGGTAGAGGGCGGCGACTCGGAGGACGCAGCAACGGACTTCTGTGCAGCTTTACGAATGGGAAGTGGTTGTGGGTGGCAAAGACGGAAGCAGGAGTGGGAGCGGGAGGAGAGGAGGAAGTAGAAGCTGGCGAGGAGGAGGAGAGTCGCTGCGATAGAACGGCGGAAGGTAATCATGGTGGCAGCTGGAGTAGACCAGGGGCGGAGCGGGGAGGAGCGGGCATGGCAGTCGAGCGGGAGGAGCGTGTTTTGGGGGGAGTCGACGGCGGAGTAATATGGGTAATATGGGTATTATGGGTAACACTGGTAACACTGGGTAATACTGGGTAACACTGTGGATGTCAAACACAGGCTGAAGGAGAACCGTGGAAGGCTCCGCGTGAACCGGGAACGGGGACGAAGTTTAAGCAGCAGCAGCAACAGCAACAGCAACAGCAACAGCAACAAAACGCCCTTCCAAGCCTGGTAGATCACCGACGCATGGCGATGGAATGGGGAGGAGACGAGACGATGAGGAGACAGGCCTTTGCTGAGCAGTGTGTTGTGTATAAGAAGAGAGGGGAGGAGGAGAGGGAAAAGAAAGAAACAACGGAGAGAAACAAAAAGGGGATCTGTGGACAGCAACACCCATTGACTGACTAACTGATTGGGATCTTCGTCGTGTTTCCGGTACGTGTACTCCGTAAGTAAACCTGTGTAGAGGTATGGATTGTGGGAAGAGAAGATCGAAGCTGCTGCAGACTGCTAATCCACGGCCAATCACAGCCCTCCACGGCCCTCCACCGCCCCCATGACAGCTGCAGCTCCCGGGCGATCCCTGCCCAGACTGGGCCCGCGGTGGGGCTAGGCTAGGCTGGTTGCAGCATAGCGGGCATCTGAAACAGTCCCGAGACGATCTGCGCTGCTCTGACTGGCTGGCCGGGGATGGGTGCGTGGTGGGTGATGTCATCGTCGGTATTTGAATAGAGGCGGCAGGTATCGTTGTATACTATGTATCGTTGTATGTATGTATGTATACATGTATCTACATAATGCTGATCTGTCTATTTCTTTATGCTCCAGTCCTTGTATACCTGGGTGCATATGTGCGGTACAAGTATAGGTCCACTGTTTCCATTTCGAGTGTTTGAAGTGTGCGGCTGCTCCAGGGCTTGTCTCAGCCTGGTTTCATGAATCCGCTGACTTAGTCAGATACACAGAGCAGAGAACTACTTCTGTGTTCGCTGTGCTATGCACTGTGGACTGACTGTAGTTTGGTGTATCTCGTTCCCTGGAGCCAGGCTTCGGTGACCATGGCTGGTGCCGTGCCTCGTTTGTTCGGAGGCTATCTACTCTGTACCACTGTGCAGTATATGTATAGACATACATCATCACTCCATCTTTGTTTCTATGCAACATCCGCAGCATCTGTATTGTGCCTCCACTTTGGCCAATCTCCATGCCAACCTGTCACGTGAATCCACTGTTTTGTCGATTACCAATCGCGCCCTCACCGCCTTCGTCCACACCCAATCGCCGCGTCCTCCGATGATGCAATGCGCAACGCCGCAGTCCGGCAGAATATCCAACAAAAAAAGACCACGAAAGACTTCCAGGTTTCGATGCGTCGACTCCCAGCGCGACATCCATTGAGCGGGGGAAATGAGATAAAATGGCTGTTCCCTTCTTACGCACTGCGTCCCTCTCCTTGAAGACCCTCGTTTGATCGTGTCCCGCTCCATACTGCGAGTACTGGTCCTCATACTCATGGCCGCCAGCTCGAGGGGACCCCTGGCTGCCGCCGCTGCTCGGCTGGCTGCGTGGAGGCCAGCGATTGCTCGACGGGGACTCTCTCCAACACCAGCGCATGCACATCTTCCTCCCATGTTTGCTGCTGCTGCTGCTGCCCCGAAGAACAGCACTATACATACGCAGACTCCTCTCAATGCTCCCTCCACCAATGCTGCCAGCGTCAAGCGAACAACCACGCCAGAACAACAATCGTACGCAAACCCCCAAGAACAAAACTCCTCCTCGAACCCCGCCCTCTCGTTCCCCTGCCTGGATGCCCTCGACGCCAAATCCGCCCTCCTCACCGCACGATCCGTCGACTCCGGCCCGGAACCCTCCTACACCACCGGCAACCATGAGGAATTCAAATCCACAGACCTCCTCCTCCTCGACTGGGGCGGCGTTCTCCCCGAATTCACCATCGCCTACGAAACCTGGGGCACGCTGAATAGCGACAGATCCAACGCCATCCTTCTCCACACCGGCCTCTCCGCCTCCTCGCACGCCCACAGCACCCCCGCAAACCCAAAACCGGGCTGGTGGGAACGCTTCATCGGCCCCGGCCGCCCCCTTGACACCGACAGATACTTCGTCATCTGCACCAACGTCCTTGGCGGCTGCTTTGGCAGCACGGGCCCCTCCTCCATCGACCCGTCCGACGGCAAACGCTACGCAACCCGCTTCCCCATCCTCACCTTGGACGACATGGTGCGCGCCCAGTTCCGCCTGCTCGACGCACTTGGCATCTCCTCCCTCGCCGCTTCCGTCGGCGCCAGCATGGGCGGCATGCAGTCGCTCGCCGCCGGCGTGCTCTTCCCGCACCGCGTGCGCCGCATCGTCAGCATCAGCGGCTGCGCCCGCAGCCATCCCTACAGCATCGCCATGCGCCACACCCAGCGCCAGGTGCTGATGATGGACCCCCGGTGGGCGCGCGGCTTCTACTACGACGCCGTCCCGCCGCATGCCGGCATGAAGCTGGCCCGCCAGATCGCCACCGTCACCTACCGCAGCGGGCCCGAGTGGGAGCAGCGCTTCGGCCGCGCGCGCGCTGACCCCTCCAAGCAGCCCGCCCTGTGCCCGGACTTCCTCATCGAGACCTACCTCGACCACGCCGGCGAGAAGTTCTCGCTCGACTTCGACGCCAACAGCCTGCTGTACGTCTCCAAGGCCATGGACCTGTTCGACTTGGGCATCGAGCAGCGGGAGGCCACCGCCGCCCGCCGCACCCAGACCCTCAGCCGCATCTCTCGCCAGGCGCGCGTGCAGAACGACCCGTCCTACGGCCTGACGTGGCCCGCGCAGCCGTACGAGGAGCGGGAGCAGCCGGCGCCGTGCGCATCATCCGCAGCACAAGAACATCTGGACACCGACGCATCATGCTCCACCACCACCACCACCCGGGCCACAACGACACAACCCAGCCCCCCCACAGACCTCATCCGCGGCCTCGCCCCGCTCCGAAACCACCCCATCCTCGTCATGGGCGTGGCCAGCGACATCCTCTTCCCGGCCTGGCAGCAGCGGGAAATCGCCGACGCGCTGCGGGCGGCCGGCAACGCGCGCGTGCGGCATGTCGAGCTGGGCCAGGACGTGTCGCTGTTCGGCCACGATACGTTTTTACTGGATTTGGAGAATGTCGGGGGACCTGTGGGGGAGTTTTTGGCGTGAGAAGCGGGGGGTTGGAGGGGGGGAGGAGTTAGAGGGTTTCAGAGGATGATTTCTTTTTCTTTTTCTTTTCTTTTTTCTTTGTGAAGATTTTTATTTTTATTTTTATTTTTTGATTTTGGTTGGTTGATTTTGCTTTTGTATATATAATGTTTTTACATGTTCCGCATTGCTCTTGTTTTTTTTTTCTTTTTTCTTTTTCAGGGGTTTGAAATTGCATTAGAACAAACAGCATTATTCACTCTTGCATTGCATTACTACATTTATCCGCCCTCACCCTTGCTTTCTGGAGAACAAATGCACTTAAGAACTCTTTTGAATATGCATATATCTATAGATATGTATATACATGAATGAACAATCTCATAAAGAAATGATGAACACATGTTAAGAAAAAAAAGGGAACAATGTAACTATCTCTCTCTCTCTGTCTCTCTCCTGGCTCTCAAAGAACTACAATAATGACATGACCCGTTATTAATTACACCAGCTGGTGTGAAGGTAGTTAGCTTTATTTATTATTCCCTAAATACTCTCTTTTCTATACACCTTTTGTTTGTACACTTGCACTTGCACTTGCACTTGGAACAGAGGACCGCTTCCGCTTTAAGCGGACGATTTGGAGAATGCTGGCTGGGTTCAACACACTGCATCTATCTATTAGACTGCGGGAGTATATAGCGGACAGCAGACTGAGATGCCATTTATATATATATATGTACTGCTACTTTAATCGAAGGATGTCGAGCTTAGATGAAGCGTTGACTTGCTACTATAAGTGGATGAGGAGAAGTCCAAATGGGCAAGCGCGTGCGAATGTGGAAGCAAATAGTGGAACGAATAAAAGGAAAAGAAAGGAAAGGAAAGGAAAGGAAAGTAGTTTGCGAAGACCCTCAGATTAGCTCTCAGGTTCTCACAGATTTCCATGCGAGTAAAACAACAATGAAGCAAAAAAGGTCATTTTGCATCATGGTTTCGCCGGATATCCTGCAACTTTGCCGATGTTTGAAAGACATCACCACTTGTCAATCTCGTCATTGGGCCTTCGACTTTAGAGAGGTTTAGAAAGTGTTGGTTTGAGGAGGAGAGGGAAGTTTTTGAAGGAGGGTTTTTTTTTTTTTGGTAGTTTTCAAAACGCCGCCCCGCATAGGTGGAAATGGCGAAGTCCAGAGTCTTGCTATTTTGCCCTCAGTCCACAGCCCACATATATAATCCACCAGCTCAACTGTGGGGCTTCGCCTTTCTCTCCAATGGGACTTAGCGTGCATGCCCGATATTTTCAGACGGCAGCGAGTACTTATGCAATCTCTTTGACATCAGCACCGTTATCCACAGACCTTTTCCATGTCAGTTGGCTGACTTGGGGTCTGGTGGGTCGGCCTTAGATCACATACAAAGTTGTACCGAACCCACGTGCAAAGTGTACATATGCCTGTATCGCATCCACATTGCGGCTTCGTGAGTCCGTTAGACTCGCGGCCATGAGCAAGTTCGGGTACGAAGTTTATTCCAAGACACCTTTCCTAGTGCGAGTGAGAAGTCCATTCGTGCGAACTGCTGCAGAGCATGGTATTCCAAATGTTCAAGCCACTGCCACCTGGACGAAGTCCGCGATGGTGTGCTCGGGGTTGCCAATAACCCTGGATGTACAATGACTCATTTGCAGAAAGCAACCGGGTAATGTCCGGGATGGTACTTGACTCAAACTCTGCCTTGATCAAGGGATGGGCCTAGCGCCGAAAGAAGTCTTTCGAGTCACGATGCAAACTGGCTTGCAATTTAATGCATTGCTGCCGAAAGAGGAACGAGCGAGCAACCAGAATAGAAACTGCATCAATCCTAAATTTCGTTTCTGGGCACGTTACAACTCACAAGGTCCAGGGTGACCAAGTAGTTCACGTTTCCGAGTCTGGTGTTGTGCAGGACCTCACAGAATCGATGACCACACTAAATCGAGGGGGGACAGCGACCTCGTGCGTACCTGTCATGACTTGATTCAACGAGGTGCGAATCCAATTCAAACACTGCAGGATTTTAAAAGTTAGTTGAGGATATCACACACTCAAATGTGTACTGGAAATGGCCCGTCTCTGTATCAGATTGAAAACTACAATAAAGTGAATACGCCTCACAGGCAATGCTCAACGTCGTTACCTTGGTGGGGCAAACATACGGAGCACAGGATGGTATCCATCCTTCCTCAGAGTACGCAATTTGTTTGTCATCAGGGTGGTTCGGGGATCATTGGATGTCTGCGACGTTTTGTTTTAAAGCACAGAGACGTACCTCTTTGCCAAACCCGTTGCCCAGAACACCTCCCCACGGTATTAAAATCAACCTCAACTCTGTCGCTTGGGTGAGGAAGCCCAAGGGCAAGTCGACGTAGTCATTTGCTAAGCAAGCGAAGCTGAGAAAGGTAAGCAGCCAGATAACTAAGTTATTGGAAAAAAGCAAAACATATGTCTCTAAGATCTCTGTTCTTTTATCAATCACTGATAGGCTGCCTTATCATGCTTCTTCCACCTGAGTCGTATACACAACTGGGGGGATGAACACATCGCTCTATACGCGTCAGGCAGCACTGCTCATGAAAGCTCAAGTGAGAGTCATCATCATTGAGACGCGTGAAACCAAGAAGAATGGGACAACTCACAGTCAGCAACTAAAATGCTTGTGGATAACAAGCACAACGGCGTTCCACTCACCTATCGCGGGTGGTTTGGAGTGAGATAGACCATCGTGGAGAACGAGAAGTTGAGGATAGACGTTAGTTTGTATATCACGTGATAACCAATCACATGATAGGATGTCGTCAGGCCTAGGCTCGAGCTTAAGCTTGGCCTCTTGGACAGGACTTGCTTTGTGTTTTCACAATTACAATTCAAAATGAGTGCTCTATTGACTGCCAGCGATGGGTTATCGGTTTGATAAACCACAGTTGGGACAAGGTTGTCATTGTGGAGAAGACTACAAGGATTTTTCTCAGAGGACGAGCGGGAAGATTTTAACAGGACAAAAGGGACAATCCCGGAAAAACTGGAAACAATGTCCGGCTGGATTCAAAGGCAGACAAACTCTCCCTATGTGCAGTTGGCAGGTGTTGCAGTTCTCTCCGGTGCGGCTGTTGCTGGTGCCATTTTTGGATATCAGTCCATGAAGAGGCAAGCGGCAGTACAGAAATTGAAAGCGTCCATTCCGGAACTTGACGAGCAGTATACAACACAGAAGGTGTGATTCCCACAATGCAGAAGTTGATAAGAGAATGCCTCTTCTGCTTCAATTACTACTCTTATGTCTAGTATATCGGTGTGCGACACCCGGCTGACTGGTCTGAGTTGAAGCTTACAGAATTCGGACTAGCAACGCCGCCGAACCCTAGTAAAGAAGATGAACGAGGTACTACTCTTGCTCGAAGAGCTCAAGCCGGGGACTATGATGATGGTACACTGTTTTTCCTCTTTGGTACATCCACATACAAAGATCGAGTGCTAATCCCACTCTTTGTCACAATTACAGATTTAATCCTAGAACAACTTGCTCGAAATCGCGTCTTCCTTACCGACGATGGGTTAGCAAAACTTCGCTCCTCATTCATAATAATTGTGGGATGTGGAGGCGTCGGCTCTCATGCTGCTGCAGCCCTGGCGCGCTCTGGAGTGTCCCGGATCCGTTTGATAGACTTCGATCAGGTCACCCTTTCGTCATTAAATCGACATGCTGTTGCAACTCTTTCAGATGTGGGTACGCCAAAAGTCCAATGCATGCGAAAGAGGCTGGAGCAAATAGTGCCTTGGGTCCGGTTTGACTGCCGGGATGAACTGTATAGTCAAACCGCCGCGGATGCTTTACTAGGCCCGTGGAACATGCAAGGTGACAAGGTGGCGCGGAAGCCAGACTATGTTCTGGACTGTATTGATAACATTTCGTCCAAGGTCTCCCTCCTTCACTACTGCCACTCCCACAACATCCCCGTCATCTCTTCCATGGGCGCAGGATGTAAATCCGACCCCACTCGCATCGCAATAGGCGATATCTCCTTGAGCGCCGAGGATCCTCTCTCCAGAAGTACGCGGCGTCGATTGAAGGCACTTGGGGTAAACTCAGGAATTCCAGTGGTTTTCTCTACCGAAAAGCCTGGTCCCGGAAAGGCTGCTTTACTGCCTCTGGCTGAGGAAGAGTTTGCGAAAGGGGAGGTTGGCGAGCTCGGTGTTCTCCCGGATTTTCGGGTGCGAATACTCCCCGTCGTCGGCACGATGCCAGCTGTATTTGGATATACCCTCGCCAACCATGTTATTTGCGAAATATCTGGATATCCCAACGAGTACAACGCGGGTGCCAAAGGCCGAGAAAAGATGTATGACAGCATCTTGGGAGCGCTGCAGGGGATGGAGGAACGCATAGCGAAATTCGAATCTGGCCAAGATCCTGTCGGACTACGCATACCCATTAACAAGGATGATGTCGCTTACTTGATCGAGGAAGTGTGGAGAGGAAAAAGCGTCGTCACCGGCTTGGCTACACGGCTGATGTTGGTGCGTTGGAAGCAGCCGGAGCATGGATTTGGTCCTGATCCGCTCTGGGAGCAGGAAGGGCAAAGGGGAGCGCGACTTGACCTGAAAGAACTGGTTTGCATGACTAAGGAGGAAGCGCTGCGACATGAACGGGAAGCTCTCAAAGGTGGTAAGGCTGTCGAGGACTTATATGATGAGAAAGTAATTCGGAAAGTCGAGGAGCGGATACGTGAGCAAGAGGTTTACGAAAGATATAGATAAATTGAGCGGATCGATGGATGACCGTTTGGAATAAAATATGATGGAAAATTTTGAACTTGCTCCTTTTGCGTTTTGCGCATGAAGCACAATGAATCTAAGTTATAGTGTGGGCCCTGTCACTCCCCATGCTATCCAAACTCGCATTTGGCCAGTGCTTGATGTGGGTTATATACCAACTTCCGGGCATTGTTTTTTGAGGTGTTCACATCACCAGCGATGAGTTCCCGTGCGAAAGGACATCTATTCGGCACCAGCACAATTAGCTTTGTTAAGTCAGGGGTGAGATATTGACATGTCAGAGTGGTAAAGTTAAATACCCCTTTCCCCACTCAATTCCAAGCCAGGAGTTGTAGCCGAATGTGGTTGCGAAGTCTAATAAGTCACCCATATTACCACCAACTGCCAATGTAAGTTACGGGAGGGCGAGAGCTCGGATTAGGCGTTAGTGATGAGGATTGTATTACTTCAGAGCAAGGGTCTGGGAGGTATTTATGAAGAAGTACTCCGTAAATAAAATAAACAAAGATATTCAAAAAACTCAAAACTCAAAAACCAAACCCACCGTGTGTCGAAAATGGTAGCTTTAAGGTTAAGGAAAGGTTCTATGGTTTTGAGAATGTTTAGTTTTCGCCAGCAGCGCCAGCAGCGCCGCCAGCGCCGCCATGTTCAATTGTAACTATGGCCCAGGACGTACGACGTAGTAGGGCGTCGATCGCTAGCGAATATACACCCGAAAGGCGTTGATCGTGGATCCAGAAGGCTGATCAAGCAGATGCGCTTGTGTCCAGCTCGGACAGGGGTGCATTGTCTGCATGAAGTTGCTCACCCACTGTCCTCGAACCACTTCCCGGACAACGATTCTTGTTCGGAGGATAAGATAACTCTTTTGCCTCACCATCGTCATCTCCGGTTACTGAAGAATAACTAACAAGGGGGAGAAGTGGCGTCTAGCCATGACACGTGATGTCTCCCTATGAGGCTCCAGCTAACGGCTCAAAACTCTCCTCCAGATATAGGTCAAAATCTATCCACCGACCTGGCCTGAAGCCCGTTGATAAGAGCAATTCCAGCTATACCGGCATACTAGACGAGGGAAAGCCCTTCGCGCTCGCGGAAACCCCATTGCCAGAGGAGTCTCCTTGGCGCGAAGCTTTGAGCCCTGGCTGGAGTATCGGCTTCCAAAACATGGCTGGGCCTATGCCTTCCACTTCCTACCCGCGACCGCCCCCGCGGCCCCTCATCGATTATGTCACAAATGGCTGGATGACCGCAGAACAGAAACACAGCAACTTGGGGCCAAATTCGAAGGCTGGCGGCTCTAACTACTGTCCTGCGAGCATGAAAGGCCTCCTCATCCTCGCCAGTGCGCCTCGACTCCGTCGTTACATCATCGTGTATCTTATTCTGCTGTGGATATGTCTGGGTAGTTGGATTAAGCTGGTTTCTCCTCGCTTAAGGGAGCATAATGACCTGTTAAGGGCTCTAGACCCGAATTTTGGAGATGGTCTTAGGGGTTGGTTTGGTTTGAATTCCATGCCCAAATTCAACGACCTCGTATATCTGAGATCGTTGGATCCTACGTTGCTACCTGGAGAGAAAGAACCTACTGCGGATAACCCGCACAAAAAGAGGCTTATTGTGATAGGCGATGTTCATGGCTGTTTGGATGAATGTGAGCTCCCAAAATCCTATATTGTGATCTACTTCCACGATAGCTGCCTGTGCACAAGGAAGTTTTGACGTGGTTCTAACGCTCGCCTTTTTACCCTTCTATGCGTAGTGGAAACCCTTTTACAAAACGTCAATTTCGAGCCCAGACAAGGAGATCATTTAATTTTCACAGGCGACCTGATAGCGAAGGGACCTAAGAGCACAGGAGTCGTTGATCTCGCTCGCAAATTCCATGCCTCCTGTGTCCGAGGAAACCATGAAGATCGTGTCCTTCTTACCCGCCGCCATATACAGGCTGAGGCTTCAACCAAAAGTGAACGTTCTGCTGCGGAAGAGCCAGACCAAATAGACGACGACATAGAACCTGCAAATAGGGAACGTGCCCTTGCGAACGAATTGACTGATGAACAGGCAAAATGGTTGGACGCGTGCCCTGTGATGTTGAAAGTGGGGTTTATAAAACACATGGGTGAGGTAGTGGTCGTGCATGGTGGCCTTGTTCCAGGCATTGACTTGGAAAGCCAAGATCCCTCCACCGTCATGAGTATGCGGACCATCGATATCTTTAGCCATGTTCCTAGCGCATCGTCCAAGGGTGTTTCTTGGACAAAGGTGCGTCTCAACCCCAACTCTCAAACTCTTTAGCTCACCTACTCTTCCTTCTATCTGTATTTCTTAACTTGCTACTATTCTCACGAAAATATTGACTGATGACTCTCTTCCCAGCTCTTCAATAAACACCAAACCATGCTAGCTGTATCTCGACAATCCGCACCGTTGGGAGAAAGGACGCAGTATCCTGCTGCAACAACTGTGCTATACGGTCATGATCCGCACCGCTCTCCTGTTTTGAAGAAGTATACCAAGGGTTTGGACACAGGTTGTGTCAAGGGCGGGAAGCTTTCCGCAATGGTCATCGGGGATGGCGGCACCAGCCACATCGTGAGTGTCAGGTGCAAAAACTATACGCAAAAGAGATAGCGAAGAGCTAAGCATCGTTTCACGACTCTAATTCTTATACAGCTGATTTTTGCACTAATTCCCTTTCTCGTTGCGATTTAAATATTTCCAATACGCCTTTTGCCTTGCTTGGGCGTTTTGGTTTCGGGGATCCGTTCTTCACAGATTCATTTTTATTTTCATTTATTTTCATTTTTGGAGGACAATTTATGTCGGGCACCCTCTTGCTTTGGTGGGGAAATCCTATATGTTGGCTATTTTTCACACTATACATACCACGCATATATTTGCGCATGGAAATTTCTTATTTTCTTTTCTTTTGGATTTTATATCTTTATATGTATATATTTACACCTGTATCATCATCCTGAGACATAGAGTTGTTGCTAACTAACATGTGGAGGATACATATGTTCTACTTCTCTTGGAGATGTCACGATTCCATTGCCCTGTTCTGAGGTCTTCTGGGCTAGTTATTTACGGCTTAGCCTTCCCGTCCATCCAGCTTAGACCTAGTTTCACCGCGCGCTTCACTGTATCTAATATACAGTACATAATGATAGTGTATTTTTGCCATTTTTCTTCCCATGTTGTTCTTCTCCTTCTTTGATACTTCTCGAAATCTGAAAGCTCTGCACCAAGTGGGCCGTGGCTCCATAGGCATGAACTTGTGTGCTACGCAGTTTGGAGCTCCAGGTAGAGTATGAGCATAGAACCGAGTCGGGAGGATAGAACACCCTGTTAGCACAAGCATGTTTTTCCCCACCCGCAGCGGCGGGATAGTCAAAAGTCGCCTTTGGAGCGGCCTGGAGATCGTTCTGTCTCACTCCGTATTGGGTAAAGAATTTATGTCTTTTCTCATCAATTCTTGGCCCTCTTTTGTACTTGAGGATAACCCGCCCATTTCCGAATGTTTGCTCTACGCGGCTCGGTGCGTTATATCTAAAGCTCTGTATGTTGCCGTGGTGCGCTCCGACGTACAGTACTGGTAGGATTTATGCACAGTGCGCGAAAACTATTAGCTACCAGGAACATTCATTGACTCGCCCGCTGGAGTAATGAATCATGCATGGCAACTTCAGGGGAACGACCAGCTCCCGGGCGCCACAAAAGTCAGAAAAAGAATGGGAAAGATTCTTAAACCGGTCGAATGTCTAGGCTATGTTGAGTTCAAATGCCATGGGTATACCTGGACATTAACTCGGGTCCCTTCTATACCCCAATATGTTGTAAATTACTTGTTCAATATCCTTCTTATGCCAGTTATTTTTGGAAAAGTCGACGAAACAGAATAAATATCGCATTGCATTTGGGGTTAATAGATAGTCGGCCAACAAATTGAATTAGCTTAACTCTCTTTGAGGGTCAAAACTGGGCTGGGGAGAGTAGCTGTGGCTAGTATTAAATCTGAGTATAGACCTCAGGATCCAACAATGAACTAAAAGATGCCAAAGGAAATTGTCATGGTAAAGTGCGCGGGAACATCTCGAGCCATTTTACGTTATGAATTTCAAAATTGACAGGGCGGCGGTGGGGGTATAGTTAAAAATTATATACGACAAGGAAATGACCAGAGGGGAAGTACCCCTGAGGTGAGAGGGGTATATATTCATAACACATCATTCACGATAAAACAGGCAAAATACCGGGGAGACAGAAACATATCCGAGGAAAGTTCAAGAAAGGAGTGAGGATAGAAGTGAGTCAAGCTGGAAGGAGAGAGTTCCGAACGTGATGTACTAGGGAAATACGAATAAATGAATGAACGAATATTGAGCTGAATGCCAGTGACATGATGTCCATTGGCTAGACGACAGGGATTTTGATGGGTTTGAAGTGGAGGTTGGCTTCTTAAACAGCGTGACGGCGTCCCCAGAAACCCCGGCGACTATTATGGTACAAGTCCCTCGCTTAGCATAGATTCGAGTATTTAACCAAACAGAATGGGAATGACAGGTGATGACGGTGCAGTTTTTCGTAATGAGTCCGGAAGCGGTGCTTGAAATACTTACGTACTAGGCCCACCAGCTGCCACGGGATGGCGATCGCGCGTCCGGTGTGTAAACCATACGCCCTGAAGAAAGGGTTCACCTCTTAGTATCAGATTGCAAGGCGGAAATACAAACGCAAGAAGGAAATTCGGGCAAAGAGATAACATACCACGATAGTAGAAACCAGCCATAGAATTGCTGAGACGAAGCTGAATGCCTCAACAGCCTTCCAACGAGAGCATACGCCGCCGTCGGTAATGTGGCCCCAATCGAAGGTCCCTCCGCAGTCCATCTTCTTGAGGACGTCCACAAGGACACCAAAGGCGGCAAACCATGCGAATGATAGGAGCAGATCACCTATTTTTATTTGGTCAGTGCGGAACTACAGAATCAACCAGAACCCTCAGCAGGCGCGGGGCAGCTCAACGGTTAAAGAGTTATTATATCTGTACAGGGCCATACCTATCCACAATGTAAAGGATTGGGAGAAGGGGATGAGCCAAATTATTCCTAGCAGTATTGATATTCCTGCTACGATGATGGTATAAATCCACCGGCCGTTTGGAAAGGAATCGGCGTCGTCAAAGCGAGCTAGATCATGGCCGATGATGCCAGCCACAACCTAAATTCAGATGGCTATTGTTAAGTAAAGGAATTTCCAGGGGATGGGTGGATGTAGCCGCTGGGAATTATGGGTATTAATATGATCACTTACAGCAGCGCAGCCAATCTCTCCTATACGGAGGATGACCGAAATTAGTCGAGAGAAGATCGGCATTGTGAGAACGTGTTTTGATATCTCTTTAATCAGACAAGCGCATTATTGACTTTGCTTGTAATGGATGTGCTTGAGTTGATAAGGTTGTTCAACGTAGTGTTCTGGTACTTTGAAACGGTGCTTGATAGCTAATGTATATAATGTATATGTATTGTGAAAACTAAGTGCGGATTGAAGTGAATGCTATAAATTGTACCCCATACAGGAGGAGCACGGAAGAGTATATATAGACCTGGAAAAAAATGGGGGATATAATGCATCGAAAACAATCAGCAAACTTGAAAAAAGATGATCCACCAAAGAACCCATGTGACGCAACAATGCTGTCAAATGGTAGAGCGCAGCAAATAAAGATCCCGGGCTATAGCAGGAGATTTGTTGTCGTTTGGAAGATGTGTTGATTCTTGGGGCAGTATGACGACTGCCACGATGACGTAGCGCTTGTGGCTTGCCAACGATCTGGCACGGATCCTGGCCATTAACGGGGATATCCACAACGCCCATTTGCTGCCAGCGCAGAGACATCTGGAGGTCGCTCGGGAGCCATAGCCACAGTCGTTGTTTTCGCGGCCAATCGTAAAGGGGGATTTGCACATATTCAGTGGAAGTGGCAAAGCCGCCCCATGAGCCGCTGTGATAATTGGGCGAAGGCCACAGCATGTACGAGTAGGTCAGTGCATGTCCGCCAGAGTCTTTACCATCAGCAGCCACCAACAACAGCCGCGCTGGGGGTTAGCTGCATCCTGCCTTTTGTCTTTGGCTTCCCCATGCGAAGCCCCATCATCCCTGTGGGCGTGGAATCAAGTAGTCCTCCTGGAACGACCTGTGCATTCCTGGAGACAATGGCCATGGATGCCGGATGAGAAATGGGTACCATTATCGTGCCAGCCAATGCATTGGATGCTCTTTGTCCTTGCGCCCACCTTGTCGAGCCCATTGAAGTGGGGGAAATCTCGTTTTTGTATTTTCGTTAGAGCCACCCAGTACGAGTTTCTCGGCTTTGTCAGCACCTCGCAGGGTACAAGGATGTCGCCTAAGCCCAATTTGATCTAGTGCAGATAAAGCCGCTTAGTCAACCTCTCCACACACCATTCGACTGTCGCGTCTTTGCCTCAAGTGGAAATATTTCTGATCGCGCATGGATCACTGGACGACGACAGGGACTAGTTGTACCAGGCCAGGTGCAGAAGAGTTTGTAGGATATTCAATCTTTTCTCTATCAATCTTTTAGGGCGGCTGGCTCCATTCTGGGTCTCCCATGTCCCCGGGTTCGTTTTTGAAGCATCATCCCTGCCAGTACGCGCTACGCCGCATTTTGCCATTGGAGTCGAGGATTTCCAGCCCACCGGCGAATCATTTATGAAAGCGAGGATGTCTTCTGAGGGCGGTAGTCCTGCGTCCCCGGCCGTGGGATCTTCTGACGGAACCGCGTTTTCTCCATCCCCTTCGTTTTCCTCAGACAAAGAGAATCGAACATCGGCTAGGCGATTGGATAAAAGGAAACCCGGCCATCTAACATCTGAGTCGACACAGCACTCCCAAGCAATGGCGGACGCGTCAAATAAAAGGCGAAGGCTATCGGAGAAAGGAGGACCGGATCGCCAAAGCCAGGCGGCACCCCGACGACAGCCACGGCATATCCAGGATACCGATCTATATGACCCCGATCAGGATCCAGAGGAACGTAGGAAGATCAGAAAGGGATTTAGAGACCTCGTGACAAATCTAAATGGTGTGATGTGTCCGAAGTTTGCGTGATTGTATGAATTTGTGTGGACTGTTTACTGATTATTTCCCCCTAGATTCTCGCGCGGAATACCTCCAACCCGGTTCCGATGGTATACGTACCACGTTGGATAAAGCAAACGAGCTATACAAATCGGTGAAGCAAACCTCTGACGCAACGATAGATTCTCGACTTCTCGTATCGGCGGCAGATTTATCATATAGACGCACTGCGAAGGCGGTTTTAGGCGATGGCGAGACTGGTATTGACGTGGACGAATTTGTTTCCAAATGTATTTCATTTATGCGACAAGGCCCTAGAGGGGAGGGGTATTCCCTTTCAAGCACCCAGAGACGGCGCCGTCGTATTACGGGCAACGATCCTAATGAGGAAGATAGTGATGAAGAAGGGGATCCCCTTAATTGGGACTGGCTTGGCCGGAAAGCTTGTGTCCCCAATAACCTACGTCCGTCTCTTTCTGGATTTCTACTCGGTCCGCTCTCGGTACAGAAGCGTTTCCGGCAACAAAGTCAGAGAAGGGCTAGACAGGCGCGGTTGGATCCTTCTCAGAATGTCCAACCCCAGGATGTTAAAGAAACCGATACAGACAAACAGGAGGTCTCGAACTTGACTGCCATGTGCACTGATATTAGAGAGATTCTGGTAAAAACTCAGACGCACAGTGAGACCCTCGTCAACGAAGAACTTTGCCGAATGGGCTCTGATGTGTCGGAGGATGTGATCAAGGAGGTGATGAGTAAACATGCCATTTCAGACGATGGCGGTGTACCATTATTCCGGTTCTGCATAAATCCAAAGTCCTTCGGTCAGACGGTTGAGAACCTCTTCTATATCAGTTTTTTGGTGCGCGACGGCAGTGTGGGTATATCATTGGATAGCAACCAACTCCCTACTCTACGTAAGTCAAGCGTTCCTGCTGCAAGTTGCTGCTCAATCTCCTATTTTCTGAAAAGATCTACTGACCTTTCCCCTATCCAGTCCCGTCTCAACCTGCTGCACCATCAGAAGCGCAGGCTAAAAAAATGAGAAAACACCAAACAGTTTTCAGCCTTGACTTTGAGACATGGGAAAATCTAATTGAAGTATTTGATATTAGAGAGCCCTTGATTCCGCACCGAAATGACGAGGCAACGGACGGGCAAATAAAGAAGTAGCCACTACACTACTACCTGGCACGGCTAAGAGCGTGTAATGCCAATTCGCGCCGCATCATTTACCTGTCTCTGTTTTTATTGAGGTCATCGGACCCTTTTGATTCTTTACTTTTTTTGGCCTTACTTCTGCACTTGATTCTCTTTCTATACTTCCTGCTTTCCTTTTTATTAGTTTTTGGTGCCTTATTTCTAGCCGCCTGCTTTTTATGCCCTTGTTTGCCTGTATGATAGATTTTTTGACCTGGTTCATATTATCGGATTTTAATTTATCCACGATTTCATCCTTGTCGTAATTCTTTTTTTTTATGACATGGCTGACATATTTTCTGGTAGACCCAGATCCAGATGCCTATCTCGTTTTCTATAATTAGGGCAAGCCGTGTCGGTGCGATTATACTCAAACAAAGACTCTAATTTCAGGAAGCATCTCTTATTAATTAATATCAGCACAGCGGATTTAATTAATTAACCCAGGGACAAAATGTATAACCAAGCTTGCTTGTAGAGTACAGGCAAGTGTTTTGACTCAATTACGTCATTGACATGTCCTCGACATCTGATCACCCGTGACGCACCGCAATTCAGAGACTCGATACTCCGAACTTGTGGAGAACTTACCTCAATAGCCACTGGATGTCGAACTTAAATGACTATTTACTTCATGTTTTTCATCAGGCTGGGCTGGGCACGCCCGTTTCCCTAATATAGCTGCCTTCTATCCCCTTCGCTGTGGTGTCATTCAATCTGTTACACTCTCCCCTATATTAATTCGTCCAGTATCCCATTTCTTAAATACACGCTGCTTCCGCGAGAACAACATCCTCCGGAAGCCAACTCCACTCTTCCAGTAACGACAACCTCATCGCTCCCGTGGTACATCACCCTAAAAACTTCCAGCAGGCCATCGATTACCGTCGGCCGATTGTCAAACAACTGGCATCAGAATTTCTTTACTTCAACACGATGACTTCAAAGTTGATTCCTTCGAATCCGGAGGAAGTCATGGTAATACGGAAAGTCCAGAGCGATATAATCACCCTGAATGTTCCTTTTTACCGCTTTGGGCATGTAAGGATCGGTGGAAGGTGTACGATTGGTACGAATAACTTGGCAGAAGGCAAACAGATGCTGTAATAGTGCCCGACATATTTGCTAATAGAATAACCGCAGTCCGTCTACAGAATGGTCCTCTAGCTGTATTCTCCCCAGTTGCCCTCACGCAAGGGGCCCGGGACGCAGTGAACTCGCTGGGCGGGAACGTCAAATACATCATTGCTCCAGATATGGAACATCACATATTCCTCACACCTTGGAAAGAAGCTTACCCGGACGCCCAGATCATCGCACCCGAAGGTCTGCAGGAGAAACGCGAGAAAAAACCGGAAACAAAGGGCATTGTATTCGACCACATCTTCACAGCAGTCAACAAGGGGGATTTCAAAGTGTCAGATGAATTTCATGCCGATTTCGACGTCGAATATGTCAATTCGCACCCCGGCCGCGAAATAGTCCTTCTACACAAGTCCTCCAAGACCCTCATTGAAGCAGATCTGATCTTCAATCTTCCCGCCACAGAGCAATTTTCGAAGTCTGGCGAGTCGGCCACAAAGGGTATACTCACAAAGATCATTAGAACTTTGCAATCAACAAAGCCACCTGCAAAGGGGCAAAAGCGTTTGATCTGGTATTTGTTATCAGCGAGGGACCGCAAGGGTTTTGCACAGTCGGTAGCTACGATTGACGGGTGGAATTTCGATCGGATAATCCCGTGTCATGGAGATATAATTGAAAATGGAGGCAAAGAGATTTTCCGTAATTTGTTTGAGTGGAATTTGGAGACGGCGAAGAAGTAGACATATATGTAGCAGTATAAAAAAGTTGGCACACGCACTCACACAAAATACACACGACCGCTCTGGCTTCTCCTTTAGTTTCGCGCAAGTTGGGAAAATTGAAATTGTTGTGGTGAAGAACCAATTGGTAATGAGCCTTTTGTCAATTAGCAACCATACTCAAGCCCGTAGCCTGCGTCGTGGCGTACACTGGTTGAAGGCTTGAAGTTAGCAGCGGCGCCGAGATATGTGGCCCTCATTATCATGTGATACATCTGACGTAATCGGTGCACCTCAATCAACTCAATATTCTAACCTGGTTAGCGTCCCAGGCAGCACGCGCTTTATATCAAGACAGCAGCTGTGGAGATGAGATTGAACATCGAATGAGAGGGAGAAAGACATCAACGGTTCCAGGGGCCGATAAGGCTAGCCTACCAGGATGGACACTTACACCTTCGCAACCTCCGCTCAAGTGGACCTACCAATCAGTCTGAAGATGTAAGTTCAGTTTGAGCTCAGAGCTATCTGCTGCTTATCCTTGGTCTTCAGTGAATAACGGTTTTTTCATCACTCACTTTAGATGTAACTTGGAAGGAAAACAAAAACCGATACCTTTCTCCGTCTTAATTAAAAATCCCGAACTTCGACACCTAGGGTCAAACCAGAGCCCGATATCCGACCTTTTCATTACGGTACAACTATGGGCTAGCTCTAAACCTCTAGGTGTTCCGATTCAGACGGCATATAAAGCATTTAAGACAAGCCGTACATGGAATGAATGGCTTACAATGCCAGTATCCATTAAAGATGCACCGATCAATAGCCAGTTAGCAATCACCGTTTGGGATTTGTCACCCTTGGGCGGAGTCGATGCTCACGGCCATTCCGTCCCTTTTGGTGGAACAACCATATCATTATTTGATGACGACGGTACTCTGAAAAAGGGTAGACAGAAGTGCAAAATCTACCGGCACAAGGCCGCGGATGGGCTTTCCAACACCACGACACCGTCCAAACCAGCGCAAAAACGTCGCCTCCCTCCCCATACAGATCATGGGCCTACCCCCGAGGAAGAGGAGTTAGAGCGCCTGGAAAAGCTCCTAAAGAAACACGAGATGGGCGAGATACCCCGGGTTGACTGGTTGGATCAGTTAGTATTTCGAGCTGTAGAGAAGAAAAAATTGGATGCCGAGGAATCTGCAAAAAAGAGGGCAATACGCAACCAAGCTGCCAGGGCAAAAGTCCCAGTCAAGAGAAGTGGAAAGCCAGACAGCCTTGATGACGACTGGGAGGAAGATCAGATAAATGATCACGAAGAGAACTTCGTTCTCTATATCGAATTCCCACGCTTTGATTTTCCGCTCGTTTTCGAAGACTTCGAATACCCTCGCCCACCGATATCTTCTTATTCCCAGCAACAACTATCGGGCTCTAATTCGACCCTCAAACCTCCTCCGGAAGTCCGTTTGGGGCCTGATATAGATGGCGCAGCTAATGATGACGATGAACATAGGATAATTAGAATATATGACCCAGAGGTTGGCCAGAAATGGAACCCCTGCGAAGACAAGCATCGAAGACTAGTTCGTAGCCACCGGACGGGAATCATGGATCGCGACCTCAAGCCCAATCCGAAGATCCGTGATGAATTGAATGAAATCATGTTGTACGGACCTACACAAGAATTGAACTCTGAGGAGAAAGACCTTGTCTGGAAATTCAGACACCACCTCACTCGCGATAAGAGGGCCATGACTAAGTTCGTGAAATCAGTCAATTGGCAAGATATCGGCGAGGCTCGGCAGGCCGTGGAAATTCTTCCGAAATGGACTGAAATTGATGTAGACGATGCATTGGAACTTCTCGGACCGACGTTTGATAACCCAGCAGTTCGTGCATATGCGGTGGAACGGTTGAGGAAGTCCGATGACGAAGAGCTCCTCCTGTATCTCCTGCAGCTAGTACAAGCCTTAAAGTTCGAGGCAATCCCTCATGGAGGTGCTGAAGATATCACACAAGATTCTTCTTTAACCAATTTCCTCATCACTCGGGCTGCGAACAACCCCCTCCTTGGAAGTTATTTTCATTGGTACCTTATGGTTGAGTGTGATGATGCTGGTCCAAGCACTATTTCCGTCCATCGCAAACTATTCGCCCGCGTTGAGTATTACTTCATGATCGAGCTGGAGAAACACCACCCTGAACAGAGGAAGTCTTTGTTACGGCAAGGTGAACTAATTACAATTCTATCCAAAATCGCCAAGGATATTCGCTTCTCGAGGGATAACCGTGCTGTCAAGATTGAAAAGTTGAAGAAATTTTTGCTGGACCCCAAAAACGAGCTTGCTACCATTGACCCTCCTCTACCACTTCCATTAGACCCGGAAATTCTGATCACTGGTTGCTTTGCTGAAGGTTCTAATGTTTTCAAATCCTCCCTCTCACCTCTGTTGATCAACTTCAAACTCTCTGATGGACGAAAATACCCTGTAATTTTTAAGGTCGGAGATGACCTTCGACAAGATCAGCTTGTCATCCAAATTATCAGTCTTATGGATCGTCTGCTGCAAAAGGAAAACTTAGATTTGAAACTTACCCCTTACCGCATAATTGCTACCAGCGCCAATGCCGGTGCGCTGCAATTTATCCCCTCGACATCCCTATCAGCAGCTTCCGCTAAATACAAGGGATCGATCCTTGCATATTTAAGAGCGAACAATCCGGACGACAAGGAGCCATTGGGTGTCCGTAAAGAAACGATGGACACTTACATAAAATCCTGCGCCGGCTACTGCGTGATTACTTACCTTCTTGGCGTAGGCGATAGACATCTAGACAACCTCTTGCTTGCACCGGATGGACATTTCTTCCACGCCGATTTTGGGTTCATTCTTGGCCGTGACCCGAAACCGTTTGCTCCCATGATGAAGCTCTGCAAAGAAATGGTGGAAGGTATGGGTGGAGCGTCGTCACCCAACTATCTCCTATTTAAACAATATTGTTTTACTGCATACACCACGCTTCGGAAATCTGCAAACCTCATCCTTAACCTGTTCAGTTTGATGGTCGATGCGAATATCCCCGATATCCGCGTCGAACCAGACAAGGCTGTTCTGAAGGTGAAGGAGAGATTCCACTTAGAAATGAGTGAAGAGGAAGCAATCCGTCATTTCGAGCAGCTCATCAGTGATAGCGTGAACGCTATTTTTGGAGTCGTCATCGACCGTATTCACGATTTCGTCCAGGGATGGAGGGCATAATTTCTTATGAAAACCCGATCGGGGCACTTGGTTCAATGATAGCTGGCATATAAAGCGTTGCGCCCATTCTACCGGTTTATCATGGCGTGTTAGATATGCTTTTCTGAATAGCAGTTTGGTAGATACGGTCGCCGGGGAGTTAGGAGGTTTTTGGCGCGATCTTGTAAAGATGCATTGCAAGCATTTAGAATATACCCTCAAATTAGTGTTGACATACTTTCTCATGGACATCGGAATTCCTAATTGTTTAGATATGTGTCTTGTCAGAGCTATATTGGCCCTCACCATTGTCAAATTTTACATCATATGTTGTTTCGTTTCCTGGACCCACACATCGCCACAAATCCATTACCAATAACAATAATCTACTTTGCTGGCTTTCTTCCTCTCTCTACCTAGATATTATGTTGGAAAGCACTTCAGCGTGGTTTGTAATTGAGAATTAGAGGCTTGATAGATTTGGAATGGGTTGTGCCGAAGTGAAGTGTTATCGTGGCTCGATACAACCCATGCATCCACTCTCTTGACAAGCAACTTCAACCTGGCACTGGCAAATGTGTCGGTTTCCCGAGAATCGGAATCGGCTTGCATTGGCGCACAGACCTTATATCAGCGAGCTCAGACCCTCTATTAGCTCGGTTGCAGCAGCATGACACTAAACTACTTTAGTTACAAGTCATGTGCTCAGAGCAATCCTCGCCAGAGGGTCTGAGAAGTAATAGTTCATGCTCCTGTGGAGATTCTTGAGATTTTCATAGATTCTTCAAATTTCTCAACTTTGACTTTCAATTACACAACAGTCATATATCTTTGAGATTTGTAAACTATCTTAGATTGTAGCTAAAGAGAAGAAGAATATAAATATATAATTTTTATATTAAAAAAATCAATATTTAATATAGATGTATCTTGTTGAAAATGATCACTTTATTTCTTGTTGAAATCAAGCAAATAGCAAATCCTTCCCATGTTCAAAAAAAAATGAGTTGACTTTGAGGTGATACTTCATATCTAAGAAATGGGAATATGAAAATAAAAATTGATATCATTGTGTAGACTGGCCGGTGGGACCATGAATTTCACATTTGGTTTGGTTTGGTTTGGTCCCAGTCCATTTCTTGGCATTATTTTAGTGGGACCAGGATCAGAATGGGAGTGTAAAGTGACTAGAATTATCAAAACATGAGTGAAATGGGACTAAAAAATCTTGATATTCCATGTAAAGTGACTGACTATCAAAAATAAGAACATGATCTGGGACTGATCATGATTTTGACTCAAGTTTGGTCCCATTCTGATGATTATATAATACATCAATCTGATGATATGATTGGTGGAGATATTACCCCTATCTTGCTTAGTGCTCAATGCCCTGATGGCTCGCTATTAGATCCCCTATCTACCACTGCCAATCTACCTACCACTGCTAATCTATGCCGCTGCCAACCTACCTATCGCTGCTAATCTATCGCTGCTGCCAACCTACCTACCACTGCCAACCTACCTATCGCTGCCAACCTACCTACCACTGCTAATCTATCGCTGCTAATCTATCGCTGCCAACCTACCTACCGCTGCCAACCTATCTACCACTGCCAATCTACCTACCGCTGCCAACCTACCTACCACTGCTAATCTATCACTGCTAATCTATCGCTGCTAATCTATTGCTGCTAATCTATCGCTGCTAATCTATTGCTGCTAATCTATCTATCACTGCTAATCTATCGCTGCCAATCTACCTACCGCTGCCAACCTACCTACCGCTGCCAACCTACCTACCACTGCTAATCTATCACTGCTAATCTATCGCTGCCAACCTATATAGGGTAAATCATGGTCCCATTTGGTCCCATTTTGTAAAATGGGACCAAATGGGACTGGGATCACTAATTTATTAGTAAAACATGATCTGGGACTAGATTTATAATATAAACAGTGTAAAGTGACTAATTTACTAAACACTATATGGGACCAGGACTAAGATATCTAATAATGGGACTGAGGAAAAATTTGGTCCCAGTCCCATGCATGGTCACACGCCAGTCTATCATTGTGAGAACATTGATTTCTCTAGGTCCTAAGGTGATACAGAGATGCTGAATAGATGGAGTTGGTTTAGCTTTCCTCACCCCTTACACAAGATATAGAAGCAAATCATTCCTGTGTTGCTAACAAACTGAAACCGTTTTTTCTCAGACACTTCGCAGGAGAATTGCACATCATGTGATATGACTATTTTGGGTTAGTTGATTACTTATTTGAGATTAGCTTCTTTAAAAAGTGACTAATCATCAAATCAGTGTTAAAACAGCAATTATCCTGCGAAGCGTCTGAGCTTGCTGAGATAACACAGACCAACGCCTTGGGAGACACCACGTGATTGGCACTTCACTCGGCGATCTCGTGGCAGGCACAGCGTTAATTTTTCACCTCCAGGGCATGAACCCTTGGTTGCGAAACAGTCGTCTTTGACTTTTACCCCTCCTAAGGAGTGTGCCTATGCTTAAAATGTGAGCATATCTATTAATCCTTCCAATTACGTATCCGCCATTCTCCCACCCCTGCTCACGATGGCCTCCACTTTTGTACCGCGCTCGGTGTTCCCCAAAATTGACAGTATCCCCCGCACTTACTTCCTAGGCCATCACAAGGCTGGGCTTGAGAAAATGAAGAAAATGTTGTCGTCAATTGATCATGTCATTGAATGTAGAGATTTTCGCATTCCTGCCACTTCTATCAACCCTGTCTTCGAAGAGGCTTTGAGCGGGAAACGAAGGTGGATCGTATATACCAAGCGGGACCTTGGAGGCGATTTGAAGTTAGCGAACCAGAGAGTGAGTTGTGAGGATTTATACGTACAGTTGTTTCCTCTTCCCTGGAACTGATACTAATATCTACTGTGGCTACGTAGAATGAGGCAAGGATACAACAATGGCATAAGACATCGAAGGCGTTCTTTACCAGCCGTTTCGATAATAATACAATCGTTCCGATCGTGAAGGCCCTTAGATCGCAACCGTTTAACCCAAATAAACTCACAGGTGCTCGAATCATGGTAGTTGGGATGCCGAATATTGGAAAATCAAGCCTGATCAACGCACTCAGAAATTATGTCATGAAGAAGGGGAAGGCCGCCAAAACTGGTGCAGATCCTGGCGTAACCAGAAGAGTCGGTGGCGGTATTAAAATCCTCGAGAGGGCCCAGGGATCAGTCTATGTGCACGACACACCTGGAGTCTTTATGCCGTACATGCCAGATTCAGAGAGCATGCTGAAGCTTGCGCTTTGTGGTTGTGTGAAACATACTATTATCCCAAGCATCACGTTGGCTGACTATTTGCTTTATCAAGTAAATCTCCACAAACCAAGGGTATATGAGAAATATTCGCCGCCAACGAATGATATAATACCTTTTTTGGAGTCATTTAGTGCAAAAACCGGATGTTTCGCCAAAGGCGGAGTGCCGGACCTCGATGCTGCGGCTAGGAAGATGGTGCACATGTATCGAGAGGGGAAATTTGGAGCCTTTATTATGGACAATATATTGGACACGACATTGAAGCTGCAGCAAGAACGATTGGCAGCTATGGGCGGAAGTATTAACCAGGCTAAGAAGGCAGAGAAACTGGCCAAGAAAGAAAGGCAAATGGAGACTGTGGAGGTAGTGTGAATGCCGGAACCTCAATACTTTCGAGCGATTGTTCTTGTTAGATCAACCTTGTACATTATGTAATTATAGATAGCTAGAAGGCAGATAATGAATATAATACGTGAGTGTAGTAGTACTACATGAAAAGTCAACAATCGGAAAAACGCCAGCCGCCCAGGAATATCATACTCTCATACCATCATGGTATCAAAGGATTTTGTCAAGTAATCTCCGCCGCCGTCTATCCACCAACTCCTCTTGGACCTCTTCGAGAGTCGGCAGCCTCCACTCGACACCATCCCCAGCATCACCCGGAAGAGGCGCCCACCCGTCAGCTGCCTCATCCTCGCCTCTCTTCAGCATATTCTCGAAAGCTTCTTTTTCCTTCTGCGATTCATATTCCAACAGCGTCCCATCCTCTTCATCCAAGTCATATCCAAAATACGCAGCATCGACGTGTCTCCGGGATATATCAACCACTCTTCCCCCACCATCAGTATCCTCCTCTTTACTTCTCCTACTTTGCTTCTTCGCAGCAGCCTCGAACATCTCCTTGACACCTGGCAACTCTTTTGCCCTTCCAAAATATCTATAGCCCTTCCCGCCACCCGGTATTTCCCTACCATCATCATCATATACCCTCCCGCCACCACGCGTATAATTCGGTCCTCCAAGGTTTCGTATCTGCACTTCCCACATCCACTTCTCTCTCATCGCTTTATTGATCTCATCATTCAAGTCGCGGATTTGGTAGTCACTCAAGCTTTGATCCTGGATGCGCGAGACTTTGCGCGATATTTCCTTGAGCACTTGTCCCCGCCATTTCTCGCATACGGGAATCGAAGTGACGGATGTGATGGCCTTGGGACGGCGGGTACGTCCTATGTCGAGGATTCCAAGATCAGCGGCTTGCGCAGCGCGGAAGCGGAAAAGCATAGACTGCGCCTTTTCGCTGTTGCGAGCCTGGATTCAAATCGACTATAGTTAGCTTTTTGTCACTGATTCTTTATTATTATTTTTTTTTTTCTCTTCGGAGCGATGAAAAGGTGGCTGACCATGGCTACGGTATAGTGGGAGAAAAAGCAGAAAATGTTATTATAGATAAACTCAAGTGGAAATAAAGGTAGGAAAAGGTAGCTTGTCCTTTTCCCTACGGAAAATTGGTGTTGTGGCGGGAAAAACGTGTAATGGTGTTGGGGTATCAAAGTGGTTGCTATGGATGTTTTCATTGTTGCTCAATCGAGTTAGCGTCATCACAGAAGAAAGACCAAATTTTTAACATAGAATGGATATTTACTAGTATTTACTCTGGGATCAAAACATGTAACTATGATTAATTCAAGGAACCCATCAACCAGAGCTATTGTATATGTACCAATATAAGAGCAACAATGAGAAAATAGATGTAGATTTAAAACCTGGCTTGCTCCCTGAGAAGATCATACTCCCCGTCCTTCACACCCACATATCTCATGTATTCATGACAACATAAACCACGCTGCTCCACCATTCCATAGAACCGGCATGCTAATAAAACTCAAAACCCTCGTCAAGACGAGAGTATTATCTTGCGGAAGACAAACCTTCAAAAATGACAAAAAGGAAAACAGAAGGGAAACAAAAACGCTCATAGGAATCCTTTCGAGTTACTCAATTTTCGTTGAGGAACTTCGATAGGGCCATTTGGTCCCGGACCTACAAAGACGCCACTACCGCGGCGACTCACATTGACACCACCGAATCGATCACCCACTTCACTCAATCCAATCGCAGTCCCGCTGCGACCAGTTGCACTGCCTCGCTCCACCCGCAAACCCTTCCAGGCCTCTAGCTCTCGCTCAAGTCGTAGAGATTTCTCTCTCTCTTCACGTAGTTCCCTTTCGGCTCGTCGTGCCTGGAGTTGGTTTTCAGAATCGCTTGACTGAAGCTCTTCAATGGTCTTGAGGAGCCGTTCGATCTTGTCACGGGACTTGGAAATATCCTCAGATAATTGCGCATTCATTTTGTCACGGCGGTCAATCTGAGATTGAAGGTCCTTGACAGTGCGATCAACATTGCGGATTGATCGTTGATCAGCATTTCGCTTGGATTCTTGTTCATCCAACTGGGTTTCGAGCTGTATGAAATATGGGTGTTAGTAGGGATGCTTTAAATGCGACTCATGGTAGATTGAGTGGGTATCCTACCTCTTGGATACGTTTATGCAAAAATCTCACATCCTGGCTAGGAGAAGTGTAGCCTTTAGTTTCTAAATCAACGCACTTCAACTGTGCCTCCTTCAGCTGCTTCTCTAGGGCTGCCTTTTCCTTGAAGAGCTGAGCATTTGATTCACGTTCAGCAACAATTTCCTTCTGTATTTCAGTTGCCAGGGCTTCTGCTCGCCTCATCTTTCCAACAGCGGCTGAAGATAAGTCTTCCTGCTGAGCAAGTTTAGTTCTTAATTCAAGGAGTTCCCGATCTATCTCAGCAGCATTGCGAACAGAAGGATTTTCTCCTTGTGCAAGTTCAGCCAAGCGATCTGACGCTTCATTGAGGCGCGCTTCAAGAGTCCTCTTCTCCTTGAGTAGTGCATCACGCTCACTGGAAATATCATCTACCGATGTTCGCAGGCCGCGGACTTGGGATAACAAAGTAACTATTTTGCTTTGCGCATCATTATGTGCATTAACGGCCTCGTCTCGTGAAATCGATAGATCACGCAAAGTCAATTCCAAACGTGACTTCTCCTTCGCCCAGGTAGAGCTATTCAAGACTTCGTCATCCCACTTGGATCGGAGCTCCTCAATTTCTTCACGCAATCGAGCATTTTCCCCTCGGATATGGAGCACATTCTCACGCTCGATCTCGAGTTCATTAGTCAAAGTTGAGAATTCCATCTGATATTTCTTCCTGGTTTGCTCTAAGGAAATTTCCTTGTCTTCGATGTCCATGGCGCGTTGGCTTCTATAATCTTCTAATTCATTTTGTAGCCTCCTCTTTGCTTGTAATGCCGCGTCCAGATCAGCAGCGAGATCTTCGACCTTTTCTTCATAGGATTGCGTCTGGCGTTGTAAATCTTCAATGAGGCTATCCATTTGTTTCCGTTCTGCCATAATGGTTGCGCATGTATCTTCTGCCTCCTTGGCTTGCGCTTTGGCAAACTGTTCGGCGCGACTAGCTTTCAAGACAGCGATTTCAGCCTGTTCAAGCTTTCCAAAGTATTCATCGGCGCGACCCTTGTAGAGCTCGAGGCTGGAGGTCAAGTCGCTGACCTTGGAAGTTTCAGCATCCAATCTAATTTGGAGGTCTGCAAACTCCTGGAGCAATTGAGACCGACCGGCCGCATCTTGTTCCCTGGCAAGCTGCAATTCTTTCAACTCGGAAGTAGCATCCCGTAGCTCGACTTCAAGGCTTACCCTTGAATGCTTGATCTTGTCCAACTGGCCTTTTGCGTCTGTTAGATCGGCCAGCGCACTCTTATGAGCGTGCAGAAGCGATTTTCTTGACTGTTCCTGAGAGTTGAGCAGGTCGTAGAGTTCTTCATGAGATCTGGCTTGGACATCTCGGAGGGTCAGCTCTCCAGATTGAATACTACGTTCCAGCGCTGACACTTTCTTCGCGGAGTCGTCAAGCTTTTCGTGAAGACGTCCATTTTCACGCTCAAGAAGCTGCATTCGTCGGATCGAAGGGCTCTCATCTTGCCACGAATCCCATGCCGGGCTTGACCTCTCAAGCTGACTTTGGAGTTGCCGATTCTGCATCTCAGTGAGCTGAAGTTGATTTTGAAGCAATTCGATTTCAGCAGCAGTATCCATTCGCTTCTGAAAAGCCACAGTGTCCACAGTTCTATCAGATCGACCAGAATCATTGGCGCCATCATTGAAATTAAATCGGCGATTGTTTGGTGTGCAGGGGTTTGAGTAGCGCTTGACAGGATCGGAATTCTTCTTGAAATGATTCGGCGAACGCGACACTGCAACTTGATTTTGATCGATCTCTTCAAGAAGTGCCCGTTTGGAAGAGGAATAACGAGCATCAAGCTCAGCCATTTCATCCGCGTGGCGTCGACGCATTTCAGCTAGTTGGCTTTCAGCGCGAGCGCATTTCTCTTCAGTAACTCTAAGCTTGTTTTGTACTGACTCCAACACTGCTGCCATATCCACACTCTTGGACAAGTTCGGTTTGACCGCCTCCCAGGAACTGGGGTTTTCATCAGCTTCAGGGTTGAATACCTTATGGAGAAGTATAAGCTGCTGATGGCAATCTTGAAGTTCTTTATTTGCTTGATCAACAGAAGCTTGAAGTTTGCGCGTGTTGGCTTGGGCCTGGATTCTCAGCTGCCTTTCGGTTTCAAGGTTTCTGTTGGCCTCAGCAAGCTGGATATTGGATGCTGATGATGCTTTCTCCGCACTTCTTGTTGCCTTATGTTCTCTGGTAACCTCATGGTTGAGATCTTCAACGCTTAGAGCCAGCTTTTCCTTTTGTTTTTCAAGTGCGGTGATGGATAGTTGGGCATCGCCCAGCTGTTGTAAAAGCTGCTTGTTCACTTCCTCCAACCGACTCTTCTCATTCTGGATCTGCACCATCCTCGATCGTTGCGTATCACTAGCCCGGGAATTTGAACGAGCAATGTCAAGGTTTTTCTGCTGGATTTTGTTAAGAAGGGCTCTGTTGTCATTTTCCGAGGCAGCGAGCCTTCCTTTGATTGTCACGAGTTCGCGCTCTAGGCGCTCCTTATGCTGATCATGACGAACCCGGAAGGCCTCGGATTCGGCCATGGTTCGCGTGAGGTCCTGCACCTGCGCAGCAAGGCGAGCACGCTCTTTTTCGACTTCGTCAAGTTCGTTGGATTTTGCCGCAAGGTCTCGCCGTAAACTTGCTTGCCGTTCACTTGCTTGCGCTACAATTTTCTTTTCAATTGCGGTTTCGGAATCCAAATGCGCACGCTCAACCTTGGTGAAACGTTCTCGTAGATTGATGAGTTCCTTCTGCAACTCTTTGCAGGATGCCTCAGCTGCTGCTCGCGCTTCGGTAGCTCGCCGCAATGTGTCTTGCTGGATATACATTTCTTTCTCTATAGTAATCTTCGATTCGTTAAGGATGTCAAATTCCTGTTGGAGTTGGGCATGTTTATGTTCACCGAGTATTTGCACATCGTCTCTTGATTGCCTCTCACGGCTAAGATCAGCTTGAACAGCATACAGTTGCTCCTTGAGATCCTTGACTTGTTGATCAAGCAATTTGCGACATTGCCCAGCCTCAGCATCTTCGGAGATCTTGGCTTCTAATAGCTTCTTGACATCTGCAGCCTCGCGTTCCAGGTTCTTCTTTTCCGACGTCATAACATCCGTTTGTGCCTGGAGCTCACGGAGTCGTTGTTGCATGTCACTGTGTCGGTGTGTAAGGGTTTGCTTTTCGGCTTCCAGGGTTATTTTCTCCGACTCCAACTTTTTCACATCTCCACGAAGGATAGAAATCTCCCCCTCCTTTCGTCTGACTAATTCCTCATACCCGGTCGATGTGGAGGATAGATCGGAGATCTGTTGGCGAATTGATCTGTTTTCTTCTACAAGATCTTTAACTTGCTTCCTCGAAAACTGGAGTTCTTTGGTCGCGTCCGCCAGCTTGATGTCCAGGTTCTGGTCTGACTTGAGAAGTTTAGCTTCGAGATCTTGTAATTTCCGCTCCTTTAAGCTTAGGTGGCTATTGAGCATCTTGACTTCCTGAGACAGTTTATCAACCTCGCTATCTCGCTTTTGGTGATTGTTCTCAATATCTTGTAACTGTTTCTCAAGTTCAGTGATTTGTCCTTGGAGTTCTTTCTTCTCAGATTCAAGGCGACTGATTATCTGCGCTGCTTGCTCAAGCTGCGAACGTCGAAGCTCCAGCTCCTCCTCAGTTTTCTTTTTGGATGCTATCAGCACATCCATCTGATCCTCCAAGCTCTCTTGATCAGCGATCGCGCCGGCTAGCTTTTCGCTGAGCTCGATCTCTCGAAATTGGAGTCGTTTGAAAATTTCCTCTTTATCCAAGGCCAGCGCGCGTTCACTCTCGAGAGTCTTTCTTATCCTTTGCACTTCTACGTCTGCCCTCCGGCGCTCCTCCTCTAACTTTTGGCGCTCTGCAATGTCATTTCGTACTTTCTCCTCAAGTTGTTTGATTTGCTCGTCGCGTTTTTTCACTTCCCCAGCAGTTCGTGTTGCTCCAAGAAGTGGCTTCATCCGTACAAACAATGTCCACCATGGGGATGATTTTAGATCGAGGTAGACGTGGAAGTTACGCTGGATGATACGAGTGGCTTCTGTACGGTATAGCCGTTTGTTTGCAATGCGCCTCTGGACAAACCCTCTGACAACAGACTGGAATCTTGTCATGATGTCACGTATTAGAGTGTCTCTTTGCTCTTCGAGCTCTGCAAGAACACCAGCTCTGAAGAACATCTTTGTCAGACCAATACGATACAGCGACTTGTCTAGCCCCAGGTTCTCAACAATAAGGCTAGCCGCGCTTTGTCCGTCAAGGTATCCTTTTGCCATCAGAGGACAAAGAACCTCATACCGCTGTCGAAACTCTGTGAACGAAAGGCGGTTGGGAAATCCGGTACGGGCAATTCGAATACCTTCCAGTACACCATTGCAGCGGAGTTGATCCAGTACCAAAGGGCCATCAAATAGCTTGGGTCTCTTTTTGTGATTGGGCAAGATACAACGAACAAAATGAGGATGTGTAGAATGTAGTTGAGCCATGAGACTCGAAAGTTGCTCCTTGTGTCTTTGGGCAACAGTGCGGAATAATCCTTTTTTAACACGGCTCTTTGACACTTCATGTTCTCCGTCGACTTCAGCCCAGTCAGCAAAAAGGTTGGCGATGTGTTTATCACTTGACGAAGATAATAGTCGGGTGACATTATCGTTGAGGGGATCCTTGTTCTTCTCTAGCCATCCCTCAGTGGAATACTCCACTTCGGCGGCATAGTGGGTGAGGATAAATCCTTGGTTTAGTCGGGAAGAACGATATTTTGGAGATTTCCGGTCCCACAACGAATGAAGTTTTTCAGTAAATGATTTATCAGTAGCTTTTGGCATCACGCAATCTTCATCCAAGCAAGAGAATATTCCGATCGGATTAGGAAGTTCGATAAGGTCGATGGTGGGTTGAAGATCCTTTCCAAAATCAATGAACTGCCATTCGATTTGCTCCCTGGCGTACTCCTCCTGTTCTAGCACGAACATGTGGTGGTTGAAAAACTGCTGTAACTTTTCGTTGGTATAATTTATACAGAGTTGTTCAAAGCTATTGGTCTCGAAAATTTCGAAGCCTGCAATATCGAGAACCCCGATAAAGCAACTATCATCGCCTGCTGTCCCACTGCGATCTAGTTGCTTGTTGATTCGACTCACAAGATCTGCAAATCCCCTTTCGTAGATACCTTTTGCCAGCGCATCGAGGGCAAGTCGTACTTGTTCAGGGGTTTGAACTTTCTCTACCCACTCCCTTCCAGCTTTTACTTTTGGGTGGAGCAGGCCCTTCACAAACGGATCTATCGGGATGCCCAAAAGCTGACAAGCTTTTGCAGCACTTTCATAACCTTCAGGTGTCAGTGTCGCTTGGTCTGCGCGCAGGCTTTCCTTGGTCACGGTGACATTTCCCAGATGCATAACTGCAGCCACGGTTCGCAGAATGGACAATTGATCGTTACCCGAAAAGTTCATGATACTGAACGCTTCCATAAGGTTATTCCATTCGTCAAGATCGGAAACACCTGAAATCGAGTCGTTCCCATCACGTATGTACCAAAAATCCTCAATACCCAGCTCATTTAGCTGGAGATGGTGCCTCAATTCCTTGTCTGCACCACGGAGAAGTTGGTAAAATATGTGATAGCTTCGCTCTTGAGAATTAACCTTCACGACACGGGATTTTTCCAAGAGATAAAAATCGATGAAGGCCCCTGATATCTGACCGGCCCGTGAAAATTCAATTCGAATGAATTTTCCAAAGCGAGATGAGTTGTTATTTCTCACAGTTTGAGCATTGCCGAACGCTTCAAGTATTGGATTCGCCCTTAATATTTGTTGGGAAAGGTTGGAATTTTGTTTGCTGGTCAAGCGGCCTTGTGAACCCTCTGGGGAAGATGCAACAGCTGCAAGGTATTGGATGACCTTCTTTGTGTTTTCTGTCTTGCCAGCTCCAGACTCACCGCTGCAATATGTCAGTTACCCATAGGTCTCGAAAAGCTGCGCTCGAAAACTTACGTGACTAGAATACTCTGGTTCCGCCCCTCTTCAACAAGATTTCGAAATGCTTGATCCGCCATGGCAAAGATATGGGGACGTGTTTCTTCCCGTGATCGACCGTTATACATCTTCACGTATTCGTTTGTGTAGATGGGCAGTGGACAGTAAGGATTAACAGTAACCAGGAAGAGGCCTGAGTATGTCTAAATTTTCTGATCAATATACCATTTATTGTTATAGAAACAAATGAACTGAGATGTTTCTTACATATATTAAGTCTGATTTATAGCGTGTAAGCAAATTATGAACGACAGAGCCTTCATTCAAATGGGTAAGCTCAGCCATATCGTCTGCTCTGTCGAACTTTGCAGGATTGACTTTATCGACGCTCTCGGAATCGACCTCCCGTTGCTAGGAAATCATCGCTGTTGTTAGTATGAAAGTTGTATGGTACGGTACCACCAATTTAAACATTTCAAACATACACTGCCGTCATCGCATTGGACTAATAAATGTCCATCCTGTGTGTCATCCAGGACCATCCCCTTGATGAAAGCCTTCTCCGGGTCACTCAGCCAAACATATCTTTTCCCCGAAAAGTCGTTATCACCCTCAATCCCACGGATTTGATCAGCGCCCCTTCGTAGCTCTTCCGATTTTATGAATTGAGGAGCAAAGGTATTCGAAGTTGCTAGGTTGGTTCTTGAATTTGAGCGCTGTCTGGTATGTGAAGGTACAAATATTCCTGAGCTCACGGGCGAGAATGACGCATTACGGCTATGCCCATATTGCTCTATTGAAACCGGAGTGGCGAATGCAACAGACTTAGGCCTGGCGCTGGCTGATGATGGAGTCGGAGCTGCTTGAGGAGAGTGCGGGGAGGGAGACGGGGACCCTCTACTAAACGGATTGACACGCCTTGACGAAGGGCTTTGCGGAAGGGGAGCCATTTTAGAATTACTCTAAAAGAAGATAGAGCTCATGAGTTCGAGTTGCGCTTTTCTATGCCCTGATCCCGGTCACGAAAAAATACCCAGAGCCGGGGTGATATCAGAGCAAACGAATTAAACAAGATATGAATACGCCTCCACCTCTCATCGCAGGGAGGCAATCCTTTATGGTGGTGGTTTGCAAGTGCTGCAATTGTTGTCGCTGGTTGTTGGGCCAGGGAAACGAGTGACTTCATCTCATGCGCTGTGTTTGTTTACTTTGTCCACAGTAAGTTGCTACCGCTACCGGGGTGTGGTGGCCCGTGCGCTCCATTGGGGGCGGCTAGCAGTCACCTGACTTGGCCAATTTTCCAAACTTTCGCATCTTCTTCTCCTTCTCGACACTTCCAACTCATCATCCATCTTGCATCTTGCACTGCACCGCGCATGCACTTCCGACACCAGGTATGCTCACCCTTCGAGTATCTCGTATTTGATTACTGCTCTTGTCGTCATGATGTGTCTGCTTTGCTATTGATCAAAACTGCGTCTACCTATTATCAATAATAATTTATATAGCTTTTGCTTAAGGTTTGGTGTGCATCATCCTACTGCAAAAACACCATACCCTCCGCGGTATGTGATGTTACTCTCGGAGACTGACGGCTTTTGCTGCCCCATCTCGCTTTCCTTGACGCGTAATATACATTCACCTGCCTTTTTGGCAACTTGGCCTCGATTTATTCACATTTGCCGAAGCGCTTCGAACCCCCCCTTTATATCTTATTTTAGCCGCCCGTCTAAGCCCTGCCCTCAAGATGTCGTCGAGTTACCCTCCTACCCCGTCTTTTGGCGGTCGCTATAGCCCGTCTCAGCAGTGGCCTCCATGTCCTACCTCTACAACACCAGGTGATGCTCCTGATGCCTATCACCCTCAAAACCCGATCCCTCCACCACCCCCAACCTACGCGACCACCAATCCAAGTTTTAAGCCGAGCACTCAGATTCCAGGTCTTTCGGGTAACAATAACGCATCCATACCTTTGACGCCATCTTTTCACTTCATGCCACCTTTTCAACAATCCTTCCAGCCAGATCCATATGCGCCTGCTTTTGCTGCTCCCATGGGCTTTCCCCAGCAGCCTACCACCCCTCACCCTCAACAGAATGGCTTAGCTGAAAACGTATCTCCAATCCGCACGGGTGCTACAATGAAAGAATATGGTAAGACTGCAGCCTTGGACCCCATGGACTCGCCGCAATACGTGAATTTAGGTGGCAAAGAAGAAGGTGGGCTAAGCAACGGAGACACGGAAGAAGAAGAGTCATCTGGGCCGGATGGATACCAAAATCATCAGCCGAAAGAGGATATTCCGGAACAACCATATCTATCCTCACAGCAACCGAATGAAAATCATAAGGGGCATAGTGATGTTGGCACTCATGGTATTTGCGCCCAGTCAGCATCAAGTGACCACCAACTGACCGTGTTGCAGGACGACTGCCTTTTTCTCACCAATCACTCTCGCGTCAGCAATCCCCCGAGGGGCCTCAAAATTCAATGAAAGCAAGAAGACATCAGTTCCCTCAGACAAATAATATTACCTCTGGGTCCTCTCGTGAAGATATGACAGCGACCGATTTAGCTGCCGATATCTTTGCTGGAGGAAGTGTTCAGGACAAATTAGCCTCCCGGGACCCCCGCAGCCTACCGATGGCAAAAGCGGGAGGTTCTCGTGAATCATTACCTGTATCCTCTATCCAGTCAGTAGCTTCCCATGATAAAATGGACATTACTACTAATGGAAGCGGGACATACCCGTTTTATGGAAAGTCCCCAGCACAACTACGAGTTCAGGCACAGGGGGCCTTGTTAGGGTTAGCTCCCCACAATATCAAATTTGATGAACTTGTAAATGAAGGCATCGATCCAGTCATTCTCAAGCGACTCTACGATGATATTGGGCTTAAAGTTATCTCCACTCGAGACAAACAGCAAGCCGACACTAGTCAGTCAAAGGAGATGATGACCACGTCAGTCGCTAGGTCTCAAGTCCCTCTCAAATCTGAAGCTGAAAGTGTCACGACACCTGTCTCGCATGCGGCCCCCGGTGCAGTCGCCAAAAGCCCAGTCTGTGAAATCGTTCGAGATAAGCCCCAACTATCGAACCCCCAGATGACACAAGGGACATCAATCGCGCTCGCTGCAGAATCAAGCAAGCCTATGGAACGAAAGGACATAATTGCCCGAATGCTTGCAAGTAAAGCAGGGAAACCAGCGAGTACAACAGACTCTACAAAATCTGAGGCTGCAAAGAAATTGATGCCGCTAGAAAATCCGCCCTTAGCCCATCCAAATGATACCTCTGCGCCCGCAAAAGTTGGGGCCCCTCCGTCGCCAAAGCATATTGCTAGTGAGACTCGGGCAAAAGAGAAGAACAAAGCCCAGACGGAATTGGCGAGGCAGCGAATGCAACAATTGAAACAGCAAGGACTTGGAAGAAACCAGACCCAGTCAGCTATTGAAGCTCCAGTTGTTGACCAACAGCTTCCACTCAGTAGCAGCTTGGTTCGGAGTTCGCAAAATTCAACGCCTCCATCCCAGCCATCCAAACCTCCATTATCCTTAAACCATCCGTTACCTAGTCGCCCTCCTGTACCTAATCCATCGTCGACCGCACGTATACCTGGATTGTTCATGACTAGTTCTGAGCCACTCAGAGTTCAGGATCTCTCGATCAGCAATAAGAACTCGGTCCCATCAACCGAGCCACCGTCGACAAAAATCCGGGCACCCCGAAAACGTCCAAGGGCTTCCGATTTTACTGATGAGCCGGACCTTGCACCACAAAAAACGCAAGAAAAGAGGGTGGCGAGCACCCAGCACAAGGTGATTATTGACATAAGTGAAGATGAATTCATGTATGGTTCGGATGATGAAGCTTCTGAACCTAAACGCCGCGCGCCTGAACCTCCCGTTGTTAGATCGGGTAGGAATTCGATTTCGAATCAACTACTAAGTCGGGATATACCTCCCCTATCCGACTTCCCTTCAAGAAACCACTCTCGCCGTTCCACTCCGCCAGCATTTACATCGCAGCTACGTAACCGAGGAAAGGATCCAGACGATCTGAACGCAGAACTCAAGGCCATGCGCCAGAGAATAGCAGAGTACGAAAAACGCAAGAAAGAAAAACAATCTGCAAGCCAAGTAGGATCACCGGCAGCCCTGGCCCCGTCGGCTACGACCTCGGCTGGTGGAAATGGCTCAATTGCTTTACAGTCACAATGGAAGCCGACGATGGAAGCCGAGCTCCCTATGCTGCCCTCAAGTCAGCCTAAAAGTTCACCAGCTCATTCCACATGCACTGAGAAAATATTGAATTCGGGAATCGAAACGAGTCTAAATTCTGATGGTGCTCTTCGTAGTCAGTCCGTTTTGTCGCAAAACTCTATTGAACCCATGCAGAGTGAATCTATACGGAAAAAGCTCATGCGAAAAAAGGAAATAGAAGCCGGGCTTCCTGAACTTGAGGCAGAGTTACAAAAATCTGAAGCACGGTTGCGGCAGTTTCGTGAGGAGGAACAAAGGCTGCTGGCCCAAATCGAGAAAGGAAAGGAGGGAAAACGTCTTCTCGTTGAAGAACTAGAAGCCCTTGGATTCAAAACAGCTGGGCAATCTATCGAGGAACTCCAAGTCACGAAGAACCTCCTAGAAAACGCAGTTGAAGGTATGCATGATGATAAAGGTGAGCCTACTCCTGGCATATCCATTACCGCTTCCCTAGTCCCTGCACTCCGTCACGATCAGCTTGTGGAATTAGTCTAGTTGTTGGAATCTTACCCGTCGGTTACGTCTTACTAGCTCTGCCACAATCAACTCGGCAGGAAACTCCTGCGGATAGCGTATTAAACGCTCAAGAGTCAACACACCGCGAAATAGCTCGGGACAGTGGCTCTGCGCCATCTTTACAACCCTCGACTAAGGAGCAGACAGTTTCCCAGTGTTTTGAAACCATCCCAAAGACTTCCCAAGAAGCGATAGATATGAGAATGTCTCCCCCCAAAGAAACTGACGTTCGTTCAACGGCTGACATGGCAGAAGACGGAACGACATGCTCTAGTTCCGCCATGGATGAGTCGATGGGAAGTACACAAGATATGTTAGAAGTAGAAAAGACACAAGAAGAGCCCCAGGCACTGGAAGAGAAAGGCCAATCGCGTTCCGGAACAAATGCACATTCCAGTTTTACTGATTTGGATGTGCGACTATGTGAATCTAGCATGTCTCCTCGACCTTTACACATTGGTTTGGAGTACGGCCAATCGGGCCATTCCCTGGCTAAACCTGATAACTCTGAAGAGTCAATGAGTTATAGGGAATCTTCAGCTGGATCGGATAGATATGAACCACCTGAGCCGGATCCTCGCACAGTACACACCGACCACATTCAGACTTCACCCTTTAACTTGATTTTGCCGGATGAAGTAGAGCATGTAGCTGCCGAATCATCGTCTATTTCCCAAGATGTTAACGCACTAACTTTAGCTGCTCAGGGCTCTGTGACTGACCCAAACTCAGATTCTCTCAAGGTATCTCAGCCCGGACCTTTGGATTGAATTGACAGTTCTAACACATACAATAGGTCAAAGAGGGCGCAGAGGGCGAAGAGGGTGCCCGTCGCTATTTTACCCCTTACAGTAGCCCGCTAAAGTTATTTAAGGCTTACCGATATCATCCTTGCTTCACTAAAGATATCAGTGGTGGTTATCGCTCGTTAACTTACAGCCATAAAATCGACCCCTATAATTATATATGTCTATATGAGGCTGCGGGCGGATTCTGTAACGACCATTCGTGTGAATATCAACACTTTCGAGATATGATCTTGAGTGGTGCGTCGACAAAGATGAGCTCAAGAATTTAATCATGTTTCACAATTTACAACTTTCCCTACCCTCCACCTTCCCTCTCTTATCTCTCACATCGAATATGTCTTGCCCTATTTCCCTATCCTCATACTCCCTTTGATAATGTCGATAAGCTGACTTGGGACTAATATTAACCCTCACAGATGATAAAATACTTCGTGAGATGGGTTCCTTGAGAGAGGGGAAGACTCTTGAAGAACAAAAGGAGTATCTTGCAGGACTAAAACAGACCATCATCGATATGCGACGCGATAATGTGAAAGATCTCAACACTGTTGCGACGGAAATTGCCGGTTACCGTAGACGATTTCTGCATGACCCTTCCCGAGTTCTAGCCTTGTAGACTGTTTCACGATTATCTGGTTCATCCATGAAGACCATTACAGCAAAAATCCGACTTTATATTTATATGCAGGCCGATCTCTTTGTCGGCTCTCATCCCTTATATATCAGGTGAGATGGTTGCGATCGACTTGAAACTATGAGATCCCATGGCTTGTTCCAAGGGAGGGAATCCCCCGAAACAAAAAGATGGGCGGATAGGACCCCAGACACATATATTTCCCACACCTAAGCTCTTGGATTACTAGCTGTGTTCACAGCATTTTACTCTCCTCGCTTCTCCAGTGAAGTATATTCAGCAACCTTGCTCGTACCACATTCTTCTCTCTTATCTTGCTACTCGCTGTTTTGAGAGATGACACTTGATGGCAATCCGCAACTCAGCATGGCTGGCTCGGCTTTTATCTTTGTTACAACATAATATTAAAACTTCTCGTCTATAAGACTTGAAATTTTCCTTCTCCTTTCTCTCTCCGATAACGTTCTGCATCTGATTCTATTTATTCTCCATTTTGCCTTTTATTGTCCATGCTGGCAAGAAAGAAGAAGAAACGGCAAGGGAAAAACAGAAGAGAACAAAATAAGAAGAAATAAGAGCACGATGTGTGCCTGGTGGGAATTAAGGGTTTTGAGAGATCAATCGTAGAAAGCGATGCAGCGCAAGAGGGGGGACAAAAGGTTTGCAGCAGTGAACAGATACTGATGCGGGTTACGGTGATAAACCGCATTGTGCACAAATGATTATGCGCAAATGGTTTCGATGACAACGCGACCACTCCCACGCCAACATTGGGCGGTTGTATTTTCGGAGATGGCGACACAGGCTATTGTTCTCTGTTCTCTGAACAAGACGTGAATGACCATACCGGGAGTCGTGCTGAAATGACAAGGTGGAAAGGAGGTTGCAAGCGCGGCGGGGAAAAAAAAAGAAATTAAATGTTTATAATAACTAAATAGATCCAGATATTTTCGTATTTTATCATGATGACTATATATGCACTTTCTGTTATTGTCAAGATTTTTCTCAACTGATGCTGCTGTATTCCACGAGTTCCTCCACATGTGGAAAACACTTTTTTGGATTTATTTCCGTAAAGAAGAGTCATGGAAGCAATCGCCGCCGTCTGCTCTGCCATATATGACTTTCTCATGAGCGAAGAAATGCCATGGATACGGAATAAAAGCGAGCAGTTTATTATCTTTTACATGCAGGATTATATTCTAGTAAGTAGTCGTCGTTCAACGAATTCGATACCAAAAGGAAAAGCTTTCGTCGTTTCTAGGTCAAGTAACTTATATGTCGCTGTATTTTGCTCCCACTATTATTACTAGTATCTAAACAATCCATGGACGAGGAGTATTTCATGTATTCGGCATGATTTGCCACATTCGCAAAAACGCTTCAGATATGGCAGGAATGCGGGCGCGTGTCATCCTCGTTTTGGGGGTGACTCATGCTTCATGTCGTCCTGGATCTTGGACGTCGACAGACCAAAAAAAAAAAAAATAATAATAATAATAAAATAAATGACTGTTATCCGCAGGGACGCAGCGGAGATTTTTCTTATCTTCCCGTTCGTTGGCTAGCTGGTCTGTTCCAATGACTTGACAGCTGCGAGGCGATTGGAAGGAATTCGCATGTCGTTCGCGGGTTGGTCTAGATCGATGCCTTTTTTTTTTCTTTTCTTTTTTTTTCTTTTTTCTTTTCTTTTCTTTTCTTTTCTTTTCTTTTCTTCCTCCGTATATTTTCAATACAAGCAAATGCTGAGTTAAGACTAAAAATCCCAAGGCGTTTTATTGAGGTAGATCTGAACTGGAGCCTGTCAACCGCGTTGGCGGATGGACATCAAGACTGTTGGGGGCGTATAATACTGGTTCGATAACAGCTGTCTCACACATCTGGTGGGTTTTTATTTTTATTGTTATTTTTATTTTTGGTTTTCTTTTCTTTCTTTTCTTTTTCTTTTTCTTTTCCTTTTTTTTTAATTATTTGTTTATTCATTTAGCGAATCAGGAGGGTACATACCCCAGAAATATTTACATTTCTGGGAGTCATGGTACAAGAGCGTTACAAGAACTTGTTTAGTTGGCCCTGGGGAATGGAGGAGATGCCGACAAGTCGGAAACGAGGTGGAGCTGGTCAGGCAAGATGTGTTTTCTTTTGCAATTAATAAATACCAGTAGCCGCCGGATTTTGCTTTGCCTGATTCTAGACACAACCCGTCAGGGTGTGTGGTGTAAAAAAAGAAAAGGGTCTCTTCGTGTGTCGTTTTCTGTTCTTTTTTTCCTTTGAGAGCCTGTGGATGCTGAGTTGGGAGAAAAGAGTGGCGGTGCAAACTATGGCGCTCCGCAGCACTGATACTGGTGTTGGGGAGCGGATACTTTTTCACAAGGCAGTATGCAAAACTCCTGCCTCTGAATGCCGCTCTGGGTTTTTGAAGCTCAGATGTTGGGAGCGATGCTGTGACTAATTTGGGGAAACTAGAAGTGTTGCCCCTGCACCTGCGCCCCAATCCAGTAACTACTATCAACACAGACACTGCAGGTCCTCTTCCTCGCAGCAGACCAATGGGTTCAGGGTGTGAAATATACGTGTCAATTCGTAGCTGCTCCACCGAAAGGAGGTATGTTGACTTCACTGCTCCCAATTGCTGTTTGGGTTGGGTACTAGTAGGATTGTGCATAGGAGACTTGATAAGGTTCGCCGAAGGGTGGTTTTGAGGAGCTGGAATCTTACGCCCGTCCTACGACTAGCCGTGGGGGTACAGGAGAATTTCTCCCTCACTGCTGCGGGAGAGGGCGTGACCTCAGGATCCCCAGATTTGTGCCGTCGACGAAGGAGTGAGACAAGCCATCTGGACTGTGAGTAACTGCGATGTGTCAAGAGGAATTTTTCTTGGCACGGATCGGGAGCGCAGGGGAGCGGAATGTTAACAGGGTATAGTTACGAAATCATATGATTACTTTGCTCACAAGGCCACTCGTCGGGCACCGGTTTGATCTCCGCGGGTGTGTTTCTAGAGGCCTGGTGGAAGGGTGTTTGTTCATGGACGAGCATTCCCCACGGGACCGCGGCACGTCAGAAAGAAGCACAGGCGGCCATGATATGAGTCTTCGTCTACTTTGAGCCCTTGGCAGCGAACAGTTCCAATCAAGTATCGGTTTCCGAGATCCCGAGTTTGACCACTCATTGGGCCGATCTTGAGCATTGATCCTCGTAATACTCCGCTGCTGTGCCGCTAGAAGGCCGCTAAAGTATTCTGGAAGATCCCCCGTGATCAAGGCGTCAAAGATCCCTGCATATTCAAGGAATCCAGCGTAGCATCCAATACCTGGAGTCTGGAGGAATGAGGCGGGAGCTTGCATCAACTCGAAGCAAAACCGCTGTTGCTCACTACCGAATGGGAAAAGGATCCTGAGCCATATGCGCGATTTCTGTGACAGCTTTCTATGTATTGTGTCGGTTTCTCATCCCTGTTCCCTCGTAAACTAGTCCCTCAGATCCCAACCTCGATAAGGGCTTCAGCAGCCTCAGCCCTGATCGCTAATTTTCCTCGCCAATAACGTAGCTTAGCCAATTCCGAATAATGCTAACAGGTTGATTTCTCCACGGGGAAACCAGTGGTCATCGGAAACCTCGAGGGGCCACCCTGGGGATCGGCACAGAGATTCTTTGTACGGGAAGAGGCCTATAATGCCCGATTTTCGACACATGATGCCGGGAGGCTTCGCCGGAAACCCGGACCGGTAGCCAGCAATAATGTTCCTATCCACCGTGTGACTAGTAAGCAGCAAGGTAAAGTCAACTCACAGAACAGATACCCAACTATTGCCATTGATAGATTGGCCGAGGCCATGTCCCTGACCTGGTAGTAAAAATCCACGAGATCAGGCCTCTCTTGACAAAGTCGCCAAGACCTGAACAATCTGACGGTCAGACAGGGCTTGAAGGGTCACGGGAGTCTAACTTTGGCCTCATTGGACAGCCCCTCTTTATTTAAGCCGCACTCCCAAACAGGCTAGGCATGTTTACGCCCCAGAGACCCAACGAACTCATCCCTCCATCGATCTCGAAAAGGCGGCTTGCGGGGGCCGAAACTCAGCTCAGGGGATATGCAGGTGCTAGTGAAGAAAACAAATGCTAAGGCCATTTTGAATTCATCCTTCCCTTATGACCCGCAGCATTAAGGGTGGCGATTGTTGGGGAAAAAACAAATGTTTTCACTTCAGGAAGAACCCGTTAACCTGTCAGCCAATCTACGGATGTCATCCCACTTGCGCCGAAGCCAAGCTGCACGACAGACTCCAAAATCTCAGACATCTGCACACCACCATGCCGTCGTACCTTTTACTTTCCCAGAGAAAAGGTACCCGACACATTTCCGTACTCCCCACTGGCTGCCACAGCTGGAGGGGTGAATGCAGCTTTGAGGAAATACGAGGGCTTCAGCCTAGTGGTGTGAATATTTTCAGCTTGTCTCGGTCATTAGATGATTGTGGAAGTATCCTTCCCTCTCTTCTATTCGCTTGATGCTTCCCAACAGAGAATTGGCTTCGCATTGGCAATTGTCTCTGGGGTATGGTTATTTGTTTTTTTGTTTTTTGTTTTTATTTTTTTTTTATTTATTTTTTTAATTTTTTTTTGGATCCACTGTTCAGGGTTATCCTGATGTCAATAACTAGTTTCCATCAAATACCAAATTTCACAAACTAGTTTCCAACATAGTTCGGGGGGAAAGAGGTGATATCATTTGAGTGCTCCAAACTAGGCTGTTGCTGAGCCAATGGGATTGTCTGAATGGCCTTGCCTCCAGGCAGCGAAGGAGAGCCATAGCGAACAACGAACTTTGAAATTTGAAATATTTATTTATTTACTTTTCGAGCCTTTTTCCACGGCAACCTCGGAAGGATGCTGAAAGGATAATATCATTGTGGAACGGGGTATTTTGCGATTTTCGTCTTTGAAGAGACAGGTTCGTTGCCTTGGGGTTGACCTCTGGATGACTGGGCTGAAGCCGCATTGAAAAGCCGCTAACCTGACAGGGTTAGAATAGGCTTGCAAGGCACCCTGGGGGCTGACTCCTGCCTAAATATAAAGGCACGAAAGAGTTATCCAACCTTGCTCGCTTGAATTGATGCCTTCCAAAAAGAGATCTCCAATGCCACTGATCTAAAGACACAAAATATGGAAAATTAAACATTTAACAGTAATGAAAAATCCTGATCCAAATGCAATCCTACGCTGTGCGGCTAATCAAAAACATATATGAAACGCAAAGGAAAAAATGGAAGAAGGGAACAAGCTCAAGAGACAGAAATGCGTGGCAGCTGATGGACAAGAAAAAAAAAGCAGAAAACAAATGAACAAAACAAATGTGAAAGCCTGGTCATCATACATATCCAAAACCCAAGTCGCATGCTCAAGCGCTATATAAAACCAAAATCGCTGAACATGCCCGCTAAAATGCAAATATATCGAAAGGTATGTCGGCCTGCCAACAATAGCCCCTGTTAAAGGAAGACAGTCAGAATTTGGAGATCGCCAATTGGGATTTGTGGGAATGTACCATCTGGACTAAATGACTTCGTAACAGCAAATCATTACTTGACATGAGTGCAGTACCCGCAAACGTCATGGTTGCAATTCACGCAGCGGCCCTGGTTCTGGTAAATTTTGGGACCATCTCCGCATGAGCAGCAGATGTACAGATCTGTAGCACATTTGACAGTCGGGCCAGGAAAGTCTCCCAAAGTCTCCCTTGTGGCACCAGGCAGAGGGAGAGAAGGGGTTGTGCAGGTATTGTAGTGGCAATCATTCGAGGGCGAGCAGTCCATTTCTGCGAGGGAGTTTTCGCACGCGGAAAAACTTTCAGTGTGCAGCGCTGCGCTGTCAAATGAGTCGTATGTGCAGCAGGCGCAGGCTCGGTGACCGCAACTTATGCAGGATGGGTAGATGGAGATCTTCATGGGGCCGAAACCGCATTCTCCACAAGTCCAGTGCGTTTGAAGGGGCATGACTATGAATATAAAGGAGAGGTCGAGTCTGAAATATGTGTATTCGGGATGATGAATGTGTCTGTTAGATTTTCTGTAAGTAAATAAGGAAGAATTAAGTTTGGCAGGAAGAAAAGAGGGAAGTAGGGACTGGATGGAGGAAGACTGGCATATTTAAGCCAGGGCCAAGATTGAAAAAAGAAAACCCTATGACGGAATGACCAGCCATGTATGCCTGAAGGAAAGCTAGTCTGCCAGTCAGCACTCCTTCGCGGACGGGCAATTCTAGGCCAGTGCATCGCCCCGCCATGAAGGTCACGTTTGGCCCAAGGAGATCAGAAGGCGCTGGCGCCCGAAACGTTCCAAGCAACAAATGTCTTAACGCGCGGGGCTCCCGTAGATCCCCCAAACCATATAATCGCAACGACTGATGGCAGTCCTTTCCGTACATAGCGTAATTGAGTCAGTCGGGAAGCCAGGCCCCACTTAGTCCTGAAAACTTCTGATTGGTCCGGGCGGTGGGCCAATGTTGGTGGCCTTGAAGGACAGGGTTGCGCCTCAGGGTCCTGGTTAAGGCTGACCTGGTACACCGATCAACTCAAACTCCCAAGGTCATTCCGCGCCCTGGCGGGAAGTAACCCCGTTGCCTCAGAGTCCCGCAATGAAGGGGTGCCGAAATGGCAATAGGTTAGTTCGTAAACTCCCATTTCAAAATGAGACCGGAGAAACAATATTTCAGGCAACATGTCTTTGGTAACAAGTACCTCTTGCAGAAAATTTGGCTTCGGCGTCTTCCAACCTGCACCAGTCTAGGCAGCCTTGCCTTGGTGGATCACGCCTCAGGACCGACTGAAAACCATACAGGCTTCGAAAAACACACCTAACAGGGAATTTTTAAATAATTAAAAATTCAACAATACAGAACCTAGGCAGTTTTGAAAATTTCACAAACTTTTGTGCAAATGGGAATTAGCAATTGAACGGTAAAACGCAATTACAAATTGTCTATGTTACAAGAAGAAAACGCAACGAAGAATCAAAATCTTGCAGGATCATGCGAGATTTGATAAGTTTGCTCTTATTCAACTCTTTTTTTTCCACCTCAAGGGCAGAAAGGATGAAACCCCAGACACTGACATGCAGGCCCCAAGAATTTGAAGGCACAGAAAATGTAAAGAAGGAAAAGAAACCTGTCCACCAAGTGTATTTATGGGTATCGAAATACTAAGAGTGAAATAGCATTGAAAGCCAAGGTGTATCCTTGTAAAAGACAAGCAAATAAAACTACTCGAGGATCGGTGACTCTTGAGCTAGCATTTCAATGCACCTTGAACACCTCGACGTATTACAGCCCAGGCACTGTGGATAGAGAGAAGAATAAGGGCCTGGTAAATAACAGTTTTGGCAACAGATCCATAGGAGGGTAAGCTTTTCGTTGGGAGAATCAGCCTTTACGGTTGATCCCTTGGTCTTAGATGTTTTGTCGTTTAGTTTTTCGACTTGAGAAACTTTGGTTATCTGATCTTTGCTATGTAATTCAGCGTGACGACTTTTTTGACCTGAAGTATCATCTATAATAGAAGGATATCCTCCGTCAGTCCGTCCGGTGTGCTGGGTGTCTCGTGAGAACTGTGCGTTGCTGTACTGCTGTTGTTGAATCAAACGAAGATTTTCGTGGTATCTTCGGTCTGTAAGAGAAGTGTACTGCAGGAGAGTGTGCTGGTTTGGACGTCGCCCGGTACGATCTGGTGGATAAACTAGATAGACTGACGGACAAGCATACATTCCGCTTTGCAACATGCCATTTTCGGATTGCTGATATCCGGTTCGTTCATGAGCCTGTGTTTGCAATAAAGTTAACTCAAAAATTATATCAGTTGAGAGGTGTTCGATGCACTAACAGCAGGCATTTTAGGCTGTTTGGTTGATATATATTTCGGCACCCAAAGTATTTAGAGAGACGAAAAGCAATGTATACGCAGTAGATAACAAGTTGGAGGAGAAAACGAGGGTTGATCTCAAGATTTGCGCTTCGAATTGCTACGCGAGAATAGCGTTATAAATACTTTCATGGGACGGAGACTTAAGCCATTTAAACCACAAAGTGTATTCAGAACTTGCTCGGAAAAGATGGTCCCCAATAAAGTTGTACATAGATATCAAGCCCATGTATTCCAAGGTCATGCGAGTAAAATTCTAGTCAAGTTGGCGATGACCTACTGCCGTAACCCGTTACAGGCTGGAACTGTTGGATGGGTTCAATGTTCGCGGAATCTCTTTACGTCGAGGCATACACAGTCAAAGTCGGAAGAGTCATCCACTTCCCACCATTGCACATGCCAACAGCTTCGAAGAAATAGTACAGCCGCCCGCGGAAGGCATCTGGCAGCGCTCCGGGTCAAAAGTTTCCAGTCAAGAGAGTAATGGATCTCACGTGAGGCTAATGGGAAATCGTACCGCAATCAGAACGGATGGCTTTACCTCCCACGAAACGAATCACGAGCTTTTTGGAGCAAACAGTATTTGAGGCAAGAAAAGAGGGGGAGGGGGAGAGGGAAGAGTGAGAGAAAGAGAAAGAGAGGAAATCCGGAACTGCGCATGATGCCCGGCCAAACTGCCTGTTCGCCGAGCACCCGGACATCCTCATAAGCTGGAGCTCTAGGAGAACAACCTTGATCCATAGCAATTTTCCCACAGGTGGAACTCTCAGGGATCCTTTGTTCGTGCAACAAAAAACGGGGCAAAGTGGCTAGGGCACTGTAGCCGAAAGAAACGCCGGTGACAAAATGGTTTGCCAAAGGCATAATGTGCCTCTTCGCGTAATAGCCTTATGTGAAGGCAGGCCCCGCCATCGCTCGCCGATAGTGGGCGAGCGGCCAAAATGGAAACGAGGCTGAAGGGGCGTGATCCAGCCTTGCAGCCTAGTTTTATAATCAGGAATTGCAATCTCAGATCGCACTCTAAGGCGATCGTGATGCCTAACTCAGGCCCCGCATAATTGCCGCCCAGGAGCACATATCCATAGGAAATGAAGAGGAGTATGGCACGACATGACACCTTAAACGGTCGCAGCAGGGCAGATCGTAAGGAAAAATATCATACAGAAAGCGACAAATTGGAATATACGAGGACATTTAGCTAGTTCTGGAGTTATAAGAGAGGAAAATAAAAACAAGATAAACGAGGAGAGGTTGTTTCTGCAATTGATGTTGGTTGTTGAGTGATAAGTCTCGATGAGATGAGGTTGGCGGGGAAGCAAACATTGATTGACACGTGATTTTGGCCTGGAATTTGTTGGGGGGGTTTGGATTGGTTCGTCCCCTCTACTACCAGCATAGCGCTGGTGTGAGAGAGCTCTTTTGCCCCAGTGACCTAACAGAATTTCCCAGAAATTTGCTGATATATGCTGATATCAAGAAAAAGCTTTGAAAAAACAAGTTCAAGAGTTCTGTATAAAAGAGCATATTTATATTATAGATAGCATCCAACGACAAATATCAACTAATATTTCCACATGGGCCGTTTGTTGATTCTTTTCAAGTTCCCGTTCGTTCTGTTTGGTGGTTGGTGGATCAAGTGCTTATTAAGCCACAAGCTCTCTTGATGTTCAGTCTGGAAGGGAATATCAAGCTTTAGGGCTCAACAACGCCACAACTATTGTTCATTTGTCTGCTAGACATATTTTGGCTATTTTAATCTAATATGTTACAGATTTAACAGCAGTTTATCGGCCGTTCTTTTGACTGAGTTGGCCTTTCCAGGCCACTTGATCTGATGGCCTGTGATCCGAAAGCTGCCAATCTCGCAGTGTCCCGCGTGATCCCGGTATTGCTTGGTCTCATCCTTATATATGCATGCTGGACGTTTACAAGATCGTTGTGTAGTACGTTGTTTCTGTTTTCTTTAGTACCTGAATCCCATCAAGCCAATGACTAATTCCTAAAAGTCGAGTATCTGTTAGATTCCACTACGTCATCACGAAATCCTAGAATTGGAGTGACAATTGGATTATTGGTTGCTTTTTATATCCTACTAATAGCACTTCTTGTGTCATATCTACGATTACTAGTCGCCCTTATATGGAATCCCGATTACATTCCACGTGGGCCGCAATACGTGGAGTCTCTAGTGGAAGCAAAGTCTAGCAAAAGGAGGAGCAAGTCTCGAAGACGGAGGGAGCGAAATTCAAACAAGGGCATCAAGGATGAGGAGTGGCACGGCCTTGGGGCAGCATTTAGAAGACCAGCCGAAAGTGCTTACCCTGTTGGTGCTTCTGGACTCGAAGCCTTCTACTTGAAGGACGTATTTGTCTGCAAAGAAGATGGCAGACCAGCGTGGTGCTCCACTTGCTACCAATTCAAAGCCGACAGGGCTCATCACTGCCGAGAAGTAGGTCGATGCATACGAAAAATGGATCATTTTTGCCCTTGGTAGGGAAACACTCGACCTCTTCACCTTAAGGTCCAATTGGTGCTGACAGAAAAACCTTTAAGGGTTGGCGGAGTTGTTAGCGAGTCATCCTTTAAGTTTTTTATCCAATTCCTTTTTTATGCGCTGCTCTTTACAACATTCAATTTGGTTGTGTTTGCTATATTTGTGGCAGAACGCCGTGAAGAGGTATGTTTTCTATCGAGCACTGTTTCAGGCTTTGTTGTCATGACAGTGATTTCATTTAATGCATAGCAATCTACATATACACGAATTATGTTTTCGATTAGATGGAAACCCTCAGTCAGCATCAGTAAGGCTAATACATTAGAATAGACCGGAACACTTATTGCTCATTGGATTGTCGTCCTGGGATTGTGAGTGAACACTATCTAAATTAGCCAAAAACAGGTTGAGTTGATTGGATTATTTTTAATTCTTTTCCAGGGGTACCTTGTTCGGACTTTTGTCGTTGGGAATTTTGGGAAGTTCTATCCAACTTGCATGCATAAACTCATCAACCATCGAAAGTCTTGATAGACGCACGAAAGTGTGGACCCTTGCTATATTGATACCGCCTTCGATAAAATTTAACGGAGGCGGCACAGAAGCCCAAGCTGCTCCGAACTTTCCTATCGTGTCGTTTTCTTCACCGTTTGGAGTATTCTCACCTCCACAAAACACGTCTGACATCGATGGCCCTGACCTAGTGCGACGAGATTTTGCTATCTTACATACAAAACCAGGCGAGAATCCTTGGGACTTGGGCAGCCCATTGGAAAACTTTAAAGAAGTTATGGGATACTCATTTCTGGATTGGTTCTCACCCTTGAAAAACTCTCCCTGCACTGACCATAACAGTCAGGAAAGCGCCTTTCGTCTGGGCCCTGTCGTTCGACGGCTTAGGCGTGAAGCTGGTTTGGAAAGCTGTGATGATGGCGGCGAATTAACATCTCACAATGAAGCGCACCGGAATAGGGATCGAAGAATAAATGGGGAACCCAACAAAGTGCTCAAAACGCCCTCTTCGCATAAGCCACGAAAAATTGAGCAAAAAGCACGACCTATCCAAAAACCACCAAATACTCATCGTGGGAAAAACATTCGCCACGAGCAAAATCCAAGCGGTTCATTTGGAGATAATAATGATTCTATAATTCTTCCTTCAAGTACTGCAGCGGCATCAGATTTTCAATGAACGGTGCTTGTCACTGTGGTTGATAATTTGGTTTAATTTTTAATACTATGCCAGAATTTGGCTTTCCTTTGGGTTCTTTATTGGCCGTTCTTGATCCTTTTCGGCATAATTCTTCTCTCGGGACAAATTTACGTACACCATCATCCCATTAGGCCAGATTTACGGTACGGACCCTTCGCCTTTTTTTTTTTTCTCCCTTTTTTGTGAGACAACTCTGGACATTCTTCTAAGAAAAGATATCTTGGATCATGCATAGATCCCTTTATTCTTCTAATAAAAGAATGCCCGCACGTTATTACAAATTTTCAATCACCCAGCAATTGAAACAAGACCAGTCGACATCACGCCTCCCTGATGATCTCCGGCGTTTATCCATTTGATGCGGTGATAGAAACATAACGCCAACTCTCATCGCTTTGTCATCGATTTTCGAAATCTAACGCAAGCTGGCTTGCAGCGTGAAAAGTTGACCGCGACACCTTGACCATCAGCTTCAAAACCTACCCGAGCTTTGTGTTTTATGATTATGGGTCCATATGTGGAGCGTAAGGTTCAGAAGCATGAAGCATATTTCGACTTCCCCGCTATTTGAAGCCCTGAGTGCGTAATCGCTCACAAGCAGATCTATCTGCGTCGGGCTTGAGTATCATTAAAAAACATGCGAGATATTAAATAGAAAGGAGATAGAAAATTAAATAACCTTCTACTCTCTACTGTCTTGATATCGTATTTGTAAAGAGGTTTCGATCCCCTCAACACTGGAGGATGAATTTCCCGTATGTAGTAAGTGACTGCTTAATCTTAACTTCGACGTGGCGATTTATCAAAATTAAAAGAGAGAAATATGTATATTTATACGTGATTATGGGTAAGGCTATAAAGTTTGTCCAACGAGTGATCCGCTAGCCGTAGATGGAGTATTGATTGCCGTGTGGGTATAGGAATGCGAAATCCCTGAGCACGAAGTTTACAACGGAATAAATGGGAGGAACAACCAAGGCTTGCGCCAGCAATTTATTGTGGTATAGAACAGGAAGCAAAGTAAAGGAGATCATCTATAAAGTCATTTGGTGGGTAACGGAAAGTAGAGAACAAGTTTGATGATGAAAGCGCAGAAAAAGCAACATGCTAAGCAAAAGTAGACTAATGATGTAGAATAAAATCAGAAAACGTATGGAGAGAAACGAAATTTAAACGAGAATGAAAGTAGAACAACAGAAAAATCGGTAAATCTCAGCTGCAGACGAAATCGAAAATACGAAAGGAAAGATGTAACTAGTGTGACAAAAGAGAGCAGAACACAAAATACTGGGATACTTGATCAAGGAGAGATCTGGAAGGAGAACATCGACGTTTGTGTCGTGAACGAAATACTTTTTGTTAACTCCCACGCTATGCCCTCTACTAACTCAAAACTCCAAACGAGAAGCCCATGTTAACGGAGCAGCAGACCGTTGTGATAAATCCTGTGAATACGGACATAAATTTGGATTTCTGCGCGTGGATTAATCTTCGACAATGCACCATGGGCACTTTATATGGCCACACTCGCTGCATGCCTCGGGGGACAAATCAGGATTGTTCAAATGCAAGTTGCCGGAAACATGGCAATACCACCAGCCTGTCATTGAGGGACGTGCAGACAGTTTGGGTCCATCAGCTGGGTGCACATCGCGTTTCATAACCGTAAAGCTCGCCCGAGTAAGTGTATTGTCACTAGAAGAGTGGTAGGCATGGCCATCGGCCTTCAGGGGGCGGGGTATTAATGACAGAAATTCGTTGAGAGTCCAATCTTGACGTGACTTGCTTCGGGTTCCATGAACTCTGGCAGTATAAACCGGCACAGAGTTCCCATTTCCGCTGTCAGTACAGGAGAGACATTTTACATGCGAACACACGGGGCATTGGATAGGTGCGTTGGCGATAAGGTTGAGTCCATCGCAATTACAGCACCTCCAAGTGTCGTTGTAAACTCGAACCATTTTGGGAGGCAGGAAAGCGAAAACGATGCGTTTGGAGAAAGACGTGAATGAACCGAAGTTTTGCAATAATGGATGGAGCAAAGAAAATTATCTGATTTATCGAAAGTATACTTGAAAATATAATATATAGAAAGTGGTCTAATATTGGTTTCCATGATCACATCGAAACGGCGACACCAACCACTTTATATAAATTCAGGGGAACGTATTGCAATGAAGTAACGCGTGGGAAGCTGCTGTGCGCCGTCACTACCATGTAGATAATATCAACTTCGAAGGAAGGCAAACAAGACAAGGCGGTGATAGATCGCAATGCCACGAAGAGTAGGGCAATGCCACGAAGAGTAGGCAACGACTGGAAAAATTCTTGAGATAGGGAAACAAAGTAACTAACTACCAATCCCACTCCATCAGGCGGAATGACGAAAGATGAACAGAAACAAGGTCGCTCAATTGGAGGCAGGTTAGCATATGACTAACTGTTCTCTTTCATCATCAACACAAAGGAAATAGGACTTCGAAGAATGGATAGAAGAGATCGGAGTGGAGTAAGGAGCTTAGTTACTATTTCTCAAACCCGGAAAACGATTTTACCCCAAATGACAAGCAGTTAGAGTAAAATGAGGGCATCAAATGAGAACTTTCATAACGACGCCTGGACAACAGATCTGAGGCGTCTGTAGGAATCGGATAATTGCGCAAAAGGCAGGGAAAACCGTCCTCAGGTTGACTATATCGATTAGACTGAATTGATTTTTCGCAGCCGGCAATTTGACTTTGGGCAACGACGATCAGCTGCCGCTAATAATGTCACTCGCATTTCTCGTGCTAATTACCTGACGGGGAGAGCCATGAAAGGGGAAATACAATGTGACAAGGGAAGAGATACTGAATATCCATATGCGCCCCTTGCAGAGGCGGTCTCAAGCGAACAACTAGGCGGTACTAATGTGGTGTTCCACCTGATACCTTTGTCACAAGCGCCTTGGATCGCAGCGCCGTCATGTTCAACCTCTCCATCAGAAATCTTTGCCCAATCGTTTGGGCACAGGACGATTGTGTATGCCAACAGCGGGGAGGGCTCACTCAAGCACTCTTGGCCTCAAATGAGGGTTCAACGCCTGTTCGAGGATAGAAAGGTGGAGCCTCAGTTGGAGAGGGGCGTGCAAAGCCACTCCTCGATGGGAAAGAAAATCACCCTGGCGAATAGTGAGGCAATATGGGAATCCGAAATTCGGCGAGCTGTGGCTTGTACAAGACCAAGAGTGTCGGCCTTGCGATCCCGCCAGTTTTGGTTGTGTGGGCTATAGCCTTTTCCGCCCAAGTCGCTTTTGCTAGAATGCCGAAGGATGTGAACTTTTGAGGCTCTGGCGTTGTCGTTCCTGTCAATTCACGTGCAGGGCTTAGTGAGCCAAGCTACCGCTGGTTCGGCGGCTAACCAACCACGTCACAGGCATCGAGGGACCTCGAGAGAGAAACTTTTCTCTCATGCTGCGAGTTAAAATCGGGTTTGACCCACTGCCTGGCACCACATTCACCGCTTTCTAACGCAAATGAGAGAAGACAGAAAATGGTTCGGATGAAAACTTGAATGGTTTGCCTGAGGGGCGTTGCCTGAACTCAGTATGAGACAGCATTCTTAGCCACGATTCCTAACAACTCCGTCCGTCAAGTCACTGGTAAGCACCCCAGCCCTTTTAACAGCCCCGGGAACAATTGCCGCTCGTTAGATCCTTGCCTTATAGGCGTTTTTGTTTTTGTTTTTGCTTTCTCTTTTCTCTTTCCCTTTAGAACAGTAACCTCCCAAGGCGATCTTGGTAAGAATGCATTGGATCTTCTAGAAAATAGTATGCCACAAGAGATCTCCATAACCAGCGCCGGTTCATAGTAGAACTTGCTATTTCTCTAATTATGGAACAATTGCTGGACCTGAAAAAGGATGCTCATGGTTGTACATGCTGTTTCTCGAGGCCTGTTGTCCTACCCTTCTCGGTAAAGGGTATAATCAATAACCTCCTCGATATATCACGGGAACACATACAAATCCCTCGAGGTAATCCTGCGAAACATGGTCTAAATAACATGGGGCGGAGTGGAGGGAGAAATGTATCCTCTTGATTCACCTAGAGTGGCGACAAGGAAGGAGAGTAAAATGAGAGAACTTACAAATTGCCAAGTAGTTGTTGTAGGGATTGGATTGGGTGATTCGTCCCCTCTGTGCCACCGTGGCACTCGGTGGTGTTGAGCGCTTTTGTCCCAGTCGCCTAATAGTGTTGACACTCATATCTCAACCACAAATTATTGAAATTAATTTATAAGTAATAATTTAAAAACCTCTATTAATATATATACTTTAAGATGATCACTTTTCTAGAAACTATATTATCTGATGTATATTATACATATATAAATCGATATATATGTATGATAAGGCTGTCATCTATATGGATCTCTCACAGTGTATATTTATAATTTACAAGCAAAAGTAAATTCCAAGTGATACATATCATATATTGATTAATATCTACATCTGTCGATAAATTGATATCAACAGATAATCATCCTTGACATTATACGGAAAAAGGCGAGTCTTGGGTTGGAACAAGCATTTGGTGGCGATCCACGTTACGGGTTGGTAGTTCTGGCTCACAACTTACAGTCATGTCAAAGCAAGAGTATTCTTCCCAAGAGAGCCATCAATGAGCATTTTCTGATCTAGTTGATGTTTTCTTGATTTCAAACAGTCCAGCTGCAAAAGCAGATATTCTACATCAGTTGCACCGGAACTGGGTACCAACAACATACTATGTAGTTCTTTCAATCTTGATCCATCTATGCTTTGAATTATTGATCACAACAGGAGATATATCATGTTCGAACCTCTCCTTACAAGGATGTGTATAGATTAGCCCTAGAAGTACTAGGAACGCCAAAGTCTGGTTCGGTGCGGGAGTATATTTGGGCATTTTGAAGTTATGGTTGAGACGGTACCGTGGAAATCGATCAGTTCGCATGATTTAAGGTTGACTTGGAATTTTATGATTAACTATAGTATTGCTTGTCAGATAGTGTTGGTTACTAGTATTGAGTCTACTGACGCGGATCTAATTTCAAGGTAATGAGTGATGCTTAAATACTACCTTGTTGCCCTGTGGTACTGCAGGAAGAAGGCGAAATTTCTGGATTGTGGTCAATCAACAGACTTCGAATTGTGCAACGATGACAAACACCGGCTGGAGCATTGCTGGGCGCAGGGAACGCAGAACAGGTGACAGACACCACAGAGCCGCACTAGCTGTCGATTAAACGAACCTCATCATTCTTATCAATTGATCATCTCCCCACAATGCACCACATAATCCGCGCATATCCGGAGCGAAATAGCCTTCAATTCCAGCTTCAAGCGAGGCATCTCCCAGTGGGTCTCCCCTACTTATTAATAATACACACGACATGACAATTTTGTCCAGCATCCTCTGCCGCTCACCATTTCATCCCTTCATTGATTTGTTCATTGAATAACACTGTGTACGACTCAGCAATCTCGGCTCTGAGCTGCGAAATAGTGCGTGTACACTCCATTGCCGACGTAGCCAACAAACCCTGGCAAAGCAAGGATTGTAATTTCCGCTGACGTTCCATGGCATCCTCTAGATCTTAGACACTCTATCATACGGCTATTTAAACTGAAAACCCCCAGTCCGACAAAGTCCTCTGGTCGATCGCAAATTCTCCAAATTACATCGACCTTTGCAAACCGACACTCTACATACCCTGGATTCAGCTTGCATCCTATCTGTCGCGTTCGTGTGTTCGACCTCCCGAAATTTCGCATCGGTCGTGCCCACTCTTTTGGCCTTTCTCAAGAGATTCACATCAACTGCCTTCCTGGTTGTCGCAGAAATTTCTTTGCTACTCAGGTTGCCTACAATGAATTACTGAACTCATTTAAATTTCTTCTTCGTAACCTACAAAGACCATCATTGCCCCGCTCAATCATAACTGACGTCTACAAGGATCTGTGAAAAATACGCAAACTACATTTTTTCATCTGAATTTCTAAGCCCCCAAGACCCACGAAACATTTCTACAGTACAAGTTCCTTCCTACGTCATGAGTTATCCTCGCCACCGACAACCGTCTCCGGTCAGCAAGCATTCCGTTGACCCCATGAGAGCATCCACGGGGAATATGGCAGTCAGTTCTGACATAGATCCGTACAATATCCCCAGAGTTGCCTATGATGGATACTATTCATCTAGTATTGCAGGAGATCGGAACTTAGAATCGTCTTATAGAAGCTATTACTACCCAGTGCGATCTCCCCGTCCTAATGACGACCGTTCCGTTGACACTCACCCCATTTCGTCATACCGCTTGACGAATCTGCCAATCTCCTCGAGAACCGAGTATGCTGTTCGACCAAGGGGCAATACGTTGTCCGTGGCCGATTCCACTCGCCGCCCTTTAAGCGTCACCATACCATCGCCAAACAGATTGTTTGCTGGGTATGACAGTAGCCGCTCTCCCAGGCCATCATCATACTATGCAGCAACTGATGCAGAGCGATATATTGTGCCTGCGTCATCATTGCCTTCAAGACATCGTCGAATATTTAGTTCTGATGACCGAGAAGGTCGATTAACGCTCGATGACAAAGAGACAACATCTCGTACGGAGCGTACAAATTACTTAGTTGCGGGGAGGAGCCCGCGAATGGTTTACCCAGTTCCTACCCCAACAAATACACAACAAAGCATTGAAATAGGTGAATCTTATTCATACACGAATCCAGCAGAGCAGTTTTATAGGGACTTTGAGGCCACTAAAGACTATCGACGAGATAATTACGGGAGAAAAAAAACGAGGCCTTTAAGTTTAACTGGCTTGGAACGCGGCCTACCGCAAATTCCTAGAGATTTCAGAGACTCTGGCCCCCCGCCTTCTGCTAGGGGATTTGACAGGATTGGAAGAGAGGAGACGCATCGATCATCATCTCAGAAGAGAGAAGGTAGTGTAGCATCCTATACATCTGACATACTCCAGCGTCGCTCCAAGGTCCCCGTCTTCATTCACCAGGACGGAGTCAAGGTTTCAAAACATCCCGAATATAGCGATTCAAAAGAACTCCAGGGTTACCGCTACGATGACGATGCTTCCACAAGTCAAGATTCTCACCATAGGCATCACGCGGAAGACGTGCGATATAATCAAGTTCCCCCGATAGGCACCGAATCCAAAGGCACCGGAGACCTATCAGTCACCAGCGGCCTTGCGACAGCTGGACTAGCTAGTGGCTACTCGAAAGATTTGCTCAAGGGGTTCGAAGTTGATTTTGGAACTCGGGCTGATGAGCGAAAAGTTCGGGACTCGGTCCGTGGTCCTAGGTCAAGCCACAAGAATGGTGAACCTACCAAAGTGCACTCTGAGGGTGAACAAGACATAGACGAGCAGCTCCCAGATAAAGACGGAAGAGTACACAGACATAGAATCGTCGAACATTCAAGACGGGAACACTCAGAAGGAAATGTTGCCTCCCATCGCACTCACCATGCCGGCGACTCAGAATATGACTACCACAATTCCAAGCGACAAGAGGGACCATCTCAGCGCGCTTCAGATAGGCTTCTCCCGAATGAGCCCATTGTCTCGACCCCGATCGATATTATCTCTGATGAGCGTCAAAGGAAACCCTACCATACTGAATTCATTCGGCCGAGGGAACCCGAGCAACTTCCAAAGGGGATCCTGAAGCCTCCAAAGGATAAGTTCCCTGAAGATCGGACAGCTGTGAGGGAAGGGATCGCGCCGTTAAAAGACACGACGAAAAAGGGCATTCCCAAAGGTGCACGTTGGACCAAGGTAGATCGAAAGCTTGTCACTCCAGCTGCTTTGGAAGGAGAACGTTACGAAGAACGCCCTGATTATATAATTGTTTTAAGGGTCCTTACACTGGAAGAAATTGAGGAGTTCGCAAAGAAATCATCACAAATTAGAGGTATGGTATTTCTGTTCACTGAGAAATTGCTATTCTTCATACTGATACTTGCTATAGCAGCTAGGTACGAGGCTTATCGCAATGAACGTCGTAGACATCGAGACGATGACGAGCATAGCGAAGAAGATCGCAAACCCCGTCTTGCCATTGAATCATCCACCGAATCAAGGCGACGTTCGCCACCTGATTCTCACCATTCTGAATCCTACAAGTCTCGTGCTCCGCGATCGTAAGACGTATAAAATGAGCTTGATACCTTTATCGCCCCTGCTCCGAAACCCGCTAATTAAATTCAAAGTTTAATACGTATTGCTGTGACTATATAAATTTTGGATTCCCCCCAAAATATAACTGATGCTGTCTTGTTATTTGATTTCCAAGACACTTCTCAAATAATATCGTTCCTAAATTTGGGAAGGAAGAAACTAAAATCTTTCGATTTTATGTGTGTTGTGTTCTTGCTTCTATCTTCCAAGGAGTTATGTTTTCTATAAATGATGCCACATGCTTTTATACTCGAATTCAAAAGGATGACTGCTACGACGTATGATGTTTTTTGTTATCGTTTTTACTTTCTTGGGAAAATTTGCCCACACAGTGGGTTGACTACTGCGATTTTGAAGAGGTGCTCTTTCTCAAATTTCAATTCCATATCAACGCTATACATCATTGCGGCTTGGATGAGAGAAAGGAATTGTCTTTTCTATATGGGATGCCAACTCGTTTTTCCCTTTAAGATCTATTTATCTGAAAAGATATTCATTCCTATATTGTTTGATTTATTTGCGAACTTTATCTGAGATCCCTGTAAAAAATACAATTTTACTAATTTACCATTCGTCATTAGTTTGTTAGTTTGCTCTTCTTTCCCGAAGCTCTATGCAGCAAATTTCAGCCTTTTGAGCAAGTTATCATGCCGCACCACATTTATCACCAAAGAATGGTTTCCGCAAAATAACCCCCCGATCTTTTGTTTCTAAATCATTTTTAAACTATTGATGTGTCTCAACCCGTTGCCAGCCGAACTATGTTTTTGTCAGAGCAGCTAGGCTTGATAGACCCATTGAAGTATGTTCGGGGCCCATTTTCTGGGTTTCGGTCTCTATCTTCACTCCGTTGTCTCTCAGCATTCAAATTGCAACCCTGCGACATGAGAACGGCACTGGCTAGAGAGCGGCACTTCTCTGTTTAACTCCATGACATCCGCGACCGCCGTGTTGTGAGATGAACATTATCTAACCCACTTTCACCTACCCCTGCCAACACAATGTCACCATGGTGCGGGGGATGTGCAAACAAATGTCAAAAGTGATAGGCAACTTCTTCATCCCGCTACTGCAAAGGCGGCTCAAATAGATTGCCTGGCTTCAAATGTGGATGGCGCATATCTGACCCTCTGGACCAATCCACGCAATAATTCGCTCGAAAATTCATACCGCAGAAGGTGCTCTCTTTCTCCCTACCTCTTCCTGTTGCACCCCCCCCTTTCCTCCTACTCGTCCCCAGTAAACAACTGAGATAACATTTATCTATAACTGATAAATTATTCAATTTCTTTTGCTCTTAAAGCTTGCAGTTATTATTATCAACTGCCTCTTAGTAATTCTTTATCCTCAGTATTTTAAGAGTACTGTTAATACTTTGTCGCCTTAATTTAACATTCATGACCATGTCTCCCCTTCTCTTCATCTCCTATCAGGAGTTTTTGTATCTTCGAGAGCCCAAAGAAGTCGTTCTGCCGGGTTGCGTAGACAGTGCCCTCCATCGCCCAACCAGCCGTTCCTGCTTTGAGACCTAATTGAGCCCCTTCTCTCTGGCATGAGTCAAAGTCTATAATTACGGGGTTGTCCCTCTCATCCATCATGATATTTGATGGATTAAGATCATTATGTATGAGCCCCAAAGTATGCATATGTTTAATGCCGCTCTCAATTCCTTGTAGGCAAAGGACCCTGTCAAAGGGAGTTGCCTTCCGTAGCCTCTGTGACAAGGTCATCGAATATTTGACAAAACAGAGCCCCATTATCCTACCACTCTTGGTAACACAACCAAGATACTGAGCAATGTTGGGGTGTGGGTTTCTTCGAAGCACTTCGCACACTTCCACCTCGGCCAATAGCTGACGGCCCGGCTCCAGGGAAGCAGGAGTGTCGCCGTAATGTAGAAGACTCGGCTCCTTAATGTAGGAATTCGGAGGTAAGGGATCAGGAGAGGGTGTATAACGAGAATCCATCGGTGGCCAGACATTTTGTGTGAGGATTTTGTTGATTTTTAGCTGACTGATGTCAGCAGGCGAAGAGACACGCCAGTTGGCTCTGGCATAGAAATACTCGTCATCTTCCCGCAAGATCAGCTTCGTATGGTCGAAGATAAGATCGCCGTCTTGTTCCACGAATGCTTCGCTTTGCTCGCATATCTCCATAGTACACATCTCTAACTCCGTCCGAATTAATTAGAGAGTAACATGATATAGATATGGCTGTCTTGCAAGATGCTGAATAGTGGTATTGCTTTAATTGTTCTGGGTGTTGGCTGACCGAAGGAGGGATACGATGGTCTTGCAGCAGTGACAGCAACTCAGAGATATATATCGTTGCTGGAACCTTATGGAAAGGATTTTGGGAGCTCCGAAAACTGAAAGGATGAGGGATAAGATACCTATAGGTATGGTTCGGGGGTCACGTGTCATAGAGGTAGCTTAAGCGGCCACTGGGGCTCAATCACCACCAGCGCCATGATGGTGGTAGAGGGCACAAATTACCCAATCCGATCCCTCCAACAACTAGCCAACGCTTCCAAAATAGGCAAATGAGCCATTCCGGTTACCTTTCTCACATACTTCGATGGGATCCTCTTTTCAGAGACTTCCATACACCTCACCTCAATGACTCCTATCTGGGTTTATTTCAAAAGCTGATTTCCAGCACTTTTCCTCCCCCGCAACTTACCTTTTAGACATAGTGTTGAACATAGAGCGTGTTACTATAAGCATCTTAGGTTAAATGATCCCATCTTCAGAATTGGCCTTTGGTGTAGTGGGTATGCCCTTGGATGGTGTTCAACACATAGCCAGGCGCAAATGGTGTGTCGTAGTTGTTGAGACCGGAAGCTCCCCAGTACATCAAGATCTTACCAGAGGACCTTCCCGGAGTAGATTATTCCTCAGATTTCCATCTCTTCATCGCTAATCGACAGCAACTGACTGTAAGCTGGCCAATATCATTGGTCACGTGGTTTGACGAGCCCTAGGTACCTTCCGTGGATGGTTTTCACATGAAGATGCAAAGGCAACAAGGTATTTCCACATTTATCTGAGTCCTGCGGACTATATCAAAAATTCCTGATTTATTTTGCATACGTAAGAATACATATGCGTATGGAGGACGACATGTAACGTCCAACAATTGGTTGCACAGCACCAAATCAACGTATATGATGCTTAGGAATAATATTTCCAGAATCATGAGCCTTTGAGGATGACTACACCATGGAGTCCGTCTTTTGAATTGACTGTTTGCTCATTTGCAAGAATGTCACTACTAAATAGCATTATTGCTACGCAACACCATCTGCTCGATATTGAGAAAGGGGTCTTATTTTTAACTTTGACTAGCTTTTTTTCTATTTCATCCTTGGAAGGTCCATGAGCCCGAAAATCCATGGATCGTTCAGCTCCACAGCAGCTACATAGTGTGAGCTGTACAACTAACAGATGTGCTGCTGTCCACTGGAAGGTGTGATAGATCAATGGGATTTCAAGCTATCCGGAATCAAAAGGACAACTCAACCAATTTCTGGTTCAGCTTTATAGATTTGGGCCTCGGATAGCTGAGGTGAACATATGCATGTGCTTGTGCTAGAGCAAGTGGTCGAATCTTCTGGGATGTCGCGTGGAAGCAAGGGTGGATATATTTCGTCCGCTTATGATAGTTAACTCAAACGATAAAATCCCCATCAAAAAGAAAGGGATCTATTCCGTATGTTTGGCGAAAGATGCTCACCCACCAGAGACACCAACATGACAAGCTGGGCTGCACTCTCTGATGAAAAGGAATAATATTTTTGAGAAACAACATAACTCCGACGAGGGGTTTGTTTACCAATTGACACTTTAAATAGTAAAGGTACCAGGCTTGTCTTGATAACTGCTTCCTTGATCGGCTTTTTGCTGAGTACGTGCTGTTGTTGATATTCGGAGTTATTGATTCGAAGATTCGTATTCTCACTAGTTTGAACGAATGGATAACTCTGCAGATTTTAGATGCAGGTATGCGCCGTTCGACCTAGGCAGAAATGAAAGCGGATGGATACTTAATACAACGATGCAGATAACCGCATCTGTTTATTCAACAGAGAATGGTCAAGAGAAAAGGTCATCAATTTCATATCTGGATTGATGTGGAACTCTTGCAAGTGGTTCGTGAAAATATTTCGGTGTCAGGGACAGCGGTAATTCAAACAAACTGGCATGCAACTCAGTTTGAGATTAAATGTTGTCTTTCAAGAGTGAGGAATTGGATGCCGTGCGAAGCCATTTTGTGGTTTGGAAAACAGCCCAGACTCCGAGCCCTCGTCGCAATGTTCTTGACCGCATCCCATCGAATTCTAGCCTCCAGTAGGATGCAGAATGATTCCGTCCTGTTCCGGACACTAAAGAGGAACTACTGGTATGCTGCAGTAGTGTGTGCTTTTGTACTCCCAAATTGGCTTTCAAAAGATAGCACCGATTGTGGTGGATGAAGAGGCCGTTTTTGCAAAGGTATGGGGGAAAATCGAGAAAGCCCATTTCCATATACTCTGAAACGTGTTTCCTCTCTCTTCAATGCTCCGCGCTCTCAATTGAACTGAGCGAATATATCTGTCTCTGTGAGGCTTGTTTTGAGGCCCAAGGACAACCCGAGTGGTAGTGCTCCCTAGCTTCGTAGCTTGGGAAGATCTAAGTGGCCCTGCCGAGTGTTGGACAAGGAATCAGCGGGAAGCCAGGGATTATTGTCAAGTCATTCCGAACTTTGGTCCAAGAATGCGCCAAGGGAGCTTGGCAGCCCTCGTTCGCCAAATCTAAATCCGTCTCCAGAAGTCTGTCTATTAAATTTGCATGCGTCCATCTCTGCCCAATCCATGTAACCTTATGGATGCATGCTGGAGGAGGAGAGCAGGCAGCTGCATCTTGCTGTGTCGAATCAAAAACACAATAACGGGGATGACATGGCTTTTCCATAAGTACTTTTTAACCCTTTGCCCCAAGCTTATTTCCACCCCGTGCCTGCTGTCCATTTTTCACGTCCTGGAGGAAAACCGAAATCAAGATGTCCCAGCTCCTTGGCTCTGATTGTGTCTATCAAGATCGCATAGGCTTGGGATTCCCCTGTTATCATTCATTGCCCTTCGCCTTTTTCCTTTGGCAAAGGATGGACTTGGAAATTGTTCACATCCCAGAAACAGATGTCTGCTTCATGATAAAGAACTTGTGCGATACGCTTCATGATTCCAGAACAGGCTTTTTCAGAACAGTCACACTTCGCAGGAAGTCAGACGGGCGGATGGACTGCGTAAGTCGCATCGTGTTAGAATGGAATTAGGACGTAGCACCACACGCCACAATGTGTTAAAATCCAGGTACAAACGAGGATTTCCTTGGGGAAAGAAAACGTCTGGGCAATTTGGTGGCACCTTTATTTTTCTTTCTCTTTTAAAAATGGTCGTTAAGAGATATTAGCGGGAGTCTGAGAATTGGATATCAAGGTCTTTTGTTGTATTTCTCATTCATATTGTCCAGAGTTATGACATGACTTGCAGCTCCATCTTCGAACTCAATATTGTCCTTGAATGATATTCCATATAAATTCATGTCTGTGACCTTCTACACCCACTATTATACATAGGAATGTACAGAGAGTTTGTGGATGAACACGCGGGTTGGTAACACACTTCTGGAAGTATTTTGAACCACTGAGCCCAATTAATTCACCGCAGTGTTCTCCACCCATGGCCAGCAGCCAGTGGGTACCCCATACAAGTTCCAATTTTTTACGCATCAGGGAGATGGAAATACAATTGAAGCCCTAAACCAAATACTTGTTAGTATGTGAATAGGAAAGTAGGAGTCTGGATGTATATTCCTATTCTTTCATTGTTGCTGCTTTTCACCTCGTGGCAAAAAGCAATAGACCACCTGCTCTGTATACGATCAGCGCTAAACGTTATGCAAGTCATGCCCTGAACCCCGAAAAGAGAGAATCCACACATTTTCCAACTCAAATAAGCAATCAGTGTATGATTTTTTGAAGGGGATAGAAAGAAGAGACTGCCTGCCTCTTGGGTCAGTATTTCACCTCGAGAAATAGCATTCTTGTCCGGTCATATAAAATAAACGAGATTTCAGATTCAAGATCGTCGAAATAACTTCTCTGACGTGCCGATAATGAGTGCGAGAAAATCGGCCAATCAAAACTCTTCCATGTTTCCTTGTCCATCAGATAAGACATTTTTTCACTTTCCCTCTTGACAGGGGGATCAGCAGGAAACGTCTCGATGTTTTGGTTGGGCGACTGCGAAAAATAAAAAGCCGAAACTTGGTGCGAGACGTGGGCGCCATGTCTGGCACTGATCTTCATGATTGGCAATCGTACTTCTCAGAAGAAACTCTCCGATTGGGCATAGGGTTTTCAACTTATTTAGCTTTCATCGTGTAAATTGAGGAATAGGGGGATTTCGAGAGGCCTAGCATACCCTTCACGACAATTTTAATCAGCCTTTAAGAATGGCCTAAGTGTGCTTCACGACAGACCGATTCTGGAATGTTTGACGGAAGCGGGGAGACTGACCAGTCAATAACCTCTCGCGTGTTCGTAGCCAACGCCTCCTTCGAGTTTCAAATTCTCTCCGGCGACTTGGCGCACTCGGCACTTTTTGGTTGGCGCTGCATTGCATGTTTCGCGTGCTTCAACGGGCACCATATCATTCGCCCGCCTGTGGTGATTTCATCCTGTTGGGGAGTTTCTGACAACTTTTACAACCATCGCCTTCCTTCTCGAGTTTAGCGCACCAACAAGAGGGAAAGAAAAGAGACAGAACCAATCTTTGTTGCCTTCATTTTTGTTCAAAAACAAAAAAACCGGAAGGCTTTGCAGATTCTTCCTTGAATTTTGAGACTGAGTGATTGAGTCAGAGACATGACCTTCCTGTTTCAGTTAGAGCCCAGACGGACAACAACTTTTCGTTCGTATCAAATCACTTGAGGCCCGAAATATCTTGAAATTCATGCACATTCCCGTCCCATAGTAATCCCCGATACCAGATTTGTGCCCCAAAGGTGGTGGCATTCAAGCTGTTTTCATAAGGCAATGCTTTCGTTAGCGCATCGTCAATAAATCAGTGTTGCAAAATGCCTCAACTCCTGACTGCCGGCCAAGACAACGGCCGAAGGCACCACGGATGCTAGAAATGGCCCCGCTCGAGGATCTCTTCTCTTTGATTGATTGTCGGCTCGGTTCAGCGGCAATTTCTTTATCCGACGCCTTCGTTAAGCTGGACTGGGCCTCATTTTGTCGGACTGTTGGAGAGAAAGCAAGCCTGAAGCCCATCCATACTACATAGACCTTCGCGGAGCTTGTCACCTTTCTCCGTATGCGTTCCCGCGTTCTAAATCTGCATCAGAAAATAAATCAAAAAAGAAAAGAGAAAGAGGGTCCGGCGAGGTTTGGAAATTACTATGGCTATTGATCAGCACTAGGGTGAAATCAGCCATATCTGTTCCAGCTTAGCGCTTAACAGAGGAGGATTTTTAGCGTTGTTTGAGGGCCTCGTTCTAACCCTGGCTATTATTTAACCATGAATTGGCGAGGATTCCATCTGTCAAGCCAATCAATGCAAGTCTCAAGAGCCGTGAAGTGAAAAGGGAAGACTAGAGGTTGATGTGAAATCATCAGAGCGAGTCCGACGCGCTCGTCCATGTTTCATTACGATGCAACGCTGGCAGCATTTGCCGGTCTGTCAATCATTATCATTTTTTGAGAGTCAGAGGGGCAAGCTCTCAGCTGTTGCGATATTACTGGTCGGAGAGATTGATCAACTCGCTTCTCTCATCCCGTCTAAGTCACATTGACAAACCGGGTTGTCGCTCGCTCAGAAAAATTTTTCAGGGGGCGTGGCATTAGATTTCAGACCAACCCTAATAATTTTTCAATGCTCATGATATGCTCATGATTATGTTCTGACAAACTAATTTTTGAGAAAATAATCCCGGATTTCGCGGGTGCTTGGATTTGTCTCAAACAAGGAGACAGCTTTTTGCAAGAAAGACGAAACTCATCGTTTCAGGAATTTAGATGGACTGGTACTTATGACATCGTAACCTTTTGCGCCGCTCTAGCCGTGCCGAATGAAGCTCCAGGTTTCGCCGTTTCGGAGCGCCAAAAATGGCGTTTCCATGTTGCGGATCACAGGGGGGTGTGTGGGAAGAAGCGAAGGGGAGGGCCACGTACTAGATTCCTAGGGTCGATCCGGGAGCTCAACCCCCTTGGCTTTTACTGATAACTGGAGCTTCTAAGTTCTGTCCACTATTTTTCCGGGGATGGAACCCTTAATGCCCAGGGGGCCCTCCCCAATGTCTACACCCTGGCCGTACTTAGTGACCCCGAACAAAAAGCCATTGAAGTGGGGAACGTAATCCCTGTTGACACACCAAAAGGAATCTTCAGGTCATAATATGGCACAGGGCAATTGCAAGCAGAATTTGTGCCGGCTTTTTCGTGCCTTGTACTATAGGTTCTTTCCCGTTAGGAAATTATCAGTACAATAACTTTCTGCGTAGTGACATATTCCCCCAGTATTCCCCGTCCATTTCGTGATGTCGAGCGTTGTGGAACTTGCGGGTAATATCTCCGTTCATTCCCACACTAGTAAATTAAGTTGTATTTATAGTTCAACATCGTGGAAATCTAATAGGGCTTGCAGGTCCGCAAGGATGCCTAAAGTTTAGTTATGATGTTCGTAAAACCACCTACCTCTTAACCTCCCGATTGCGCAAGGGAAATGACCGTTTGCAAAAAGAAAACCACATAACTTCCTGATATGACGAAGTTTCGAAAGGACCCTCCGAATTGCCATTCATATCTTCGCTAATACCCACCTTCAAAATGGATATCTTCATTGTCTCCTTCGATGACTAACCTTCGGTTAGAATGTCCTCAAGATATGGGCTTTGAGGACTAAGGTCACCACCCTCTTTTCGTCCGATATAACGCGCTGAAAAGCTATCCGTATCGTCGGGGTCATGAAAATGGTTGTTGGCCGTATAAAACTCCAGACATCATCTGGTTCTTTATTCGCAACTAACGTCAATTCCTTCCAACAGAGCTTATATTTTGCGCTTGTTCCTCGTGACGTCGTTTCAGCCTTTCAGGCGACGGGGTAATAATAAATGCCAATCCGAACATCCCGATCCACTTCTGGCATGGTGGCTTGTGGCGTACATCGACGAAGCCAGCATAGCAAGCCAACGGCACTGAAAATTCGTGGTTCTTGCGCCTTTACCCATTTAGTATGTCGCTGGCCAAGAGCACGAAATGGAATGGCATATGGGCCGATGTGATGCGTGTTGTTGAACCTTATCCTATCCTGGCGTCCTGCGCACACAGGGTTTTTTGCTTTTATTTCGGTCTTTTATTTTTTGAGCTTGGACATGTGAACGAAGTGTGTAGAACAACAACGCCCTTGTGTCCCCTGAAAATTAGATTCCCTGATGAGTCTAAATTGGATGTTGCAGGGAACATCGATTGAGCAGACAGGGTATGCACGGTTCTTGTGCAAAAGAAGCGCGAGAGACGCGATGGCTCCTGGCCAGGGATAACGGTTTAGGACTTTTTTTTCCCCCAGTACATTGACAATGAGAGGCTTGTATCTTTTGCATTTGCATTTGTCTTTTCTTTTCCGTTCTTTTGCTTTCAATTCCAAGTCCCCGTTGCAATTGGCGCTATCGTTGGCTTCCCTCAGACACGAACTGTGCTTAGCCTCTCATCATCAGCGGGTGGGTAGAAGAGCTCCAAAACAAGAATATTCACGAGAGTGCTTCGAGCGCAACTTAGTTTTGCAGCCACAGAATGAAGAAGATGCGCTTAATTATTCCCTGGGTGGCGGAGCAAAATCGTGATACGAATTAGATATTCTTATTCATGGGCGAGCGCGCTGCATCACGAAAACGAGTTTCAAAACTTCGCTTTTTATGTTTGGAGGCTAAGTTTCTCCTCCGTTTGTCTTGGTTGAGCTAATGGTTTCACGTTTGTTTTCTTTAATTCGGGATTGGCGGATGGCAAGACAAGGTGGCTTGGGCTGTCAGCCACAGGCGTCAAGAATTGGAGAATGTGATATAGAATCGATGGTTTCCAAGTCTGCGAAAAACCTTTCAAAACGGGAGAAAATGGCCGATTCTTGGGACCTGTTTGTGTTCTGGGACAGGAACCCCTCCTTAGATGGAGTCAGATCAAGTTTCAATCCCGAACTTCGTTTTCTTTGTTTCTGTTCATCGATTGACTTTAGGATCTCCAGAGTTTGAGGCAAACTTTGTCTTCAAAAAACGGACGAAAACTGTTAAAAATTCAATCTGGTGGGCATCTGTTCCCGAGAGGCAAAAATGACTTTGCTTTGCTACTTTCCGAATCACAAGAAATGATCACTTACCTGATTCCCCGAAATAAATTCCCGCGCACCCCCTGTCCAGTGGTACATGCTTAAAATATGCTTAAAAGAAATGCCTGCAATGGCGAGCAGGGTGGTGACTGGAGGGCGCCAACCGGACCCTATAATTGAGGCTATGAATGAGGGATCCCTCATTTTCGCTTACGGGCATGCCCTACAACGGTTCAACTCTCCACAAAGGTGGGCCATTACGTCCAAGATCTGCAATCAGACGGATTTTCGATGGATCCATTTGCTCATCCTTCCCCTCTTTTGGTTTGTTTGATTGTATTTTCCGCCCCGAGTAAGCTTGCTTGAATGTGTGATATATTTTTCTTGTGCCGCTTACGGCCGATGATTCTTATCATTATTATCATCACGGACAAATTGAAAATTGGATAACCGGCTCTTGACACGGTTTATGGGAATTTTCTCTCCTTTCTTCTCGTCATTTCCAGTTTGTCCCGCGGACTGAGAAAATGTCTGTTGTGTGATTTCGGAGATAAGCATTCCCGCGGTCACATCCCCACTATCCTGATGTATATTCTCTGGTCGCGAAATCTTACCGCGTCCTCGATTTTTATGATTGATCTTCACCTTTCATTTTACTCTGTTCGGGAGACACGTTGTGGCCGTGGTTTTCGGGCGTGTCGCTCTATTCCATCATTGCCAAGACTTGAACGGGCTGAACAGAAGCGTTTCGGATTAATTTTGGGTAGCGCCACGCACTGCTACCTGAGGACTACGTGAGGAGTCGTCAGACTGTGCAGTGTAACTTGTAAGCAGTAGCACCGTGGGGGCACATCTGAGGCTTGGAAGTGCCCGGATTAGGCATAGATAAGTGGGTTGTGATGTGGGGGTCTTTGTCTTGTCCAATTTCTTTTTTCCTGCTTACTCCCAAGGGCGATGACAAGTTATCAGCTATTTTTGGGAACGGAGGTTGGTACCCTGCTTCGTTGGCCAAGTCGAAGGGCATAGTTCAGGCAACGCGATGGGTCAGTTTATTCAGGAAGTCCCAAACATGTTCTTGACAGCTCCAGTTTCAGCAGCTTCTGCGAATCAAAGCAAATCAAAGCTAGCCGTGGTTTGACGAAAAGAAAAGAAATAAATAAGAACCGTTTCATCTTCGTTCAAGTCACAATCACGCCATTATACTATTTCTCCGATAACCGAGGGCTGAGCTTTCTGGCGTGATCAACTCAAAGAGGGACTGATATCTGGCCCCTAATTGGTCACCACTTGTGGATGCTCTGGTTCGATGACAGAAGCTAGGAAGACTAAGGAAGTACTTCCGCGCCTAGAGTGAGACGGTTTGCATGATCGGCCAAGGTTGTCAAACTACTTTAGCAGGTAGCAAGTCTTGGAGGAAATGCTTGATGAAAGCGAAAGTCAAAGAATCGAGACCCGTCTTCTTGTGTTGTGGAGATGACGACAAGAATAATCATGATGATACTGTGGTTGAAAAGGCGGCATAAAAGCGGGAAGTATCATCGACGCAACTTGCATAGCTCAAGTTTAAACCAATCGTTAACCACCACAAAGTGGTAGGTTAGCGAGCTTCTGGTCCCTCCAACTGTTAGATTCTGGGATATGATGACGTTGGATTGACACCATCATCAGCAGTCAGCGACGGTCAATTTGAATGATCATCTTTTTGGGCTTTCTCGGCTTTTGTTGTGGTTTTTGGGCTTCGGATTGTTGATCGATCATACCTAAGTAACAACATCGCCTTCTGTTCGGTTGGAAAACGCATGTTCCGCCGTTGGTACCCACGGCCATCTGTCATAATTGAAGCCAAGACGCAATGCTCCGTACAAGTACGGAATCGACAGGAGATCTAGATATCATCACTCGAAAAATAGTATCGACAGGAGATCTTGTTTCATTCGTGGAAATAACAAATGAAAGCGATGGACAATCATTTCATCTTCACTTCAAGGTTCTTGCAGAGTTCAGTTGGATTAATATTATTGTGGCGTCGGCGCAATTCCGCGGTGTTGTGGATATTGACGGGTATGTGCCGGGGGAGCAGAGATTATTCCCTGTATCTAGCCGCACCGACAGTAAACTTTCCTGGTTGCTTGCAGGCTTCCATCCATCCCGTCACGCAGGGGGTCAAATGGTTGGATGAAGGGTAAGGGGATGATGCGAGTGCTGAACGGCTTTCTTTGCTTTTCTTTTCCTTGGCGTTTATTTTCCCTTTTGCTGGTGCAGGAGAGATCAACTGCTTCAACTTCAACAATCCGCAGTATTGAGTAGGGAACGACAGCGCACGGATGGTGATAAATTACGTGAAAGCGCAACAGTAGCAGCTCCACTCATACGTCTTGAATCTCTCTATCCCATCCTTATTGTTGAGTGTTGTTCGTCTTGCCCATACGAAGTGGTTCGATTAAAGTTCAAGCATCCAACCAGGGATACGAACAACCAAACGCTCCTTGTTCCGTGCCCTTGTCAAGAAAGGGTTCACGATCTTTCGCGAACACCGGTCGGATAATCGGTGGCCCGAGACTCAAGGCGATTAGTTGTACGATCTGTCCTTGCACATCCTAGGGATACAGTGTCGTGTGACAAAATGGATATATCGAGCTCAAAGGCGTGAAGAACTATTCCCCGTTGTTTTAAATATGGCCCTCTTTATTTCTTTCATGGCATGGGCAAAAGTCACATTATCCCCTCTCGTAACCTAGAGGAACTTCAGTCGTATCCATCGTACGATATCACCGAAAGTGAGCAACAGCTTTCGAGCGATTCAGATCTAGATTGTTTGACCTTTAGCGCACAATTTAACAATAGGAGGAGTCCTTTCGAGAAATGCGACTGTGTTGCTCCATTCTTCTCCACTCTCACCATGTAACTAATTTAACCAGCTTCGCCAAGTTCTGGTTGGAGTCCACATTCCCTCGACGAGCACTGGCATCAGTTTTTTATAGTAACAATGCCAACGAGTTCCAATAAGAGATAAAAGCAACAATCGCGCCACCGGGCCTAGAAAAGCGACTTTCGCGTGATGAGAACTTGGAATATGAAAATGAGCCCCTTGCGATCTGATATTTATTTTTATGTTTATATTTATTTATTTATTTATTTATTTATTTATTTATTTATTTTTTGAGGGGGAGGAGGGTTAGGATGGTAAGACGAGGCGCGTATGTTTGTGTTTCTCCAAGAGACGACGCCGAGGCTTTTCTGACTGAGTCGGAGTTGAACTTCGCATCACATCGACTTCCCCAATGGCGTGGTGTTGAAGGTAAGAAACACGCAGAATGTGAGCATCAGACGAAGAAACAGGGGAGCAGTAGCGCCGTTTACTTTTCTGTTCCTGAATGGGGATGTAATCCGTCGAACCTGTTGTTAAATTAATGTTTTTGATTTTTTTTTTTTTTTGGGGGGGGGGGGGGTTCGTTTTTATTTTTGGATGTCGAGATGCCCCGCGACTCCCCTGCCGTTTTCAGGTTCTCGAGTTCGTGGTTGGTTCGAACGGAAGCAGTGGATATACCATGGCGGGCTTGGACGAGGAACTGCGAAGTCTGCAATCAGTCCTCTATAGATATATATGTATACATTTCTATACATACATATATATATCATTAAACGCGTCGAGTGCATAGTATATAGGGCGCGACTGCACACACGTTAAAAAAACAATCGTCATCATCATCGCCATCATCATCGTCACCATCATCATCAGCGGAATCCGCAGTCGAGGTCTTTGCTGAGGCGAAATGCCAGGCATCAACTGCCTGTGGGCTGGTTGCATTCTTACGTTGAGAGCAGTGAGAGAGGGTTGCGAATGGCTGAACGGGGCTGCGGAGTCGGTCGTAGTTCATCACTAAGGCTGATCCTCGCCTATAGCAGCAGTGCTACCTCGCAGCTAAAGGCTTCCACCAACTTCTCACATCTGCGTCTTTTTCTTGCTTTTTTTGACTTTTTCTTTTTCTTTTTTTTTTGTCCTTCCAAACCTATTTTTGATTTTCTTTTCTTTTTCCGATGGTCTTGCTTCCTAACCCAAGCTAACTAAACAAGCCTCCCGGCGGTGGTATTATTATTAATGCCGCCTGGATCTACTGCTAATTAGCAACCGCTTCTGATGCAACGCTCTTCTCGCCTTTTAATATTATTATTATTCTCGCGCTCTCTCTTAATGAGCCCGGCGATGATTTCTTCCAAGTTTCTTTCCAGACATCATAATCCTCCCCCCCCTGGAGTTCATTAGTCTCCGCTTTCTCAGCTTCCCCTCCCTAAGCAGAGTCAAGCAGCAAGACTAAATAATAATAAGAATCGCTTCCCTGACCCCTCCACTTTTCTTCTTTCTTCTTTCTTCTGCTCTGGCCGGTTTCTTGTACTGTACCTTCGCTCGTTCTACTGCGCCGTCTAGTTTTTCTTTTCTTTTGCCCCAGCGAGAGCCCCCAACATTCCCCCCTCGTCTCCTGTTAACAGGCGCTAACTCGCACACGCACCCCTTCCTTCCCAGTCCCAAACTATCTTTATGCCTGTCAGACTGGTCGTCTCCTTCATCCCCCTCCAATGGTCGTCTGTTCCATTGTTCTTCTGCCTTCCCTGCCCATACACACGCGCTCTGTAGTGTTCCAGCCTCTTGGCCGTTGACCCCCTTAAAGAAGCTTTAACTGATCCCCCAAGCCCTGATCCTCGTCCATCCCGCCGCCTAATAACCCCTCCCACAGCAGCCATTTCCTAGACTCCAACGCTTGAGTTTCTTCAAATCACAATCAACAAAGCCACCCATTTCTTTCCCCCCACCCTCCCCCCCCCTCCCAAAAAAAAAAAGAAAAGGAAAGGGAAAAAAAGCGCCTTGATCCTGTCAGGCTCTTCTTCATCTATCCTCCGTTGGAACTACCCATCTCTCATATCCTCCTGTAGAGCCTTGCCGGTGAGGGGTCTCCCCTCCCCCAATATCAACCCCTTAGCGCACCAGGACCGGTTGCACGAAACTACTGCATTTCCTTTCCCCTGCTGCTACTTTTGTTCCCACGCCGCCTCGACATAAAGGCCCAAGCCGCCCTCCCCAGCAAGCCATGGCAGCCATGGTTCAACCAGCCAACTTGGGTCCGCCTCCATCCAAGTACCATAAGGAAGATCCGCAGCTACCAGCGCCGTCGCAGATTGATGATTCGGTGAGTCTGAAACATTTCTGTTTCTTCTGAATACTTCTTTTGCATTTCCCTGTTTCGCGCAATACTTCAAGAAAAAAGCAAAAAGCAAATATCTTCCTCAAGATAGAAGAAAAAGCAAAAGACGAACCAGAAAAAGCTCAAAATACGAGAGGGGCGGAAGGCAGAAGACTAAAGGAAGAAAAGAATTGGGTGAAACTCTCTGAGCAACAGCACACTTGCAGCTTGTATTGTGACACCCGGTATTGTTATTTTCGTTCCTTTTTCTTCTGCTTTCCCTCTTCTGTTTTCTCTGGTGCTTCTTTCCATCTTCCTTGCGTCCTATCTTGCTGCACCTCGTTGCTTTTGTTGTTATTCATGCGTCCCTGTGATTCCTGAGTTGCGTCTTGGTGTCGTCTGGGGTCGATCCTCTTTGTTCTACTTCGCTGCTCCTTGCTTTCTATTTGCACTTTTTATCTCGTACCTTCTTTGATCATCGCCCATCACCACCTGCTCTCATTCCTTAAGGGAAACCCAAAAAAAGGAATTCTCTCGCCGTTGCAGCCGTTGCAGACATGCTCTTGAGGTTTGGTGGGTCGCCCTCTACTTCTCCTACTTCCCCGTGCCTTTGCACTCGTCGCGTCAACAGGGGCCACGTTTCATCCTTGTTATATTCGCGATTCAACGCCTTGAGGCTGGCACGTGAGGAGAGCGCATTGTGTGTTGGACGCTCGAATCCTGCGCAATCTCTTCAGTTGCTTGTCCTTGTGGCCACGTTGTCTCGCGATTGTTTTCGATGGTTCTTCACGTCAGTCCCGCTGAAAGCTGGCTGAACGTACTGGACTCTGCAGCGCAGACACCTTGCTGCTGATCGAGGCGAATCCTCTTTGCATGGGTTGCCCAGTGGTACCTTCTTTGGTGATGGGGAGGGATATGCAGCTAGGCGGACCATCCCTTCCGGGGTGCTTACGTCTCTCACCCGCTTTCTTTTCTTTTTGCCCTCTCACTTTTCTTTTCGCAAAGGCCTAGTCCACACGTGCAGGGCAGGCCCTCGTTCTTAACAGAATAATGCCTGTCCTTAGCTCCCTTAGTTGGCGGCAATAATGGGCGGTGAACGGGTGCAGGAGAAAAAAACGAGGGCTCCTTGTTCCACCCACTCCGCCGCCTATTGCCACCTCCCTAACCCTCCATTGCGCACGCCCTCCAACCCCTACACGGTGGTTAGCCCAATTCACCTCATTACTTTTTTCCCCTTGAGAAAACAAAACATCCATGGTCTCCCACTACCATGAGTAGATGGTCGTTTCTATCGGCTTTTACTGTCCTCTGTACTCTGTGCCTGCGCGTGAAAGATGACCGCCCTTGTCAGAACGCACGCATCTTCTCCGCGGTTCCCCATATTATGCGGCCAACCCTTGCCTTGCCTATTCGATCTACCGAAATTGTGGCATCCCCCCCCCCCCGCCTCCTCCCCTCCTTCCCCTTTGCCCCTCCCCCGGCCTAGAGTCATCAGTGCCACCAAGCAGGGGTTGTAGACTGTTGATCTACCGAGTCGCCTGGCCTTTCAGACTTGGTCGTTGACCCTGATCGTTTGTTTCTTTTAAATCCCCTTGAAG